GTATGTAGACACTGTCAACCATAATAATTAAGGTAGCTTGTAGTAACTTATCAAAGTGGGCATTACAGAATTTCAATAATACCAGTGTAGACCAAGATATAGTGAAATTGCACATGCTTGAGTAAAGATAAGCACAATGTATGCTGCATACTCAGTTATTCGATCTGACTACATACCCCTAGATCATTCTTATTGTCCACATCAAAAGATATCGCTGAAGTTTGCACATGTTAAGTCAACTAGGTCACTCTACTCCTCTTACTGATGAATTCAATCATTAAATCATTCTCCACAGTGGCTCCCCTATGATCTGCCTTTGGTCAGTCAGTATTAACTTCATTGGGTAGGTGGTAATTAACTGCAACATCATAGGCAAGCTTCACTGCAAAGGCAATGGTGAGTAGTTGTGTTAAGAATTGTATTGTGGTGCATGTAACCCCAAGCAGGGCCTGCAATGAGTGCTTTCTCTGCCCTGGCCACAATTGCAAATCCCTCTTTGGCTTCTTCCAAACCATTATCATATTGTCCACATCATTATTGGAGGACACAACAATGATTCCTGTGTGATCCTCCCTGTCATATGTCTGATGTGTGTGGGTGTAGGATTGTTTCTACATTTGTGAGGATGTTCACTGTAATTGTCTGTGTCTGTGCCATCCTCAAGTGCTGTAGCACCTGTCACTGGGTTCTGGTATTCATCTTGAAGATATATACTAACCCATTGTCAGATCCCCCAACAATTGTTGCACCATCCTCTGTGAAGGCTACTTGTTTGGGGTATGTTTTTAGCAGTTTGGTATCATACATCCTTATGCAGCTTCCATCATTCAGTCGATGTAGACTAAATCCACTTATAGTGTTGTCTATGATGAATCAACTTCCTGTCTCATCGACACATGCAGAGCCCCTAGGTGCAGGTCAGATTGATTGGTTTGTTGAAATGTTAAGATCTCTTACTCATGTTGTCATTCCTGTAGACCTTGTTTTGATGACCATCCCATTGTCACTTCATAGAACATGTCTTGCAAAGGGCAATCTTATTAGATCTGTATGCATGAGTCTCAGGTCCTATTGTCTTCCATGTCTCCATTGTACATCCTGAAAACTATGATGTCACAGCCTCAGAGGTACATGGCACAAGGAATGGACATCATTAACTTGACACTGAAGATGTTTGACAGTCAATTCCTAGAATCTATTGTCCAGGCCTGAACTCATTTGTCCCACATTGTCATGATGATATGAGTTCCTGTGCCATTACTTGCATCCAAAGCAATGGCCATGATCTCATGGCCCCCACTAATCCTCCTGGCAATTACTTCCACAAATTCAACCACAGTATGCAGGCACTGCCTCCAGATCAGCAAGCAGCCCAGTCCTGTCCTGCAGCACAAGGTTTCTTGTATACTGTCATTTTGTGCAAGCCAAGTAATAGTTGTAATGGGATCTTTGGAACTTTGCATCTACAGAGGTTGGGGTAGCTGAACCTCTTTTCATAAGTCCCATACCCTCAGTCCATTGAAACCTGCTGACTAATATGCATGGGATTCAAAAATAACACTACTGAGTTCCTACCTCCACTTGCCAACAGTGTTCCAGAGTTTGACACTGCTAGACAGAGGATGGCATCCTGGTGCCCCTGCAAGCAGCACCTGAGTGCATACTTCATTGGCAACTTGAGAATAGAGCTGAATACCATTGGGTAAATTGATCATTGGTCAGGCAAAGTTGTCAATGTAAATATGTTGTATCTGTTATTGTTTAACACCTAACACCCACATAATGTTGTAAAGGCAAAACCCGAGTGTTGCCAATGTGACAATTCTATTATTTGTGTGCCCTCATGATGGTACCTACCATGGCTAATAGAGGTGCATGTCCTTCTGACTACAACCATTATGACATTGACCATTACTTCAGCTCCTTGCGATGTGTAATTGTAGGAAGAATCCCCAATCTGATTTTAACAATATGAACAAAAAGCTCAGTGTGAAATGCAATTTACATAATGACATAAGTAGCACAACTAAAATTACTACTGTAACTACAATCAGGTAGCAGATGCCCATGATGATGGAGGTGCATTTGCCTGGCTGTGCTGGAGACTGACCAGATCTTTATCTTTACTTTTGAGCAATTAGCTGCTCCAGACCCATTCTGTTCACCTGACTTGGGCAATTATCAGTGATTGGTCCATACTGCTGCATGTGTCTAGATCATTTTGGTTCCTTGTACTTGAAACTAATACCCAATACATACCATGCCAATGACAAGCAAATCTTGTCCTGATGACAGGGAGGGCCCTCATCCATATACCATTAAAAAATCCTTGTACTCAATACATACCATGCCAATGACATGCAAATCTTGTCCTGATAATGGGGAGGGCCCTCATCCATGTACCATAAAAGAAGTGGTAAGGGGCACAGTTTGACATGATTTATGAACTAAATTCCTCTTCCTCTTCTGCTCTATGCCAGCTCAATCTCAACATTTTCAGTGTCTCTGTACATTGTGTTGCAAGGTTGATGAGCATGGAACTGCAGCAAATCCCCCTCCCTCTAGCACACCATGCTATACACCTCACTGACATCTGGCAAAGGGAAGAATTTTTGAGCCAGAACCTTCCCAGCAAATCCACATGTGCTAGGTTACATCTTGCCCACTGTGTATCTTCCACCTTGCAGCCTTCACTGCAGGCAGAAGTGGACAAACTTGCTTCTGCCCTCCTTGTTTTAACTATATCTGAGCCTGCACATGCTGTGTCAGATCTTGCCCACCATATTTTTGGAGGATGATGAGCTGCAGGATTGTCAAGTCTATGGAGAGGAATATACTCAGACTTCAAGTTGGTTGAAGCTGAGGTGCAGTAAGGAAAAAAATAAACTGTGAAGTGTTTGCTTTTGGATTATGTAATACTGTGCTTGGTGTACCACAACTAAGGTAAAAGTGATAAACTCCAACACATATATCTTCCACCCTGCAGTCTTCATTACAAATGGAGGTAGATGAACTTGCTTCTGCCCACCCCACCTTAACTATCTCTGATGCCCCTGTGATGGTGGGTACAAATGTTGCACACAGGTAACACAGCATAATTGGCATGTACAATTTGGTAACTGAATGTTATGGCACAGCTGTATATCCAATCGTGAAAGTAACAACTGCACAGTGAAAGCACACAAGGTACTTGATGCTATTGAGAAACAGATCTGAACTCTACAACAATTCCCCTCTGCCAGCTATTGGCAACTTCATCCCAATCTCGAAGCAGTTAGGAATGCCTTGGGCAATGTAACAAGACAAGTGGATTCCATTACAAAATGCAAGAGAGAACTTAGGAGTTTGTGTGACAAGTTAGAAGAATGCATCAGCCCCAAGGACAATGACAATGGGCCTATAGACTATGACTCATGTATGCATGTCAATTGAACTCACAATTTGCCACTAATCCTGTTAATGTAGCACACCACTTCAAATTATCAATCAATAAATGTGATGAAACAGTCCAGGTCTCCCTTCTCCTTGCTACTGTTAGTGTGCTGGTACTGGGTGTTAGCCACAGGGCTGGGGAATTTTTCCTACAAATGATTTCACACCTCCTCAGCTTAGTATTTGACTTGGTTGTGTCGGAAAATCTGTATATTAGTTTCAGTGCATCACAAGCAATTGCAATGCCTGCAATCAAATGTGTAATTAAAATGGCATTGCAATACTAAAGTTTTCTATGTAATTGGACTTACAATAGGCATTGCTATGGCATAGCAAGGTAATATTTGGGGGTCAATAATACAAACATAGTGCCATCACCCCTACATTGCAATGCAATTATAATGTAATTATAATGATTGTTATGATAGCCTTGTCATGTGACAAACATCCAGACCCTGGGCACTGCTGTCCTACCATAATTGGACTTGCAATGTATTGCAACAAGAGCTGAGGATCACAATACACTTCAGACTAAGGCAACAAAAATTTTATATTATATTACTTTTTGTAATCTTATCTTATCACATTGGCCTCTCATGCTGTCATCATCTGGTTGAAAGGTGGCCACATCTGTGTGGCAAAGATTGTTGCCAGGTCAACCATGTGCATATCAATAGCAATAAGATGCAGAGGGATCTTGAATGCTGGGGGTAGATGTTCAACAACTGTGTGGACCATTCCCTACATAGATGTCAGGAATGGATATCATGGCTATGATTTCACTTACCAGCTGGGCCCACACAAGCTGAGCTGCTTTGCCCCAGTGCTTAGTGTCCCAGCCCCAAAGTCCTCTCAGTGCCTGCATTGTAACCCTGGCAGCCTCCTCGGCCATCCACTTGGCATTTTCAGCAGTGATGACCAGCTGGATGTTGTTGGTCAATTGTGCTGGGATGAAGGTACTGGTGTTGGCAGTAGACATAGTGCTGTTAAAGCTTAGGTGTGCAGGTGGTGGGTGCTTGAGCAGTGTGGTGAATTTGCCAGCTAGCATACACCATTCAACAGGCTTACATAAGCACAATACACATGCTCACTCCAGTGATGCTGTGATTTACAATAGTCAATGTACTGGTTTAATGACTGAACATATTTTGGTGGGAGTAATGTATGGCAGTTGACAGTCATTCCACTAAGTGCCCATTTACATTATGTATGCACTTGCACATCCTGCATGATGACTGATCAAAAAATATCGTGTAATACAATCTTATCACTGGTACTGAAATCATTCTCAAACATTGGTGTAATCCCCATGGTGCCTACAATGTTTTGAACTTTCATATGGCTCCCAGAAATGTTAGATTCAGTTCTGGCAGTCCAGATAAACTCCATAAGTCAACTGGTCCAAGGACCATTCATTACTTCTAATGACTGTGTGCAGTAATTCCATCATGCCATGATATGCAGTAGCTCACATCTCTTGATGAGGATGAGGAAATGTTTACTGAAGATGACCTGCCAGACATGACATCATCCCTGTTATGCGAGCCACCTTTCAAGCTGTCCCCAGCTCAAACAATATGCACAACTGGAACAGAACCCTCCTTCCAGTCCTCTGGTTTGCCCAGATCACCTTTGATAGAGCCAGCATGGGAGTCATTGGCACCATCTCCCTCCTCTAGCAGCCCATTGGTTGAGCCTCCTTGGGACTCCATATCAACATGCCTCTCTGACAGCACCCTGTTACTTGAGCTGGCATGGGACAAATCACCACCACCTGTTGCCCCAGGTACACCATTGCATGAGCTGCATTGGGGGTTGCCCCCACCATTCCAGTCCCCACCAGTCAGTCCTTTACAAGAACCAGCATTTCAGTTGCCTGCTGCCACAAGATCATCAGCTTACATCTACCCAACTCATGCAGCTGGCCAATCATCACAACCATTCATCCTATTGCATGAGCCCCAATTTTGGTCCTTAACTCCCCCTGTGTCACCAGCCTGTTGCAATCCTATCCTGGTTCCCAGCCCAACAACATTTGCATCACCTGGCAGCAATTTCCCTGGTCCTTGTCAACCTATGGACCTTTCAGATACTCCTGCATCATTCAGCTCCACATTGATACCACCAGCTAGATCCCCATCGATGGTGCCAATCCTGTTGTTGCATTCAGAGCTTTTAGCAGTCTCCCAGGAGTTCACCATACAGCTGGGAGTTGATACTCCACAAACCAAGCATAAGTCCAGAAGTTCCTATGCAACCATAGCTAAACATGTCTACCAGTTCAAATGTCAAGGGGGATCTCCAGTATTGTGGCTAGGAGTGGGGCACATCAGGCCAGACATCAATGCTGCACACAATGCTGATCTGATCACCACATATAGGTATTATGCCAATACCCTGGTGGACTGCAACCAGGTAGTGGTGATCACATGTTGAGCAGCATGCCATGCTTACCAGATTCCAGCAACAGTTAGCAGATCTTCTGGAGGAAGAGCCAGCAGGTGTAGGCTACCACCTTAAACCAGACCAGCTTTAATTTGTATATTTAATTCATTTCAATGAACATTATGTTGAATGGAATTGGAGAAGTGCACAAATTGGCCACAATTGGACTATGACAGTGGGTTATGGTACATGGTAGCTATGGGGCCAGTAGTTCACCAGCGATTCTTACACTGTGCACTATATATGGTTGTTGCCAGTCTACTGGAAAACAGTAGGTACCAGCCTCAATTCTACCTTCACCTCCTCATGGTTGGAGTAGGATAATTATCATCTGGCTGCCATGGGGGCCTATGATTCCACTCTGGGCAATGAGCCACACCATCCTCTTCTGCTTGATCCAACAGTCTATCTTCCCTGCCCATCACATGGCCTCTAGGCCTGGCATTTGAATTCCTACCCACTGGATCAACTCCTGACATGGATAAGTGTGTGTAATTGTGTTATGGATGTATACCTATGATCATTAGGCAATATGACCATCTTATCATTCTGGGCTGCTGTAGAATGCTGTAATGAGAGGATTAACCAAGTGTGCATGGAAACTGACCATTGGATCTGATTCTTGGCTTGGGCTTGGGCTTCCTTGCAGTTGAATCACCACCATCATTGGCATGATTGTCTGATACAATTCTATCAGCAATATTCATTGTTGCCAGATACCACTTACCAGCAGGCTTGGGGTATGCAGTAGCTGTATTGCACTGGTCTGATGTGGACTGGTTCCATCATCTGTTGTCCTCTTGTGCATTGGATGTTCCAGTGGGATGATCTTCAGCACACAATTCCAAGGTCATGTTAGGGTTACCAGTAAAGCATCTGACCAGCTCCAACATACCAGCTATCTGTTGCTGTTTGGTGGAAGGTTTTGTGGGAGGAGCTGGTTCCTCCTCTGAGTGATGTCCATAGTCAGAGCCATCAATAGAATTTACTTAATGTGTGATCAGTTATGTATATCCAAATTGATCATGACCTCACCTTCCACCCAGGGTTTCTTCCCTTTGGCTTTGTCTGACTGGCATTGGTGTTTGGCAACTGGCTCCTCCAGGGGACCATCCTGAGATCTCCACCTTTGGAACTGGAAGACATCTTCTGGGTGCTCCTGCTGTTGCTCCTTCCAGAACTCCAAGGTTTTGATTAGCTCATGATGTGTCAGCCTGGTGGGCTCTTTGAACAGGATATTGGGAGGAAGATACTTGGAAGACACATAGGATGCCTGGTTGTCAGCTATTGCAGCCCAAGGTACACTGGCATTTGTCTTCCCACAAGCCAAGCCTGTGTTTAGATGTTAGTAACTCATTGACCATGGAAATTGGCATGTACAATAATGGCCAGTTACAAACACCCTCATGATGTCCTTTGATTCCAGTGTCCATAAGTCAAGAGATTTGGAAGAATGGGCATGCCATTGTCATTGGTGGACAGGGAGAATTGAGACTGCTTTTGTTCTTTCCATGCTTTTACTGTGGTTTGACTGGCCTCATCCTCTCCACTGCCATCCTCTGTACCATTGGCCCCAAAGACCTTCTTTGTGTAGGCTGACCACTTTCCATGAAGGTCTTCCCAATCCAAATAGAGCTCTCCATTGCCCAGCTCATCATTGAAGTCGTTCCTACACTGGTCAGATGTGGTGAAGCCTGTCAGGAAAGCACTCACACTCCAACCATCACTTCACCTTCCTTATCCTTCCATGCTGACATGATCACCACTCTCATCCCACACTGCTTCCACATGTCATATGCAAACTGTTTTGCATACTTCCAGCCCTTACTCGTTGCCACCCTGCATTTAAGCCAGTATTGCCCATGGGAGAACTTGGATGCTTACTCTGCCTGGGCTTTGGGTGGTGGCTTTCTCTCATTCCACTCTTTTGCCAAATGGGCTGCCTGGTCCAATTCAGCCTTGGTCAATGACTGGACTACTTTCTGAATGGCTGGCTGATAGTGTTTGATCATAGCCAATGTCCTGGGATGTATTCCAGCCTTCAAAAGTACTTGCTGGATATCCTTCTTACACTGCAGCTTTATCACCTTTAGGGCCATCCATTTGGAGCCATAATTGACCAAGGCCTTCTGTGCCTGGGACTGACTGTTGTTATACATCCAGTTCTTGATGGCCTGTAAAATATACTTAACATGACTGCAAGCACATCAAAACCATCAAGCTTACTGTCTGTTTTCTATTCCACTCATTTTGTTTGAGGCTCTTGTTGGCATCCAGATGTTTGATTTTGTTCCACATGCCCTCCATCAGTGAGGCCCTTTTGTTTGTGTCAGCTTCCTTCCAATCATTTAGACCATCTTGGAGGATTTGAAGTTCATCCAGTCTCAGCTTTCCCAGTGTAGATTTTGTTGTCTCTGTGCTATCCAAGCTAGATTCCTCATTGGAGGAGAAGTCCTCCTCATCTGAGGTATTACCACAATTAGTACTGTGATTGCTGCTGGCCATTCTGAATGTTGGAGAAGATGTTGGGGTTGGTTAGTTGCAGGTAATGTTACCCTCTGTTGAAAGAAAATTTGGAGTCCATTCCTCATAGTTACTGTCACCCATTCTTGAATAAAGTTCCAGGGGCTGAGTAATGTTCTGGTCATGATACATACCCATTGTTAATATGGTCTTGTTCCAGTTGATCAGTACCATGGCCAAACATGGTAAGCCAATTTGTCTATCATCCAGACTGCTACTATATATAGATAAAGTATAGTTTGATCCTGATTGGATCTTCTGACATTGATTCCAAGATCCAACTTGAAATCATAGTTGTGCCAGGCATCACAATGAGGCATGTATGTCTGAGGCCTGCAGACATCCTGCAAGGACTTAATACTGGACATGGGCAAGTCACAAATTGCCCTGAGCTGCATTGGCCACCACAGTAACCCATGTCACTTGGAAAAAGGTGAAAACAACAAGGGGATCCAAGAAAAGATGGTCAAGTTTACTCTGAGAAAGAAGGCAAGATATGCAACCAGCCAAAGCAATGAATCACCTACTAGGGCAGGATCTTTGAGCATCCAGGAACCCAATTTAGTCCAGGGTAATGATGCTGACCTATATTGCTACATGGATGGTGCATCACCACTGAGGACATCAAGAATTCCAAAAAGCCAGGTGTGCATTATCAAACATCCCTAGTGTTGGCAATGTGTGCCTTATGGTATTACAGAACAGTTATCTGGAAGAGTGGCTGCCCTATAAGAGTAGATACCTGTCTGTGCTCCTGGACATGGAGGCCCCACCTGATGTCATGGCTTGTTTTGTGTGTAAAGCAGAAGGGGAACCATATAGATGCATGCACTGTGTTCATTGCCCATTGTCTTGTAAAACATGTTGCATCAAGCATCACAAACTCAGACTGTTCCATCAGGTACAAAAATGGAATGGAAGATTCTTTGAAGACTTCACTCTACAGCTGGTGAGTTCTGGTTTCAACCCATCATCTGTGATGACTGATATCATAGGTTGGTTTGGTGCTACACTGGGGCCATGCCAGAGCACCATGCCTGGCAGGAGAAGGTTCTTGGGAGGATGCTACCAGCCATGTAGATGAAGAGTGGGAGGACATTGAGGAGAGTCAATGACTGGCACATCTCAACCCACTGGATGATAGAAACTATCTGACAGCTGTGGACACTGGTGGCATGCACTTTTGCAATGTGGCAGTATTGCAACTGCCCTGGGTCTGAGGATTCACATCTTCAGCTTACCATGGCTGGCCTATTCCCAGCTATGACTAAGGCACCAAGGACAGCTTTCACTTTCCAGGTGCTGGATGACTTCATCAGGGACAATGTTGAATGTGGAACCTCCACCATGAACTATTATAGCAAACTTCAGAGAGTCACCTCAAGCATGTTTCCTCACCTAGTGCCAGTGAGTGCAATCACCCCTGGCATACCATATGCCACATTGCTCATGCTGGTTGAAGAATAGGTATAGGGAATTGCTCAGGGTGTCAAGAATGTGGAGGCTCCTAAAGCTGTTGAAATGGCAGGGATTCCATCAACAGTCACCTGATCCCTAGGCTGGTGAACTTGTCCTCTTCTGCCCTGCCTGTCCCCAACCAGGGATCAATGTACCAGATCAGGATATCAATCTCTCTGAGTCCATATTCTATTCATTATTGCAAAGGCATTGTTAGCCTGACTTGTGTAGCTGGTGGTTTGCTAGGACCTTTGTGATGGATGGCAACTTCAAGGCCAAGCATATGCTTTCCAAGAATGCTGCCAAAGAGGTCTGGTTCATGGATGGAAATGGCTTCATAGTCACATCAGCTCCATACAAGGAATATTTGCTGGGACTGTAAATCGAATAGAAGTTGGTGCACCATGATCTCTCCAAAGGCACTGGACTGATTGTGTCATGCAGAAATCTGACTGCAATGACCACTGGGCTGTTAATCAAGCAAATGCACAAAGGAATAAGTTGGAATTGACCAGGATTGGTGGATGTGCCTGTGCAAGGCATGGCTGTTTTGTACCTCATGCAATGGTTGACTTTCAGAAGGGAGTGCAGTACACATCAATTCATAGTCCCTGGTCATGACTAAGAATATAGCATGCAGGTCAATATGGATTATGCTCTGGTCCATGCCATGCACCATGGATTGGACCCCCAGCAACCAGTCATAACCTTTTATGACATCAATTGTCAGTATAGCAAGAACTTGGCCCACTGGCTTGAGGAAAATAGATATCTCTCTCTGCCTTCCAGATTACAGATTCAGCCCAGCATTGGACTATGGCATGTCCATGGCCATCAGACAGAGTGCTTTGCCAGATATACTCCAAACTTTATTCCAGGTGCCAGCCAGGTGGATGGTGAAATCAGGGAGACCCTCTGGTCTTCTCTCAACATAATCTCACCATCAGCCTGGGGAATAGTGACAGCACACTGTCAGGAGTTGCTGGACTTCCAAATGAATGATAGTAACTTCCTCAAAATGATATGGATGCATATGTCATCACAGTAGCTGGTTGACCATTGCTTGATTACTTGCACATGGCATTGGCATTGAAACAGAAGTTCAAGGTTGCCAAGCAGTCATTAGCAACAATCCAAGATAAATTCAACAAGTTGAATAGCAAGGTACCAGATGGCTTGTGTCAGTTATGGGTGGAACAAGAACTTGTGGCACAGTCATGCCAGCAGAATACTCTGCAGGCCATGGACATATATGAAGTCTGGCTGGAGAAGGGTAAGGGGGCCAACTGTATCATCTGTCCCATAACATACATACATCATGGTAGCACCCACCATAAAAGCCATTGAGATTGACCTAATCCATAACAACCATTCATTCAGCAGCTCACATGGTTCAGCTATTTGGATTGCATGGGCATTAAAGGTTGAGCAGGCTCAAATAGTGCTTGCTATGGATACACAACAGATGGACACCAGGGCAACTGAGGCAGACCAGTTGCAATCACAGATTGATGCACTAGTACATGGAGCAGCCCAGTTCATTGGAAATGACTGGCAAGTTAACCCCAGGCAAAGGACCAGAAGTATAGCCCCATTTGATGGGGACAGTAATGATGAAACTGATGATCTGTTCTTCCCTGATTGTCCTGGTCACCAGGAGGTCAGCAATGTTCCACTGCCATCATATATCAGAGTACAGTATTTCCATGACATTGGCCTTGGCAGTCTTGTGGAACAGGAAATACATCTGAGACAGGGCCAGGCAAATGATGCATTGCATGAATTGCATCTGGCCCTCATGGACAAGGCTGTGATATTTTGTACAGATGTCCAGAAAGGAGGGAACTACAAAATGACAACCCAGGCATGGGGGCAGATATCCAATGCAGAGGCAATGGTTCAGCAGCATGCTGCCATCTATTGCCAGTGCCAAAAGCAACTCATTGCACTGGGGGCTGGGGAGGACATTCTTGGAAAATACCAAGAATTGAATAGGGCAGACCTGACTGTGAGTGCCACAATTGCAGACCCAAATGCAAGAGGTCATTGTGATGACACTCTGGCCTGGTTTTGGACCATGGACATTCCCTGGGATTCTGCCATGAATGACAGGATGTCAGAATGTAGGTAGATCAATTGGGCTTGTGTGAAATATTGACTGAATTATCATAGTTTACTGAGTCAACTGGCTGCATACAAAAGTGCTATGGGATTGCTGGGAAGAAGAGCTAGAGTTACTCACACTGGAGACTGGGTGGACACAGAAACTCTTCTTACACAAGGAGAAATTGTGGAGTGGCCAGCATATGGAGGCATTGGCAGTGGGCAATACCAGCTTCACATGTTATATGGCTAGGCAGTCCCAGATGTATTGAGATTTACCCAGAACACTAGGATGTACTTCAAGATATGAATTGGAAGAGTAATGTGCATATATCTCTAGATAGTATGAAACTGGGGAAATTACATATCAAGATTCTAATGAGATGTGTAATGAGGACAGCACCCTACTGATTGGTGGCTCCTGGTGTGAGTCAAAGTGTGGTTCAGTGGTGAAAACCAACCAAAACCAACACAAAAGACAAACAGAGTGAGTGGTGGTGTGCCTATGTGGTATCTGGATGGTAGAACCTTTGACCTGGATGGGTTTTTGCAAGCTACAACACTCAAGGACAAGTGCTGAGGGTTGGGGGTGCTCCTGATGAAGAGGGAGCAAGAATGTGATAGAAAGTGATAGGGTAGACTGCTGTCAGCCTACAGAAGGATGGATGGCAACTTAATTTGATGTTCTAAGCTGCACTGAGCTCAGGGAGGGCCTGGAGCAAAGTATATTGATGATAGACAAGCATAAGCAAAGTAGACAATAGTTAGACCCTTAATAAAGTCTCAACTATCAAAGCTGCTGAATGAATTACTGAGTGATGATAAAATGTGAGCAAGAGGGGCTCTCTGACATGTCTTCTTTTTTTTTTGCTATCTAAGTACAGTGATTTATATACAGTACAGGGGTGTTTCCCTTGGAAAACAAGGTGCAAACACTTGGTAAGTGATTGGTAACTGATGAGTAAGGAATGTAAGCAAAGGGTAATCATCTTGGAAAGCATTGGTAAGGATTAGCAAGCCAAAAGGCAAAGAATCAGTAAGCAAAGTCAAAAGATTGGTAAGTATTGGCAATAGGTGAGTCAGAGACAGTCAGAACATCAAAGTATGAGTCAAGTAATGTCAGAAACTGGGAAAGTGCACTGGAATCACATTAGGGGGAGGCTGTGCATGTCACATCTCAAAGAGATTGCTTCTAGGCCAAGGTGGGATGACAGAGAGGCAGCGCTGACCTGATGCCAATATTGTACATCCAAAAGTGGACAGGATGAGTCAGATGTCAACAGGGGTCAAGCTTTGGGGGTCTGTGGGGTGACAGGAGCATAGAGGATTGCAACTTTCCCCCCCAAACCATCCTCTCAGTGAAGCAAATAAAAACTTCATGAATGAGGCTCTGTTGGAAGAGAGGATGAAGGGGGAGTGTCTTCTGCCATATCTTGCAACAAGGAGGCAAGATGTGCATCATACTCATCATGGATGCAATCAGGGAGAGTGGAGAACAGTAGATTATACTGTAGCTGTTGCAATCTTGGAAGAATGATGGATGAGACTGGTATGAAGACATTGCAGGGAGTAGGGAGGAAGGATCCATATGCTTCTTGGACTGGAGAGACTGAAACAACCACATAAGACCTTTCCAAGTGAATGACTAGACCTGAGGTGACCAAAGAACATCCTCCTAGAGGTCATACTGACAAAAAGAACACACTATCCAAGCTGGATGGGCTGAGAGGGCACAGATGAGGGTGGGATGTACCAGGATGCTTCAGGATGGAAGCTGGTAGGAACTCCTGGCAAATATATGTAGCCATGGTCCCTAGCAAAGGGGACAAGTGAAATGACTGATGTGGAGGTGGCCATATCAGAAGAATTTAGCAAAATGAGCATCTTTTGGAGGGAGTGCTGTAGAAACATGTGGAGTGCACAAATCCTTTCCAATTTTGGAAGGTAAGATCACGTGGCCAAGCACTACAAGCAAGTGTGGGAATGGTCTTGGTAGTCTGCAGAAACAGTGGAGATATGTCAAAAACTGGAATGCCATACATGGGTGCTTAAGAATTTTAACCAGTGCTTAACTTGCTCCCTTTCTTTTTCTTTGGCACTGATGACTTGTTCTTGTGTAAGGGATGACTGCTGACATTTCTGGCTGTCCTTCTTTGCATGAGGGGAATGGTCTCCACCTCCACTCATCAGCTGTATCCATGTCCACCTCACCAAACACCTTTGGTGTGTGACACTGGCTGGCTAACTCTCAGAAGTCCTCAAGCTGGTCCTGTACTTGTCCAAGCCTGTCAAAAAGGGTGAGCCATTCACTGCAGAATTCCATCACACCATGGAGCTGGTGAATCTCCTCCTCCTCCTGATGGATCATCTCATCACAGCTTTCAATCAACTGGCCAATGCTGTCTGATGGCATCTGGTGCATGTCACACAGCAGTGGGAGGCTGACTTTCCCTCCCTATGGCATGGATGGATTCAATGGAATGATCAAAAAATGACCACCACACACCTCAAACCCAACAAAGAATTCCTTGGCCTCCTGCAAAACTTCCTCCAATGACCAATGATCATACCCATCCAGATGGGTAGGGTCCCTTGTCCACCAGGTATGTGGCATAGGACTGGTGTGGATCATATGTCTCACCTCTCCTCTTTTGACCTGCAGCACATTCAACTCCATGATGCATGCCAGCAGGGCAGTCTCTCCCATATTTTGTATGGCTGTCCACCAAAGCAGTTCATTGGCAACATATGGGACCTTCATGATTGTCCCATATGAGTTGCAGGTAGCCAGGGCCTGCTTCAATATATGCTGTGGAAAAGTGTGTGACACAGCGAACCAGCATCCATTTCAACAAACTCACTGTTTCCACCTGAACCTGCTGATACCAGTCATCTGGCAGTTGATCACTTGGGTTCTTGGCCTGCTGCAAAGCATATGTGAACTGTCTAAATCAGACACCAATGTATTGGATTATCATGGAGAGGTAGGATAGATTAGCAGTCCTGACATCCATGGTGATTCAGAGTAGAGTTGGATTGGGTGCAAATGTTATTACATAGCAATGTGGCTGACACATGTGATGACCACAAGATAAGAGATCATCAATAGTCACATCCTGGGAGGCCAGAATAGCAAGTGGCCTATCCCAGCACAGCAGTTATCATGAGCCAAGTGGCTGGATATCAATCTGAACAAGACTAATGTTGATAATGTAGTGTATCTATGCATTACTGGCACTGCCAGACCAGTACTGGGAAAGGCAGCATTGCATTTTCTAAATGGCTGTGGAATAGGCAATTAGTTGGAAAGGCCCCAGGCTATTGTCCAATGCTTGTGGACAGTGCATAATGAAAGGTCCACATGCTGAAATATGACTGGTGTGATAGGAAGTGTAGCTAGTGCCAGACCCATAGCAGAACATTGTATCCATGCATTACTGGCACTGCCAGACCTGTATTGGAAAAGGCTGCATCATGTTTTCTCAATGGCTGTGGAGTACAAAATTAGGTTGAAAGGCCCTGGTCCATCATCTAATGCTTTGGCATGGTGTATAAAGGAACATGAACACCATGAAATGGAACTGGTGTGGTGGGAAGTGTAGCTAGCACTGGAGCCATAGCAGAACTTGCCATCTATTGCCTCTATCTTGGTACCCATACCATGCTGGAATAATATGTGGAAGCTGGAGGTACTATGCCACCATGGTGGCACCTGTTTTCAAAGGCCAGAATGGTCATTTACCAATGCCGTGTAACCATGGCAGCTTCACTATGGTCTAGAAAACACCAGCATACATAGCCACAGTTCCATACTACACACTACAGCTACCAGATAACCCATCATCAACACCGTGCTTGCTATATCGTCTTCCATTCTTAATGGCAATAAATCACAGTGCCACCTGGGATATTACACACTATATGCACCAGGAATTCTCCAGTCAAACCTTCCCAGGACTGAATGCCCCAAAACCAGATCCTCCACTCTACATTCCAACACACAGCATTGTCACTATGAATCAGATAGTGGCCAGCATGCATGTGGCATACAATAATAGAAGTAAGCTGATGTCCCAGCTGAATGTCAAGTCAAATGTAAATTGTATTGCAGAGCAAAGCAGCTTCAATCTGATCTGGCTTTCTGAGTGCCTTTCAGCTATGGAATTGGGGGTTGATGAAACCCAGGAGGCAGGCCACCTGGCAGCGCATCCATCAAGTCTCACTGGCTTTGTGGATGAACCTATGGTAATCCTTGGTACCAGTGATACCATTGCATTGTGGTACCTTCCCAGTGCCATCACTGATGATTTGCAAGTCAGTTCAAACATTTCCTTTACACTCTATATTATTCAGGCATCCCTGCAGACACACATGCTTGCCACTCTGGACCCCCTTCACCATGCAATGTCCAAGAGTATGACAAGTGGCTCCTGGCAGAAAAATGCTGAATATTTCAATCACACTTCATGGTCACCAGGGTGCCAGGAGTTTTCCCAGCCAGGCACCAACAGGGGCATATGGTATGGTTATATTACCTCAGGGGTATGTCTCTCAAGTGGCATCCAGACCATGAACTTTTCCCCATCAGTTTCCACTGACCTGCAGATGGATGCTGGTCATGAATGGTCCCAGCAGTCTTACCTCCTGGCTGCATCCTCTCCAGTGAGCTTTCAATTATGCACCTAGGCCTGTATGACACTGGAAGGCAAGCCATGCAGTCATTGGACACATGGTCAAGTCAGCATAACCAAGATATGCATGATGCCTTGCAGCACTGGCCATCAGTTTTTACTAATGTCTCCATAATCTCTAACCAGACCACACCCTTTCACCAGGACCCACACTCATGGTCTGATTGGTATGACATGCTGGTCATGGTTGGTGATTATGAAGATTGTGTATTGGATATCCCCATGCTTGGCCTTCAGTTCCTTTACAACCCTGGCACTGTAGTTGCATTTTCCAGCAGGCTTCTTCAACATGGGGTTAGTTCTGTGGGTGGGAACTGATGTTGCTTTGCCTACTACATGAGGGACAACATACACAATTGGATAGGGATACCCCATGGGGATTGGATGAGAGTTCAGAATGTCCAGACTTGGTTGACACCTGCAGGTCTGGTGGGACATTCCATATAACCTACACTTATCCAATAGGGGATCCATGTAAAGGTAGTTCTATAGATATTATATGCCATACCAAGCCAAGTTATTTTCCATATACCTCCCCAAATATTGACTATGGCTGGCCCATAATTGGCAGAACACTTCAACTTGAGCCAAATCCAGTCAGACAGCACACTGGGAGATTGGCTTGCTTTTTGTGCATGAGACCATGGCATATGTGCCAGACCACATAGATTGGTGATCATAATACATGGGCTGATTTGAGACAGATGGGACACCATATCGTGGGCCTCCCATATACCATGAAACACTGGAGTATTCACCCAGCCTGTCCTATGGGATCATAATATCTGGGCCCACCCCAAGGACATGGTACAATGGACTATAAGCCTTCCATAGTACATGGGCACTCCTATTTGGGCTGAGGGTGATGCACATAGCACACTGAAATATGCTCCTACCATTCCAAATGGAACACTGCAGGTCCAGCTGAGCCTTATTACATGGGCCACTGATATATAAGCCCCATAGACAATAGCTTCCCAGCTGAGCCAATATATATGGGACACTATTTGTATGGCTCATCCATTCACCAGGGGATGCCAAAAGACTAGCCCATCATCTACACTGGTAACATTAAGTGGCCTTCACTGGGCATCCATGCCAATCAACTACCATAGGCTGGGCATCTGTCCTGGTCCCCTATCATAAGGCTGGTATGTGTCCTGGGTTATGGTCATCAACTGGGAATTTGGCCCAGCTGACTGGACTTTGCCAGAACATATACCAGCCCAATAGAATCCCATTGGAGTGCCTTCTGAACCACTGTAGACAGCCCAGAGGGTGTCATCCATCCTGGCCAACTGGAGTTGGTTCAGAATTGATGCCAAACAACTGCCACCAGCCCACTATATTGTGGCTGGTAGGTGTCCTGGGTCATGGTCATCAACTGGGAATTTAACCCAGCTGACTGGATTTGGCCAGAACATATACCAGCCCAATACCATCCCACTGGAATGCCTTCTGAACCACTGTAAATAGCCTGGAGTTAGTTAGGAATTGATGCCAACCAACTGTCACTGGCCTTGGCCCCCTGCTGGTCCCCTAGATTCAGCCCAGTAGATATCCCAGCTCACTGGCAATAACATGGGATCTGACCCAGCTAACTGGAAATGTCAGGAAGTCATACCAGCCCAATAGAATCCCACTAGTGTGCTTTCCAAACCACTGGAAATATCCTGGAGGCTGTGATCCATCTGGCCCACCTGGAATTAGATGAGCATCCATGCCCACAAACCACCACCAGCTTATCCTCTATTCTGGCATATTTGCACTATACCAGTATGGGTCCTGGCTTACTAATACTGGCATGAAAGCTGGCTAGCTGTATATTCCAACTACCTGCCATAATCCAGGCACCCATCATGGCCCACCTGCATAAGGCTGGTATGTGTCCCAGCATACTAGAAGTGGCCATAACTCATACTGGCCCAATGGATGTACATTGGTATGCCTTCTGACCCACTGGAAATAGTGTGGTGGCTGTCATCCATACTGGCCAACTGGAATTAGCTCAGCATCCATGCCAACTGACCATCACTACCTTGGCATCTGTGCTGGCCCACTAGCATAAGACCAGTATGTTTGCTGGCTTATCGGCATTATCCCAGCATTTGTCCCAGCTTACTGGAATTAGCCTGGCATTCATACCAACCCAATAGAATTACAGTGGAATGCCTTCTGACCCACTGGCAATTGCTGACACATGCTGGGCTCATGCCAGTGAGCCCAGACCAGGTTAGTACCAGACCTTTCCCAACTTGCCAGAATCCATGCCAGGATTATCCAGGCAAGATGTATATAGTAGTAACCCCTCAGCCACACTGTGCAGTATGGTGACATCCAATGATCATGGCTATGCTGTGTGACACAATGACAACTCAGAGGTGGGCTCAACTTTAGCTGGTCTGTGCAACATGGCCAATTGTCAAACTTGTTTGGTCATATGATACAGTACAAAGTAGGTACATTATGTGCACCAGCCTCAAATCTATTGAGCCTACCACTACAATTCAGAAACCACCTGGCAAGGTAGGCTGTCTGGGAAGGTGTGGATACAACCTTGAGGAGCACTTGTGATGGAGTGACAATGAGATGCATAAAGTCAAGGTATGTATGTCTTAGACAATGTGCATCATTCACTAAGGTAAGACTTGGCAGTGAGTCATCCACACAGCAGTGAAGAAGCATCTCAATATGACGAAAAGCAGGAGCTACCAGGATTTCAAAGCTGTTCAGAAAGTCACTGGCATTGTAGGTTGTTTATTGTGTCCAGAGCAAATTTACTCACCCATTTTAGGCCAGGTGATGGTTCCCATGGCTTGAGGACTATGAGCACTGTTGGCCCATTCTCAATATGATTCACCTTCATCTCAAGTACCTTTCATCAAGGCACTGGCAAAAGGTGAGAAGAGACACCTCACCTGAGTGAACTGTCAGACTCAAACTGTAGGTGGGTGCTCAATGTGCTGGATACAGTCAGCCCAAAGTACCTGGTACCTTTGTGCCTAGAATCCATCATATGCATACATCCTGCTCCAACTTATAGCTATCACCCACATATCCACTTGTATGCCCTATTGTATAGATGATCACTGCATGCCATCTTTCATGTTGTCTTGTATGAATGTGATGAGATCTTTATTGTGTTGTGCTCATGAACTAAGCCTAAACCTAATGCACACTGAGTCTGCATGTTCTAACCTACAATACTGAGATTGATGGTGTGTGTGTTGTGCAATTTTGCTGTGGCTACCATGTGATCATGAGTTGCATTAATTTTGTATCTATGAATTTGTTTCTACATTTTTCTCCATTGTGCTGCCTTTGCTGCCATTAGACAGTTGTAAGGTACTAAGCACAACTCATGATCATGTGCATGTGTCAGGTTTAGTGCTTTGCTTAAGTGGCTACCATGTGATCATGAGTTGCATTCAGTATATCAGTGGTGAACTTTCTCATGAACACTTTTTCCCTCTTTTCACCATCCCACAGGTAAGTGGCCAATGTACAGTGCTACCTGCATACTAACTGCATCCTACAGTCATGTCATATCCTTTGCAGTAAGTCACTGGCACAATGTTCAATTCACAATTGCTCATTGCAGTTCAAGTGTTCCACCCAATAAACATGCATGGTAGGGTATTGTGAGCAGCATCTGACTTGATTGCCACTGTGACAGTGACTTGGCAACTCAAAGTACAATGTCTGAGTGCTGTTGAGCATTTAACCCAATAAACATGCATTTGTATATATGTAGACACTGTCAACCATAATAATTAAGGTAGCTTGTAGTAACTTATCAAAGTGGGCATTACAGAATCTCAATAATACCAGTGTAGACCAAGATATAATGAAATTGTGCATGCTTGAGTAAAGATAAGCACAATGTATGCTGCATACTCAGCTATCAATCTGACTACATACCCCTAGATCAGTCTTATTGTCCACATCAAAAGATACCATTTTTTGTCCTCTTGTCCAGGACAATAGCAGTTCTGGTTGCCAAGCTTAGTGCCCATCCCCTCAAATAGCAGAAATCATCACCTTATATTGCTTCGTTAGTACTTCCCCCTCCACTCTATTTACTGCTCACTAGTTACCTCCAGCTCTACAACAACCCTGCTATCAATGGGGCCAAAGGTCGAAATCACTGCTGCTCTCCTCAATGACAAGGCATTCACCTTTCTGGTTCATGCACAAAGAATTCACTGACACCACCCTCCTATTCAACATCGAAATCAAGCTTGCCATTGCTGGCATCACCTTCAAATTGGAGGAATGGTTAGACCTGATTGAGATCATCATGTTGAATCTGGGGGCATGGGGATAAATGCCATCAATGCTGCACAGAAGCTCAAACAAGCTAAGGTAGCCCAGTAGTTCCCTTGTTGGAAGATGCTGCCACATGACAGTTGGTTTTGCATTGGGCAACTGACAATAGCCTTTCCTTCAGCATATTCTTGATGGGGATGGAGAAGTTCAGTGACAGGTACCAGTTCGATGAGTGGAAGTCCATCTTCAACCAAGTATTCGAAGCCTCTCAGGAGGGTACTGCTGTTGAGGTCATTAGGGCAGCCATGGCTGAGTGTGGCATTGTTGAGCCCTCTAGTAAGTAGATCTTTAAATCCTCACAATTTACTGACATCCACCAGGTGTATGTGATCCCCCCCCTGCTCAAGCTTCTTCCTCCCATAAGTAAACTTCTCAATGCAATTTCATAAACCAATTCATTCTGTATCTCACAGGTGACATCTCCCATATCATCCTCTCCCCCCAAGCTCCTTCATCACAGACTCATAAGCCAATGTTCACCTTAGGTTTTGGATCCCTCACTAACCACTCAATCAAGCAAAAGCTCACACAGATCCCACTGCTCTCTACACCCAGCAAAGCATCCAAGAATGAGCATGTCTGCTTCTCGATATCTGGATATTTCTGCACAGGAGGATGAAGAGGACAAAGAGGAAGACAAGGAAGATGAACTAGACAACAAAGTGGACTGCTGTCCAAGGGTGACCACAATAGCTCCATCAGGGCACATGAATCTAACTCAACAGCTCAAAAGCCTTTTCCACCACTATGGTGGTGAGGGGAGTGCAGAAGGGTCAAGGGTGAAGGTGCATCAGCAGGGCCCAGTGTGTAATGTCAAAGATCATATGGAGGTGAATATGAATCAGACTCAGCCAAGAGTATTCAAGGTCATGCTGCCCTCTGGTACATCATGTCTCCTCTTCACTCCTTTGCTCGGGAACTTACCTGGACTCCATTAGCTTGTTGTGCAGGATTAATCCCAAGCAACCCCTGGGTCACCACCCCCAATGATGTCAATGCACAACATTGCAGTGAGCAGGAGTGACAGAGCATTGACTATGGTATGTTAATTCTCTCCCTCCCTTGCCACACATTTTCTTAACTTTGTTGTTTAGGATGCATGTCCTGGCTCTTTGACAATGACTTCTGTAACTTCAGCAAGTGGCATGTCTGCTTGAGAGTCAGGCTTGCCTACAATCATGGGACCCTGGGCAAGCAAGTGGTTCACACCACCATTCCAGATCATTTCTTTTCAGAGAAGCATGGTGTGGTGCCTCCTGGGCATGTGTTGGCCACTGTGACCTCAAGCACTGTAAGCACCATCATCAAACATCACACTATTCTGGCATGCAACTTGTCTCCTGCCAACCCAACAAGTACTGGTCAGCACTGCCTAATACTGAAGGGCATGCTCAAAGGCAAAATTCACTGCATCAGTAAATGTCAAACTAAAAAAACCCTGAAAGGGGTGGTATTAGAGAATGGGACTCAGCTCCCATTATATGATGTTTGCCTGATCATCACTGTGTGACTCATTGATGCTGCAAGATAGGCCATTCAGCCTAATCATGATCGATTCACTGGCATTCCTTCAGTGCTTTTGTATAGTCACATTGTATAGACAGATGTAGGATCTGTATATAGACATCACCTTTGTGAGCTGTGTTGATATGCCTCCAGACATGAAAATGACCAAATGAGGTGTATCCCTTAGAATGGTCAATTTGCCTACAACTATAACAATGAAGGGGGTGCACTCCCCATCATTATATTACATGCTGCCTGGGTTGCTGCTTCCTTCCAGTACCATTACTAGAGATTAGTCAATCATACTGTCGCCTAGATATGCTTAATTGTGTTGGAGATACAAAAAGAATGCCTAATATGGAGATCACTGGGCAGTTACCAGCTGATCATTGGCCTGCTCTCTGCCTGATGTCTTCTGAGCATCTCAGAATTGATATTTAGTTATTTACTTTGGTAACACCTTTTGATGATGCAGATAATCTTATATTTTGATAATCTCAGAATGGATTGCATAATATTGAATTATGCATCCCTACAAAGCAATTTCCAGGTTTCAACTTTTACTGTTGTTACCAGCTCTTTAGGAAGATATTATTGTCAATAACCTTGTGACATTCTTGCAATATATAGTTTCCAATTGTCTTCGGATACACATCTCAATGTTTCTCACAATATAGACTTTGGATAAATTTTATATGTTTGCTTGAAATCAAGATTTACAAGAGTCTCGTAATTTGATTCATCAGAAAATATGCTATTTTCACTTTGGAATACTCTTTAGAGCATGTGATAACATTGAAACCACCACAGTGTCATGATCCTGTGCCCCACACTGCCCCACAATACACACAAATGGCCAGCTGATGATGTCATGGTAATGATGATTGCGATAGAGGAGTCGGGTACAATGTGCCCAAATAGCCACCAAGCGCTCTCTATGTAGGCACTCACTACAGCATTCTTAAAAGGCTCGCATTGAGTGACCCTCGAGGACTCGGTTACCTTCACCCATGTTATAATCAATGCTCCTCCCTTCTACCCGACTCCCATGTCAATTCATACGACACCCAATGCCCACCACTATCCCTGTGCCTATCTTCAGATGCACTGTCACCCAGAACAGTGGTGGCATTCTCAGGGCTCTATCCCATTTCCCACTTCCCCTCAGTGGTCCTGCATTGGCTTGCCTCCAGAAGTTGCTCTGTGCCCAGGATGTGCCTTGGATGCACTGGATTGCCATCTGAGGTTTGGGACTCCACCCGCACATGGCCAACCTATGTTGTCTGAGCCCATAGCTCCCCTGGATCATGCTGTGCCCATTATATTGCTGGTTTATCGCCCAACTTGACATCTCAATTGTCGCCCCTCAATGTCCCCACATTGATATTGAGCTGGACTCTGACATCGACAGTGCCATCCAAATGAAGTTACATGATTGCTCCACATCTGGCTGAAATGCAAACAAACCCCAACCTCCGAACTCCGAGCGATTGGAACATAAGCTAGTTCCTGTGCCAAAAATGTTAGTTTTGATACCTTGCTAGACCCCACACATCACTACACCCTGTTTTGGCTAGTTGGCCTCGCCCACCACTCATGTTTTCAATTGGACTGACTCCACTTCACAAATCCCCAATACAATCCATGCGACCGCAGTGCCCACACCGAAGAGTGTCCCACAAGTCAAGAATATCCCATCCTGACTACTTGTCAGGCCATCGACCAGCCTTCTGCACAGACTGCATTGAACGGAAAGTGCTCCCAACGGCTCGGCAGAATTGATACTACCAACGGAGTTCCATTCAGAGCTCGTGGGAGCATGTGTAGTGATGCAAGTCATGAGGTGAGTTCAGTTGTTTCATTGACAATGAACTTTTTGTTGAATCTGTCTTTCAGTAAGTTGCACAAGATTGACAGGTTTACTAAGGCCTTATCCTTCTCAACTCTATCCAAAGCATACAAATGCATGGAAGATGCGAAATCAGCTTCCAACAATACCTGGGCATTGACCACACGCCTCAAGGTGCATTTTATCTAGGGTTATTCTTTCCTACACTTACCAACTCCTTTAGCTATCTTAGCAGAAACTGAGTCGCACTGTGATTCCAAATCCCACTGGTTGGGATGGAGAAGTTTGGAAACATGGAGATGGGCTTGCTGGCAAGATGGACCTTCTGAAGCTTGAAATGCCAATTACTAGTTTCTTCCAGTACCAGGATAGAAGATTTGTAGATAAGGGTTGCATGATACGCAGGTACAACGCAAGTGTCAATGCTGGCAATGACAGTGTCAGGCACTGGATTATACAGGCTTTGATCATAGCCTGTTCATTCCCCTACCTCCCTACACCTGCAACGATGGTGCCTGGGATCATCCTTGTTGCCATGCTCGTCACATGGCCAGTTTAGGTGGCAGTGGAGAGGTGTCTGGGTGAGTGGATGAAAAGGTATTTGGCAATGAGTTGTGAGAACAGGATGGCACATGCATGGGTGGGGTGAGCAGGGCATGAAAAGTTGGAGGAAATGGGGGGGGAAGCATAAGTACTGTTAAGATATAGATGGGCAGCATAGAGAAAGGGATTTTGGATACTAGGAGGAGATGGGGCTCTGTGTTAGGGTTCTTTGGAAGGGAGGGCTGGAAGATGGTCTCATTCATGAAGACTGGGGAGGATGCGAAGGTTCATGTAGGGATGGGTGCTGAAGGTGGTATCCAGAACTTGAAAGTATTGGAAGATACTTGTGAGCCTCAGGTACTGGATATGGCAAAGGATGGTTTGAAGATGCATTGATGATCTTATCTTGATATCACCACCTTCATCAGAAAAGGCCCTACAAAATGTTCGTGAGTTGTAAATAGAGGAAGTAATGTGACCAGTCATTCCGATGGTGTGATGCAATGATGGTAATTTCGGTGACATATCTGAGATCAAGCTTCCAAGCAGTAAGTAAGTGCATATGCACACGTGGCCCATGTGAGGATGATTTTAACTTTGGTCCCACAGCTGAGATTGATGCATTGATAGCGATCTCAGCTTCCAGTACCAGAGGCAGCAGATGCGAGCCCAGGGTTACTATATGACTGGCCTTCAACAGACATCACCACATCCACCCCTGCTTCTTCCAAACACTTCTGAATATCCTCCCAATACAAGATGTTCCATGAGCAAATATGGGAACTGCCTCTTTCACAGCGTGGATTTTGTATCAATCTGCGAGACTGGTATTATGACCACGTTGTTGACAGATGCGGCTGTGACACATGAGGGTTTGGGCACAGGTGTTCTCAAGCATCTGTGCATAAACAATGGTTTTTTCAGTTGATGAAAAACTCGGAATTTGGCCATCATGAGGTGCATTGACTGTGGTGTGTATACACAAGGATATGATGAGGGGGATAGTACTCTGCTACGACTAAAAGTGTTTCAAGGGCAAGGCGAAGAGGACACACCTAACTTATGGATCAACTCCCACTCATCCTGTAAAAATGATCCATAGTGGGCAGACCTCACATTGTCTTGTGGACATCCTAGATTCAGATCAACAGCATCATGGTATTCTTGGATCGCTTCTGTGAATGTGAGCAGGTCATTGGCACAAAACTGGATGTTGAGTGGACAGCCAGAGGGCTGCCTTCTCCTGCATGGGAGATGTCGAAGAAATTGTCACGGTGTGTTTGAGAGGGGTTCAGGGTGAATATCTACGCAGGGGAGTTCACTAGAAAAATAGGTGACACACTTTGGTGTTAGTCATAGCAGGGAGTGCCTGATGCCAACAATGTTCCGAATTATGAATCAACCACTATATCGTATTATGCAATAAGGTATGAATAGCGAGCTCAGCAAACATGGCCAGTGGGAGGGAAATTTGGATACACTCATCCTATGGAAAGCTGGACAACTGCGCTTCTGTACGGCCAAAAGTTGGAACTTTTTCTGGTGGTCATGTGGACATGCAGCATGTATCTTTGAAGTTGGGAAGTATTGTCGGTTAGGAGGACACTGGGACACTGAAGTCATGCAGTCACACATTCATGCAGTCCAAAGGTCATGCAGTTCATTTGGTTGTAGGTTATGCAGTCATACATTCATGCAGTTTGTTTGGTCAAAGGTCACATGGTCATCACCTTGTTTACAAGGTCACTGCACCCTGAAAATTGAGATGCTTTTTTCAACATCCCAGGCTATAGTGTCATTTTGATGCATCAAAGTGTGATAATTGTAGCATTACTGTGATGCAAGACTGCCTAACTCCCTTATACCAGTAGTGATGTGTCAGCATACTAGTAGTGCAGATCTGAGATCTGCCCACCCCCTCCCCTTGGGAGTTTCTCCCCACAAATCCCCACTCCTCCGCATTTTATGTAATCACATAAGCATAAAAAAGCGCAGCCACTAAAACTCCCAAAACATGTCCTCATTTAGCATGTGCCTGATATCCAACATTCCCACACACTGCCCTCATTGCCCCCAGCCTCCCTTCCTTCCTGGGCTCTGTCCCTGCCCTGTGGGCACTGTATATGATAGTTAGATGTACTATAAGTGTATTAGACCATAAATGAACACTTTTCTGCCCATCCTAATGGGCCTAAATGATTGCAAAGTGGGATAGATAGGGGGAAAAACAGAAAAAGCGAATGCTTTGTTGATATATTGGACATATCTATCTATTTATTGTGTCCCCTTGAAGGGGCCATGTTTCCCTACAACATATCAAAAGTTGATAGGTTGGGGTGGGGTGCTTCAAGTGTAGTGGCACAATTGCCTCCTCCTGTGTTACACCCTGAAAAATATTTTTCTGGGCTTTTTGGCACTGGTAATGTAATCTGACATAGTGTAGTGGTCATAATGAGTGTATTTGCATGTAATTTGATTATCCATGCAGTGTCTGAAAGGCTCTGAAAAACTGGAAAGTATCTTAGGGGCTAAGACAAAAAAAGTGCTTGCATGTTTGATATATTTGACATGGGCACTTAAAAAGGAATCAGATTGGAGGATGGCTCTGTACCTACAACATATCAACAGATCATTATGTGGGGCAGAAACCTTGAGGTGTTGTGCCATGATCTCTTCCTGCTGGTATGTAGGGGTTTCATCAGGTTATAGGCTGTTTACTGCTATTCTGACTATCTAGGCAGCACTGGAATACTTATTGGCAGTCACCACAATATTCCAAAGTGCATACATTCAGGGGAGAGCACATGGGAAAAGGTGCAAAAAATTGTGGAGACTTGCAAAACATATCAAAAAGATAAAATAGCACACCCCACACCATGTATGGTATCCAATGGATGGTAGTGCTGATTTTTTTCATATGATAGGACCTCCTGGGACTATATTAGACCCACTTGAGTGTAACACAACCCCAAGAACTTCAGACTGGGTGTTAGTCTCCTACACCTTGAGTAGCCAAATGTATCCATTGAATCACAAGTCCCAGTGTATCAATTTTCGCATTTTTGGGTTTTAATGAGTGATGAATATAATATGTTACATGTATGTATACCTCATCACCAAGGGAAACTCAGCACTACCATCCATTGGATACCATACATGGTGTGGGGTGTGCTATTTTATCTTTTTGATATGTTTTGCAAGATTGGTGTTTGGTGTGAGGTATTGGACTGCAACCATGAAATCACTGTCCAGAGGAAAGATATTATTTAATAATTTATTGAATGCAAGATAATAAAGTCTTTCTGGTGCATTTGGTCAAATGAGGTGGAATTGTGCAATGACTGAGTCAGGCAACATTGTGGTTGACCACAGATGGCTGCAGTGTAGGTGGAACAAGGCAGGCAATGGAGATGATGGTGATGGAGGCAGTGGGGAGGATGGTAGTGTCATGGGCAGGGTATTGTTCCCTCAACTACAAGTAGTCAATGGCACAGAGACAGAGGGAGTATGGCAACTTGATGACTGATTGACACCTTGTCAGTTGTCAACCCATGCTATAGCATGTTCAAAAGGTGGAAACTCACCACTGGAGGGAAGAGAATACTAAGATCAAAACTGAAGATGGATTGTGGACAGACATGTGTAATCAAAGGTGTATATGCTAATGCAGGATGAGAGTGAGAGTGAGAGAAAGAGAAAGGGAGGTAAGATGTGCACACAGAGCACATTGATATATGTACATATATATATAAGAGCATGTAACCCATATGGGGCAGCAGACACAACATGGAGCAATCAACTAGAATCAGATATCCATATGCCAAAATAAGACAGCAGAAAGCATATGCTCACAGTTGGCAGTCCAATTGTGCCATTAAATCCTGAACTGGATTTGAAAAACCTACAGCACTGGGTTCAGAAATAGCTGAGTGCATGGCCTCCCTATGGAACTCAGAGTCCTATCCAGACAGAAATCAGGTCACCTGACTTACTCTGACTGGAAATGGGGAAGGGAGTGGATGAGTGTTCTACTCCACTAAATACTGGAATTTACATCCCAATTTCACTCCAATTGAGTTTTCAATCTACTCTCTTGTCAAGTGATCGCTGATCAGATAGGATCCATACCATCTATGGAATGTGTAGTGTGCACCAATCACTAGTGTCTGCAGAAGCAGTAATGTGCTGGCTGTATTTATGGCTGCAAATTCTAGTGGGTCATTGCATCCTTGATACTGCTAGGGTTTGGCCATTATGACAGGTGGATTGGGGTCTTAATGAATGTGAATGACCTCAGAATGTGCCACTTACAAAGTTGCTAAGCACATCCAAGTGGCCAAACAAATCAAGCACTCTTGTGCACTGGAGCAGTAGGCAATATGGGTCCAGAGTGCTTGTGTATCCACTGGAACTTGGCTTTTCTTACCTATGAGCTGATCCATCTTTGTCCAAGACGCTGGACCAAGAACATTCAAATGGCCATGAACAAATGCTGAAGAAATTGTTGATGTACACACCTGTCCCATATCCTAAATATGAACACAATGAAAGACATTGATTGATCAACTGATCACCTGCTGTCCATGTCACACATCAAGCCCCTAGGTGGTCTGTGCCAAAATCCATGGCAGTCTGTGGGTTCAAACAGCAGCTAATTAGGCACCAATCAGGAAATTAACACTTTGACTATTTTGACTATTTTGTGACTATTGTGACTATTTGTGACTTTTTTGGACAGAATCTACTATCTGTGCTTTTTTTTGACCATACACAGCATTGAAGAATGAAAAGAGAGTGGAATCTATTAAGACAACTCAGGAATACTAAGTGGATGATATATCTAAGCCAAGAAGACTAGACAATGTGTCAAAATTCAGAGATATTGAGCCATTGGTGTGATACACACTCTCTGAGAAAAAATCACAACATCTCTTTGAAATCTCCATCAATTTTAATGTATGTGGTATCTACTGAAAGCTATGAATTAGATGGTTTGAATGAGACAAAAATCAGTGAGAACAGTGCAGTCATACCTGTTGGAGATGGGTAATGTACCTGTGGGAACACTGGTCCCTTTGTTCCCACAGGAATGGTAGCACTGTTCTCACTGATTTTTGTCTCATTCAAACCATCTAATTCATAGCTTTCAGTAGATACCACATACATTCAAATTGATGGAGGTTTCTAAGAGATATTGTGATTTTTCTCTCAGAGTGTGTATCACACCAATGGCTCAATATCTCTGAATTTTGACACATTTTCTAGTCTTCTTGGCTTAGATATATTGTCCACTTAGTATTCCTGAGTTGTCTTAATAGATTCCACTCTCTTTTCATTCTTCAATGCTGTGTATGGTCAAAAAAAGCATGGATAGTAGATTCCTTCCAAAAAAGTCACAAATAGTCACAATAGTCATGAAATAGTCAAAATAGTCAAAGTGTTAATTTCCTGATCTAGTAGTGGCATACTGGAGGAAAATTTGGAAACTGGGCATACTCAAAGATGCCTGTATAGACATGTCCCTACTATGTAGTATTGCATTCTGCTTGTTTCTACAGTATTCTCTGACTGATTTCATCTGACAATGGGGACTTGGACAAAGATATACTGTATATGAATGTTCAATTCACTGTCACACTTACCACTCACTATTGTCTACTATATGCATAGCAGACATGCATGGGGTTGTGAACCTTGTCTGTCTGCCCTCCATTCCATAATGGATAGTGATGCAAAAAGGCTCCCATCTTGGTCTTCACATGGAACTGTGGAGAATATTGATCAGAATATGCACAGGATCAAAGCAGATTTGTTATGTGAACTGGCTGTTATAATAGTGCTCTCATATCAACTAAACATGTCTTGTTCTGACAGATGGTAGGTATCAATACAATGATTTGATTTTGATGCTGTTGAAAAGGTATGTAGAGTGATCAATGACATCACTGGAACTTCTGTAGCATGCTACACCCTTCTCACACTGCCAAATAAATACCAATATGCCATGCACTGTATTTATATTAGACTAGCATACAAGAGATATAGAAAGTGCATAAAAGTTAGGTCAATATGCCCAATATCACCCTATATAGTATGTAATGATCAGGTATTGTAATCCTTTGCCCTGTACAATGCCATCACTATGAGAGTTACAAATCATTATACAGAAGATACCCATTTTTCAAGATAAGTATGAACATGCCATGCACCATATTTAGATTAGACTAGCATACATGAAATACAGAAAGTGCATAAAAGTTAGGTCAATATGCCCAATGTCACCCTAATGGTATGTAATGTTAAGGTATTGTAATCCTTCACCCTGTGAAATGCCATTGCTATGAGAGTTACAAATTGTTACACAGAAGATACCCATTTTCCAAGATAAGTACCAACATGCCATACACTGTATTTAGATAGACTAGCATACAAGAGATACAGAAAGTGCAGAAAAGTTAGGTCAATATGCCTGGTGTTGCCCTGAATGGTATGTGATGATAAGGTATTGTAATTTTTTGCCCTATGAAATGCTGTTGCTACAGAGTTAGAAATCATCATACAGAGGACACCCATTATCCAAGATAAGTCTGATCACTCTGTTTAGATTGGACTAGCATACAAGAGATGCAGAAAGTATATAAAAGTTAGGTCAATATACTCAATGTTATGATGGCTGCATCTGTAACATTAAACAAACAAAAAAGTGATTGCTGTGTATGATCTTGACAGTGGTACTTTTGATTCTGACCTTAATGAATTCAAGAGGGTAAGTAGGATTCTTATCATAGAGAACTTGGCTACAGGTGCAATTGTCTCCATGTAGTCAATACCATGTACCTGTGTGAATCCTTCTGCAATGAGTCACACCTTGTATTTATCAATTTTGCCCATCAGTCCTTGTTTTATTCTGTATACCCATTTTGAGTCAATGATCCTTCAATCAGGTGGCTGAGGGACCTCCTCATATAATCCTATATTCTTAAGCATTGTGAGTTCATCAGCCATGGCTGCATACCAGCAATCAGCATCAGGACACTGCATTGCCCCTGTGAAGGTTGCTGGTTCATGATTACATGATGTGTTTGCTTGGTAAGCATTGTGGTGATGTTGTTCACCATGAGGCTTATCACCACCTTCACTTGCAGTTTCCATGCTCTCTGGTGCTCTCTCACCACTCTCACCACATTTGTCCCTTCCCACAGCATCCCCTGCCACATCATTCATAGGCATTGATGAAATAATGTTGATCATCATCTTTTACAGGCATTTTTCAAATTCTAGATGATCTTCTGACACCTGGAGGTGGGATTGGCACTGGATATGGTCCTGGAGGTGTTTGTGATGATCCAGGGTATTGACCAGGCATAGGTGTCACCTGGCACCTTTGTTCCAAGGTGTGTTTGTCCTTGTCATTCACATGGTTTGACCCACTATCACCTTTTTCATTCTGGACTTGAACTCTGGGCTCAGGCATTGAAATGTCCTGATCATTTGTGATTGCCTCATTGCCATTAGTAGCTGTAGTATTATCTAGGTCCCCCAGTCATGTACTAGGTTATTTCCTCCTTCCAAGGCTGCATCCAAGCTGTCAGAGCTGCTATTTTCCTCTGTAGGTTGGTACTTGTGCCCTTGAGCATTCTGATCACTGATATCAGGCACTACAGGCTTTGTTTCCTTGACAACAATGTCAATCTGGACTCAGGACTTGTCTGTCCCATCTCCCTCATCAAAAATGACATTGCATGTCTCCATGATCTGACCCAAAGTCTTGTGTACACAGGTGTCCACCTTCTTGTTCTCTGAGTAGCCTAGGAACTGACATTCAAGGGACTTGACTCCCAGCTTTTGCCACTTTTCCTCAGGTATGTGGGCATGTGCTGTGCATCCAAAAACCCATAGATGAGAAATTACTGGTTTATGTCCTGTGTATGCTTTGTAGGGTGTAAAATCTTGCTTGAGTGCCCTTGTAGGCAGGCAATTTATTATGTGTGCTGCATGGAGGATTGCATCTCCCCAGTACTTGTTGGGTAGTCCAGCATCACTTAGCATAGTGCATGCAGATTCTACAATGGTGTGGTTCATGTGCTCTGCTACTCCATTTTCCTGTGGTGTATATGCATTTGTCTTCTCATGGTGTATCCCTTTGGACTTCAGGTAGGCTTTGAATGCCTTTGAGCCATATTCACCACTAGATGGTGTGAATGGCCATCAATGAAGGTCATGAAGTACTTGTGGCCTGTCCACACTGTTGTTTCCATGGGTCCACACACATCTGTGTAAGTCTGATGTAGTATGTGTGGATTGTCCACATCTGACTTTGACAAAATAGGGTCCCTGTGTTGTTTGCCTTCAGGACAGGCCTTGTATGTGTGTGTGCTGATCTCCCTGGTCCCTATGATGTCCATTCCAGACACCATGTCCTTGTCAAGCAAATTTAGGACATGTTTGACATTGGCATGTCCAAGATGGCAGTGCCACATAATTAGAGTAGTTTTGGATATTGTCATCTGAGAGGTGAGTGCCATGTGTGGCTCATTTGCATCAAGTGCATCTGGGGTATTGATGATACAGGCAGCATGGCTCCCTGATATGACACTAGCTTTGAGTATGTAGAGGGATCTGCATTTGGTGGTGAGAGCTACAACCTGGCCTTCCACATGAACCTGGCATGTCTATTCTCCAAAGGTAACTTTTAGTCCTTTCAAGGCCAAAGAGGGGACTGACATGATATTTGTGTTGAGGTCAGGAACATAGTATATATCTTGTAGGATGGTTTTGCTTGTGCATCCATCCTCAAGGTGCATGGAGAGCTCAATTCTCCCCTTGCCTATGGCTTGGATTGTTCTGCTGTTGCCAATGATCACTGGTTGAGAGGGGACCAGTTTTCTGAATGTTGTAAACCATGACCACTGGCAGCACATGTGTGCAGAGGCCCCAGAGTCTACAACCCACTCTGATGTGCTAGTGTCTGGGCATGTGTGAGCTACAAATAAGTGAAGAGGGCCTTCCTCTTCTGCTGTGACAGCTGCAATCTTTGCTGTCAGTTCTGACCTCTCCTTTGACTTATCCTTATCCCCATGTGAAGTACTTTGGGATGGAGCTTTAGCTGCTTCATCTGCTTTCTTCTTGTAGCATTTGTCCTCTGTGTGTCCTGTCTCACCACATGGTGCATAGGCACACATCTTCTCTTTCTTCTTCTTGTCTGCTGTTTTTGACTTCTTGCCTGGTTTGTCTTTGTGGCAAGAGCAGAATGTGATTTTGAAGTTTGTTGTGACTTTTCTTTGACAAGGACTTGGGAAATAACTGTCTCAGGAGTTATCTTGTCATTTGATGACATTAGGATTGTGCAGAGGGTAGAGTATCATGGTGGGAGCAAGATGACCATTGCAATGGCTACAAGTGAGTCCTCAAGTGGTTGTCCAAGCAAGGTGAGAATGTGTGCCTTCTGATGCATTGCATTCAGCTGTGTTTCCATTGGTTGGTCATCTGCAAGTGTTCCTTGGAACAACTCACCAATGAGGCCGGCAATAGTCTGCTTGCCTTTTCCTTCATATCTCTCACTGAGTTTCTTCCATGTCTCAGCAGCAGATTTCACATATAGTACTCCACTAAGGGGTTCATCCTTGAAGACAGGTGTGACTTGCACACATGCTTCCTGGTCCTTGAGGAGCCATTCCTCATACTTGTCAGGATGAGTTGTCTGGTCTGGAGGTTTTACCTTTGTGTCTGTACCAGCAACAATGGTCCAGAGGCTACAAACTGTTAAGACTTTTTGCATTTGGAATTTCCACATTTGATAGTTTGAACCATCATCTGCAAGGGGAGCTATGTCATAGAGTCAATTTGAGCCTTGCAAGACTCTTGTAGAAGTAGAGGCTGATGTATTTGCACTTGTGGATGGGCCTAGAGCCCAAGACATCAATGACAAAGGTCCAGATGACATGTCTTATTGTATACTGTGGTACCACTTGGTTCAAGTTTGCTACTGTAAGGTTAGAGCTGCTCAGGGCTCATAACCTCTTGAAGGTAGGCTGAGATGAGGGACCTAGGAAGGAAACTCAGGCTTCAGTTAGAAGAAGTCTGAGGTACACCTGAAGGAAAAACAAACATCCTAAGTGCGAGGAATTATTATGTAAGCTTGCACAATGTAAGCAAAAGTCAAGTAAAAGGGACAACACTTCAACAGTTGCCAACTGGATGGTGCCACATCAGTGGATGTTGTCACTGATCCCAATCTTATCTGTGCAAGCATTTTGACAAAGGAAGGGTCCACTTTTGCACACTCATTCTGGTTGAGTGGAACAATGTGAGTTAACAATCTCCATAGGAAAGCTCTGAATAATTGACACTGCACCTTCACAGTTTCAGATGAACACCTCAACAGGTTATTCACAATGGCATGTGAGTACAAGGCAGTACCATTCACAGGGTGAAGTTGTGCCATATCTCCAGCAAAGATGACATTGATGCCCCCAAATGGCTTATCCTTTTTATCTGGGTCACCAGCCTTTTCAAGAGTTACATGTTTTGCTATGTCAGAAAGCAGCTCAGCAGAAACCATTGAAACCTCATCCAAAACCAAATATGCAACATCATGCCATATCTCTTGTAATTCATCCATATCAACATTCTGTTTGTTGGTATTGCACTGATCCCATCTCTTGCCTTTGCCCAGGGAACAAGAATTCATGAGGGTGAGTGCATGGATCATGAAACCATTGATGAGGCATGCAGCACTACCCATTGGAGTGCACAACAGAATCTCCCATGTGTGACCTTGTTGCATAAATGTGTCTACAATTGCTTTGATGAGGTGGCTTTTCCTGGACCCCCTGATGCCCATAATAAACATCAACATCTGTTCAGGGTTGTTCTGCATCATATGCTCTGTTATTATCATAAAGGCATGCTTCTGTTCTGGGTTAGTATCTAAAGACCACTTTGAAATCATCTGCAACAGAAAGGCATCCACACAATCATCATTGGTAATGGCTTGGGCAGTGAAACAACAGGTCTGGACATTGTCAATGGTAAGGGATGCAGTAGTATGTTTGCTGGAACTATGTGGCCATTTACAACTTGATGACACATCATCGACATCAATATCCACCTCATCTACTGACCTCTGTGGGTTTTTGCATTTTCACTGGGATGACATGTATGTATTATGCAGATTAATTTGATCTTCCATCTCAATGCTGACTTCAAAGACATGTTCCTCAATTACAGGGGGACAAACATTGTGCTTAAGATCACAATGAAGTGCCTGGGACATCACAACAATGTCCCATTCATCCACTGGAAGTGTGCCCTTGCTATGCCAGTCTAGATCTTCTGAATCAAAACTTTGTGGGTCATTCTGTTGGAGGGCAGTGAAGAGATACTGGACTAGGGAAGGCTTCATCTACATTCCAGAGCTCAAGACAAATGGATGGAATTGGAAAGAGTATTGCATGAAGATACTCAAGGTTGTGCAAACCCAAAATGTTGAAGAGCTGTTGGCTGGCACAAAGCCAAAGCCAAAACTAGCAGGAGATGAACTAAATAAATGGCAGCAGTTGAATGTGAGCACTGAGTCTATCCTGATGTGGAACATCCTGGTGTGAGTCAAAGTGTGGTTCAGTGGTGAAAACCAACCAAAACCAACACAAAAGACAATGAAAGCGAGTGGTGGTGTGCCTATGCGGTACCTAGATGGTAGAACCTGTTCTTTGGGAGGGTTTTTGCAAGCTACAACACTCAAAGATGAGTGCTGAGGGTTGGGGGTGCTCCTGACGAAGAGGGAGCAAGAATGTGATAGAAAGTGACAGGGTAGACTGCTGTCAGCCTACAGAAGGATGGATGGTGACTTAATTCAATGTCCTAAGCTGTACTGAGCTCAGGGAGGGCTTGGAGCGAAGTATATGGATGATAGATGATGATAAGCGAAGTAGATGATAGCTAGACCCTTAATAAAGTCTCAACTACCGAAGCTGATGAATGATTTACTGAGAGATGATAAATTGCAAGCAAGAGGGGCTCTCTGATGTCTTTCTTTTTCTTTTGCTACCTAAGTACAGTGACTTATATACAGTACAGGGGCGTTGCCTATGGAAAACAAGGTGCAAACACTTGGTAAGTGATTGGTAACTGATGAGTAAGGAATGTAAGCGATGGGTAATCATCTTGGAAAGCATTGGTAAGCATTGGCAAGGATAAGTGAGCCAAAAAGCAAAGAATCAGTAAGCAAAGTCAAAAGATTGGTAAGTATTGGCAATAGGTGAGTCAAAGACAGTCAGAATGTCAAAGTATGAGTCAAGCAATGTCAGGAACTGGGAAAGTGCACTGGAATCGCATTAGGGGGAGGCTGTGCATGTCACATCTTGAAGAGATCACTTCTAGGCCAAAGTGGGATGACAGAGAGGCAGCGCTGATCTGATGCCTGATATAGTACATCCAAAAGCAGACAGGGTGAGTCAGATGTCAACAGGGGTCAAGCTTTGGGGGTCTGTGGGGTGACAGGAGCATAGGGGATCGCAACTTTCCCCCCCAAACCATCCTCTCAGTGAAGCAAATAAAAACTTTATGAATGAGGCTCTGTTGGAAGAGAGGATGAAGGGGGAGTGTCTTCTGCTGTATCTTGCAACAAGGAGGCAAGATGTGCATCATACTCATCATGGATGCGAATCAGGGAGAGTGGAGAACAGTAGATTATACTGTAGCTGTCGCAATTTTGGAAGAATGATGGACTGAGACTGGTATGAAGACATGTTGCAGGGAGCAGGGAGGAAGGATCCATATGCTTCTTGGACTGGAGAGACTGAAACAACCACATAAGACCTTTCCAAGTGAATGACAGACCTGAGGCGACCAAAGAACGTCCTCCTGGAGGTCATACTGACAAAAAGAACACACTGTCCAAGCTGGATGGGCTGAGAGGGGGCAGATGAGGGTGGGATGTACCAGGACACTTCAGGATGGAAGCTGGTAGGAACTCCTGGTAGATATATGTAGCCATGGTCCCTAGCAAAGGGGACAAGTGAAATGACTGATGTGGAGGCAGCCATATCAGAAGAATTAGCGAAATGAGCGTCTTTTGGAGGGAGTGCTGTAGAAACGTGTGGAGTGCACAAATCCTTTCCAATCTTGGAAGGTAGGATCGCAGTGGCTGAGCACTACAAGCGAGTGTGGGAATGGTTTCGGTGTCTGCAGAATTGGTGGAGATACGTCGAAAACCAGAATGCCGTACATGGGCGTTTAAGAACTTTATTGGCACTTAACTTGCCTCCTCCTTTTTCTTTGGCACTGACAACCTGTTCTTGTGTGAGGGATGACTGCCAACATTGCTGGCTGTCCTTCTTCACATGAGGGCTATGGTCTTCACCTCCATTCATCAGCTACATCCATGTCCACCTCACCAAACACCTTTGGTGTGTGACACCGGACTTGACCTTTTCATGCATCAAATACTACAAGACAGCCCATGAAATGTTCAACTACCTAGCAACTACCTATGGTGACCCAAATCCTATCTCCATCCCTGTAAAATGTGTCAGCACACCAGCTGAACAGTCGAGCACTGGCAAGGATGAACCAAAGGGAACAAATGGCAAGTGCAAATATGCATGAGAACCACAAGATGAGACACTTGTACCACATGTGAAGCCTGATGAACTGTCAAGCAAGCCACCTAAGGCAGTGAGGCTCAAGGGGAACAGTCATGATGAGGCAAGAAGTGGTGATGAAGTAAAAGCTGAGACTACAGTCAAGGTGGTCCAGCAAGTCATGTTGCAGGGTGGAGAGGTCAAATTGAAGACTACAAAGTCCACTGAAGACATGTGTTGTCAGTGTGCATCTCCAGTCGAGTTCGAAAGGGCAAAATCAGGTGAAGTTGAGGGTGAGACATCTGGGATGGTTAGTGAAAACAAAGCCACAAAGAGAGGTCTGGGTGAGGAAGCCACAGATGAAACCAATGGCCAGGATATCACAGCCAAGGAGATGGCAAACCTTGAGGCAGATGGTGGGGACACAGAGATCCACCACACATCAAACATGCTAGAACACAAATGACTGGAAAAGGCCAACAATGAAAGGCCAGCCAGGATCATTGAGGCAAGAGTCTCACCAAGCAATGGAGCATCCAGCTACCCCAAAACTCAGGGAACAGAGCTCAAAGGGGAGTGGGGTAGCAGCTGTGCAAGCAGCACCATGGATCAACCAAGCAGCAGCACAGATGTGCCACAGCACTATGTAGATGACCCTGGTCAACATGCACACAAGAGAAGGGCACATGCGAGTGCCAGAGACCCACCAAATAGTCTCCAGACACCAGCTGAACACCCGAGGGAGGGAGTCAGCACTACAGCTGCTAAACAGCATGCAGCAGAGGAGATGAGCTGCAAGGAGTCAGATGGGCATGCTGAACCCAAGGTCATGGCTGAGCAATGCAAATGCGAGGCTATTGAGCCAGCACCAGACCTAATTCTTCAAATGGAAGCATGCACCACCAAGAATTTACTATGAACACCTATGAAGTACAGTCAATCTAAACCCCCTATGACAAACTACATATTGGAGTCACCAACTGAGCAGGGATGAGTACCATTGAGGGGGAGTATGGTGGTAATGTGAGCAGCTATGCAAATGGCCAAAACACCAGTGGAAAGGATCTTCAAGTTTGTGCTAACAAGTCAGCTGGTAGCAAGAGCCATCAGCGTGTGATTATGAAGATGCTGGAAGTATCAAGGGCCAGCAGCAGAACAGTCAAGAATGGGAAAGATGCACCAAAAAAGGACACATTGCTACCCATGGCTGCAACTTGGTACACCTATGGAGATGCTTGTGACAGGCTGGGAGTGCATGGCAGTGCACTTGGAGGTGCAGGACTGTGCACCAAGCAGGGTTGCACATTGGCAATAACAAATGAGACCTGTAGGTGTCAGTACACACCAGAGGAGTGCCCAAAGGAAGGAATTGGCACTACAGCTGTTGAACAGCACACAGTGGGGTCCAGCGAGGTGCAAGAGGTCAAGATGCTGTGAAACACGCACAACTGTGCACCAGCAATACCACAAGAATTCTATGAAGGTTGGCACATGCTCAAGAGCTTACCTGATGACAAAGCTAGGGAGCCAGGAGTGCCCAAAGGCACAAGGACATGCTGGAAGATTAATGAAGTCATTAAGGCAAGTGTGACAAGGTGGAGACAGGGCCTACCAGTGCTAAGACAGCCAAGACATGAGCATATCTGCTGCACATCAAATCACAGCTGAAGGAGGCCAGGGATGAGGGGAACATGCAAGATGAGAGCAGTGCAGATGATGCAACAAGCAATGATGCCATTGACTCACTCGGAGTCGAGACAAGGATGTTAGCTGGGACCAGCATTCAGTACTACAATGGAGACTGGTCACCAAGGGAAAGAAACATACTTGCATCATCAGTACCACCCATAGGACATGTGGAATGCCTCTGCAGGACCCCCATACCAAAACATTGATGAGGATGCATCAGGATTGAGGTTCCAAGGTGAACGTTCACTGTTGAAGGCATCAAGAGCCTATCTGAGGTGTTAGGCACAATCACACCAATTGTGGTGAGCATAGAGAGCAAGATGCTCAACAAAGGTGATGGAAAGAGAGGCAATGACATTGGCATTGTAAAGGATGGCAATGGCAACTTGGAGCAAGTTGAGGAAGCACTGCTTGCTGGCGAGGCTAGTCAGCCTGACTGCCGAAGCATGGACATCAAAGATAGCATACCTATGTCATCACAAATATCTGCAAAGGCTCGAAACTGCACCTGTGAGCCCTACAGGCCGAGACATTGACATGGATGCATCAAAATGTTACCTAGAGAGGTCAGTGAAGTCAAAATGAGGCGAGATGCCCCTCAGGATCCATGTTACCATACCCAAGCCCTTGTGAAATGCCTTGAGGTACACAGGACAATGCCAAGTCGACTTTGGGACTCCAAGGATGCATGGATGGCCAAATGGAATATATTTGAGCAAGCGAGTGCACTCATGAAGCTTGTGCAGTGGCTGGAAGACACAACAGGACATCTGTCCTAGCTCAACTGCCCCCCAACATATCACATGGCATCACCTGATTTACATAATCAGATGACATGCCAACATCACACATCAGTGAACCAGTAGCTGATGAAACCAGAAAACACCATTTTGTTGCCAAGCAACCAACCAACACAGTATTTGCATGTCCAAATGGCAGCCTTTCACTCAGAGGCACTGCCTGGACCATTTGAGTGGGTGTAACAGCTTGCACATCTTGAGTGGACTGGCATTGAATTCAGAACTTCTCCCAGATGTTCAGCAGCCTGAAAAGGCAGGGAGCAGCCAGAGGTAGAGAAGCAACAACTGCTGCAAGTGATATAAGTTCAACTGGAAATGAAATCTCCAAGAGCAGGAATGAGGTTGTTGAGTTGAAGATAGATCACAGCATCATGAAGTAGCAGGTTAGGATGGTGAGGATGAATGGTAAGGAGAAGCACTGTGGCATTTGTTGCAGATACATGTGAACAGGGGTTATCAAATATGCACTGCTGTGAGCAGACAGAGCCAACATAATGTTCACTGGGTAACATACCAGAAACCCAACTAGCCTCTGGGAAGTGAATTGCCATAAGTCTGGCTTCATCCATCATTGCAAAGAAAAGCAGCAATGCTGAAGATTTCAGAGCAGTAAAGAGGTGGAAAAAGCATTGTTTCTCTTGTCAATCAAGGAAATGGCAACATTGGGCATGGTAATCTCAGCAATTTGATAAATGGTAGGGTGCCTTGACATGAGTTATGTGGCAATGTTCAGTGATGTTGCTGCTCTGTTGATAAGGGGCACCCATCTGACAAATGCTCTGTGCAATGTGCTAAGTTAGTTTGACTTTTGGTATCTGAAAGTGGTCAAGGGGGCCATTCTTCCTGAGATGGCCATGTGCCCTGAGAATGCTGGATTTGTAATGGTGGAATGGGCTTCACTGAGACTATGAATGGTTTTGTCATAATGGGAGATACCTTGGGCAAGAAAGATGAACTTGGTGATGGTGTGCAAGGCACAAAGCACATCATCAGGCAATGCCCCTGCTGCCACAGCAGGAAGCAATTTCTCCAGTTCATGGTGTTCTTGACCAGTGCACTGTTTGAGGGTGGAGACACCATTCACCCAATGCCTAGTCCCTATCCTTGGCTGCAGGGCAGCTAAGCAGTGATCAAGTTCCTCACCCCCTATGATATTGATTACCCAGTGTACACAATGGTCAAAATAGAACTTGTGCCACTGGTGCAGGGCATTGGGGGTGAGAAAGTGGGAGGGACATGTATCCCCCCAATCTTTCCAGAATGGCTCCATGACACCATTTAGATGGAGGGCAAGACAAGCCTTGTGAAATGCAACAATATTGCATGGATCACATGCAGTGGCAGCCTGTCATATCTTCTGAAGCATGTACTCATGATCACAGGAGGGCTGGGCTGTCACATCTCCGAACTGTTCTGCCATTGCTAGTGAAATGGGGGAATTCTTTGCTGAGACACAAGCAATCAGAAGCTGTTCAGGATAGTTGGCAATCCAGGCAACAAGAGGGGTATGCATGACTCAACAATTTCCTAATGGATCAGACATTTCTTTGCCATCATGATTGGCAATGATCAGATTTCACATGATGAGGGATATGGAAAAGTGATAGATGTGTGCAGATAGCATGGCCTGAATGGCCAGTGGTACATTGCAGAATTTCAGGATGGGCAGATAGGTGGCCAGTGTGAATGCATGACAAGTAGCTTTCATATGTACTCCAGCATGTATGTTCACAAGTGAAAGTAATAGAGGGTGCATTTCTTTATTCTCTGTTCCTATCATCAGAGGTGTTCTATCTGATGCACCAATCACCCCCAGGAAGGAATGACTGTGGTGTCACACACCAAAGGTGTTTGGTGAGGTGGACATGGATACAGCTGATGAATGGAGATGAAGACCATAGCCCTCATGTGAAGAAGGACAGCCAGAAATGTCAGCAGTCATCCCTTGCACAAGGATGAGTCATCAGTGCCAAAGAAAAAGAAAGGGAGTGGGTTGAGTGCTGGTTAGGATTCTTAAGCACCCATGTACAGGATTCTGGTTTTCCACACATCTCCACTGTTTCTGCAGATACCAAGACCATTCCCACACTCACTTGTAGTGCTCAGCCATGCAATCCTACCTTCCAAAATTGGAAAGGAGTTGCACACTCCACATGTTTCTGCAGCACTCCCTCCAAAAGATGCTCATTTCACTAGTTCTTCTGATATGGCCACCTCCATGTCAATCACTTTGCTTGTCCCCTTTGCTAGGGACCATGGCTACATATATCTACCAGGAGTTCCTACCAGCTTCTGTCCTGAAGCATCCTGGTACATCCCACCCTTGTCTGTGCCCTCTCAGCCCATCCAGCTTGGACAGCATGTTCTTTTTGTCAGTATGACCTCTAGGAGGACATTCTTTGGTCACCTCAGGTCTGTCATTCACTTGGAAAGGTCTTATGTGGTCATTTCAGTCTCTCCAGTCCAAGAAGCATATGGATCCTTCCTCCCTGCTCCCTGCAATGTCTTCATACCAGTCTCATCTGTCATTCTTCCAAGATTGTGACAGCTACAGTATAATCTACTGTTCTCCACTTTCCCTGATTGCATCCATGATGAGTATGATGCACATCTTGCCACCTTGTTGCAAGATACAGCAGAAGACACTCCCCCTTCATCCTCTCTTCCAACAGAGCCTCATTCATAAAGTTTTTATTTGCTTCACTGAGAGGATGGTTTGGGGGGGAAAGTTGCGAATCCCCTATGCTCCTGTCACCCCACAGACCCCCAAAGCTTGACCCCTGTTGACATCTGACTCACCCTGTCCACTTTTGGATGTACTATATTGGCATCAGATCAGCACTGCCTCTCTGTCATCCCACCTTGGCCTAGAAGTGATCTCTTCAAGATGTGACATGCACAGCCTCCCCCTAATGCAGTTCCAGTGTGTTTTCCCAGTTCCTGACATTACTTGACTCATACTTCGAATGTTGTGACTGTCTTTGACTCACCTATTGCCAATACTTACCAATCTTTTGACTTTGCTTACTGATTCTTTGCCTTTTGGCTTACTTATCCTTACCAATGCTTACCAATGCTTTCAAAGATGATTACCCATCACTTACATTCCTTACTCATCAGTTACCAATCACTTACCAAGTGTTTGTACCTTGTTTTCCATAGGCAACACCCCTGTACTGTATATAAATCACTGTACTTAGATAGCAAAAAAAAAGAGAAGAAGATGTCAGAGAGCCCCTCTTGCTCACATTTTTTATCATCACTCAGTAAATCCTCCATCAGCTTTGATAGTTGAGACTTTATTAAGGGTCTAACTATTGTCTACTTTGCTTATCCTTGTCTATCATCAATATACTTCACTCCAAGCCCTCCCTGAGCTCAGTGCAGCTTAGGACATTGAATTAAGTCGCCATCCATCCTTCTGTAGGCTGACAGCAGTCTACCCTATTGCTTTCTATTGCATTCTTGCTCCCTCTTTGTCAGGAGCACCCCCAACCCTCAGCACTCATCCTTGAGTGTTATAGCTTGCAGAAACCCTCCCAAAGAACAGGTTCTACCATCTAGGTACTGCATAGGCACACCACCACTTGCTCTTTTTGTCTTTTGTGTTGGTTTTGGTTGGTTTTCACCACTGAACCACACTTTGACTCACAGTGGGGGAGTTGGTCCTGTTGCACAGATCAGTCAGCCACTCTTGCTAATCAATAGAGGTCACTGGTCACTAACCTGTATGTGCCATGCATCATCAGTGCTCATAAATTCCCCATATACTCATTCTTGGCCTTCAGCTGTAACTTCAAACTCCTTGTATGGAGAGATATCCATACACTGCACAAATACAGGGTTACTGAACAGGTGCTCCACAACCTCAAGTCCATCATGCCAGTACAACATTATCAGTGGCTGTGTAGGGTAGTTCTCGACCTTGATTTCTTGATATCGCCAGTGGGGTACACCAGGCAGTGACTCGATGTGGCAATGGAGATCTTTAGCACTTGTGAAGGAGACAGGGAAGGCCAAGTTCTACCAAAAGATCTCATAAGTATGATAACTATTAAAAGGGGTCATATACTCATGTGCTCAAGACACAAGTATGTGTCAATGTCTTTCTGAGATAATGCACCTCTCAAGAGCCAATCTGCAAGCTCCCATTCGCTTTTTGATGCAAAAGGGAAATAGATATTTTCAGAGTTGCAGATAGGAGCATGTTCATCCATCTCCATATGATGAAGAAGGTTGATGCCATCTGCATGGCTCACAGGTGGATTTGGGTGATAGACCCTCTGGCAATGGTTGATCATAGAGACTTGATGTGGTGAAGAGACAAAACTGGAGCAGTTAGTGGGGACATTACCATTCTCTATGAAAATTGCAGTCTGCACATTGCCTTCATTATCCTCAAAAGGGTTGGGAATATTTGTATTATCAGTCTCCATGAAAAATGCAGTCTGCATGTTGCCTTCCTTGTCCTCGAATGGGTTCAGTATATTGAAAGTGTCATAGTCATTGCCTTGTGGTTGATCTGTGTGCAACAAGGAGGAGCTTCTCTAATGCCCTGGGTTCATACACATAGGGTTCATACACATACCATCCTGTGCTGCATCCTCACCTTCACTGTAGTTATTGCCTTGTAGTGGGTCTGTGTCATCAAGGTTCAGAAGAGCTTCTACTGCCCAACATCCACATTGGCAGTCACTAGAGAGATGTAGAATTACATCATCAACATCAGGACATTCACAGCTGCATCATGGGCAAAAAAGTTGAGGGTCTGCAGGGCAGTCATAGGATAATACAGTCAGGGGTGGTGCAAGTCCTGCCATGGTCATAGAAGGTGTGGTGGTCAATGGCATCACTCAGCTGCTGAGAATGCCCTGCACATTAGGGTTAGGGTCAGTTTAGCTCCATTCTCTGCCTCCCTCCCTTTGATTTCAGCTTAGTTTCAGCTGCTCTTGCCCCTCTCATTGCCAATGTCATCATCCACAGAATATCTCAGTTCAATTGAAGTACCTTCTTCTCCTTCTGTTGTCCTTCCAACTACATCACCTTCATCTATGAACTCACACACTTGTCCATTCCAAATGAAGGTGCAACATGACACTATATCCAATGGTTTTCCAAAGAATGACAGTCATGCCTGTCAGAAATGCAGCTTTGCATTTTCTTTGCCTTCAGATGAGCACTCTCCCCCTTCTAAGAAGGCAAGGAAAGTCTTGACCTCTGTGAGTACTTTGTGCAAATATCCTCACTGGAATCTTCATGCTTGCAAACCAGATATCAGCCAAGAGAGATCAAGAGGTTGAAGATCTTCACACCCTTTGTATGTTACAGCTTGCCTGTGCAAGTTGTGAGGCCTTTGCTGCACAAGTCAAATTATGCTGGATGTGGATTCATGAACTCAACATTATGTGCACAATTGCCTATGATGAGTATGAAGAAGCCCTTAAGCTGCTTAGGACTGCAGATTGCCAAGTTGGTGAAGTGCAACAAACCATTAGTAGCAGCAGGACAACCATCACTACTCTTTCATCTCTCAGGTTGTCCCCTGTCCCTACTACATTATCTGAGTCATCTTTGGATGGCATCTCCATCGAGCACAGTGCCTCAGCCTCTCCTGGTCCACTGGATGTGTAGATTTATATTTGTCTTGATTTCCTTTCACCCTTTTCCCTGTACTTATGTACAATGATATGATGTGACTGGCAAGTGACTGGGCAATAAATGATATATGATTTCTAGCATTAGCATGTAGGTTGAGTCATGTGTGACACATGATATGTGACAAATGAAATGCCAGCCATCCTTCTAGAACATTGAGGACCACAGCAATGAAATTCCTAGATCACACTGTCTGCAATCGCCCTACATGTCTGAATATTGATCTCCTCCATAAGGTCCTTTCATCCCCAATGGGATTTGGGGTGGGGCCAGATAACATCTGTATGGAAAGCTGGACAATCATGCTTCTGTACAGCCAAAAGTTGGAACTTTTTCCAGCAGTCATGTGGACATGCAGCATGTATTTTCAAAGATACAAAGTACCATCAGTTAGGAGGACACCAGACACTGCAGTCATGCAGTTTGTTTTAGTCATGGGTCATGCAGTCACACATTCATGCAGTCCGAAGGTCATGCAGTTTGTTCAGTTGTAGGTCATGCAGTTTGTTCAGTCATAAGTCACATGATCATACAGTAGGAGGATCAGATATATCATAGCACAGATGAAGCACATTCAAGAACAAAAGGCATATTGGCAATAACCCCCCATGACAGGTTATAGAGAATGCAGGTATACTTAGCTCCAGTCATCCTCATTATCAGCCCCCTCTTCATCAGAAAATTCTGTGACAACAACATCAGGGCCCTCAATAACATTGGGTTCATTCTCAGCATCATCCAAGACATCAAGGCACTGCACATGAATTTCATCTGGAAACATTTCAGCTCCTTTTGATATGTTCCTAATGTTGACTCACCCAGACTGAGGCCCCCACCAACTCTGCCCATGTAATAATAGCCACCATTAGTTTTGGGAAATGGAAGGTCATGTTGACCCTTCAGTAGTGGGAGGGAGTCTTTTGCTTTGGCATCTGCAGATAGTGAAGCAGAGAGCAATGGCAAAAGGGTGTGGTGCTGAACTGTATGTAGTAGCTCAAGGTAGACATCCCAAACAGTGAAGTGAGTGATGGCAGGATGTCCAAGAATGTTATAGCACTCCTCCAAGTGTGCATTCAATGCATGTGGTACTAAGTCAAACACTGGGTGGTTTGCATCAACATATAGTTCATGGACATGCTTCAGTGCAGTCCTGTTGACCATGAACTGCAGTGGGGTCAGTCAGATTAGCAGAAATGAATCATGAAAGAGAAAACTTGCCTTCAAGTCCAATGCACCATAGTCCTGGGGAGAGTCAAAGATCAATTCAGCAAATCCATGAGGGAGTATCTGTAATTGGACTAAGATGCTAGTGAGCGACTAAGAAACCAAGATGCTCACCTTGGTCAACAACAGGTTCATACTACTCTCAGGAAAGTGTTTTACTGACAGTTTGGTTTGTGTTGATTAGGCATTGAGGCTTGTGAGTTGGTGACAATGAGCTAGCAGCTGCTGTCATCAGTCAACTTATAACATGGAGTTGGAGCAGTAAGTGAGAATTAAGTTCTGCCATCAAGTGTATGTCATACTGCCAAATCTGCTGTATGTGTCAAGTGGGCAACATGAGGTCTACATTTGTCCCCAACATGGAGAACTTCAAGACTCCAGAGAAGCCCAGGAAAGATCCCCTGCCCCATTGCCATCCATTCTCCTCCTGCCACTCACCTCACCATCTATGCTCTTCTTTTTGTACAAGCTTGCTGCCTCATTGGAAGCTGGTAAGTCAGCTATATTGCCCTCTTGCCTCAGAAGCTAACACAACTATCTCCATGCTAGGACCACAAAAGGGGCTCTGCCACCTGATGACCTCCCATATGTGCAGGTTAATCCAGTAAGATTTGACTTTGTCTGTGTTAATGGCAATGAAGTATGCTTATCATCATAGATGATGGACACAATGTTGCCATCCTTGGGAGTGATTGAAAGGAGCAGTAAGTATGCAGCATGACATCTTGGAAATATTTTCACCAATTACAAAGGCTGTGGGTCTTGCAGCTGTCTTGACCAGCTGGACACAACAAGCAACCAATCAGATCCGAGGCCTTTCATGCACAAGGGTTGTGAATTCTATGCGAAGGATCAAGGCATCACACTCTCTGAAGACTCCCAACTATGGATTGTAGTATGGATTGAGCTGGAAGAGAGATGTTGTGAACATATTAAAAGCCCATCCCTACTGTCATCCTTTCCTGCAGCATTCCATGACCTGCCAGTACTGTTGCAACACTATTTTCCTATGGCTAAACACCCTGAAGTCTTCTCCCAGTTTACTGAAGATGTGTTTGCTGAGCAAGACTGATACTGCAAATGGCCAAAATGTGGGGCCTTGATACATCAGGGCGAACCTCAATACTACATCGCTACAATTGAACCTGGCCAACAAGGGCATTGAGTTTGCTCCTCTTGCAACCTCCATTATTTGCAGAAACCAGAAACCACTGTTTGCAAGACAGGTATGTAAACTCACTTTCAGCCTTTGAGTGCAAACAAATTCTGAGGCTATGTACTTGCTTTACTAGCTGCCATGCAATCTGATCAAGTCTGTACTTCATCCACCAATAATGCTTGAATGGATTATGCTTGGCCTGACCCTCATAAGATCCAGCAATCAGTCAATGCCACACAGCATGGTTGTCAGTAGCATCCATTGCACTGGTACTAAGCCTTTTCTGATGTAGTATGTAGTATCAATTAACCCACCCCAGGTGGTGGCTGTCTCCCACAGCCTGGATGTAGCTGTCCCATCCACCCAGCATGCAGATCATGGACAAGGTCAATTCTCATGTGGTGACTTCCAAGGATGTGGCCACAACATCAAGTGACAAGGGAGATGATGATATGCAATCCTCTTCTGTGCATGTGCCCTTGACCTCCACTAGCAACACTGGAACACACCCCTTCCATGGACAAGTTGCTCCCAGCACCTTCATGCCAACACATATTGGTTCAGAAATTGCATGGGCTAATCTCGAAGCTGTGGATCACACCACAGATATCACCTCACCCTCCAGTCCTAATTGATGTGCTACAACAACCCCTGCCCCAAAACAGAGTGTCATTAGTCTGCCACCTGCAGCCACATTGCTGCCAAGGAAGATACCAGCACTCGAGCCCTTTGTGTCTCCTAGTCGGGATGATCTAAGGGAGGCTCTGAAATCTGGTGGAACATCGGAGCTCAATGTTGGCAAGGGTAAGTACATTGGCAATCATTGTCACATGAAATTACTGACAACAATTCATAGTCCTGACACAGGCATTTGAAATGATACAGTTTTATCCCATCCCTACAAGTCCACTTGCCAAGATCTTGGACAATCCACAATTTTGTTCAATTGATATCAAACAATCTGAATCCTATCCAGGCAGGTTGATGGTGGACCATTTCCCTAAGTCATTTATTGGCATTGGTGGATTCAAAACAGCCCAATCTGGTTTGTTAATGCTCACCCCACCTTCTCTATCTGGTTTAGGTTCTAAACTATATGACATCATGGTCATGAAGCATCCATTCCTCAGGCAACCCCCTCTTCCTTCCACATCTAACACTGCCACCCATGATGGAGGTGAGGCTGAGAAGCAGCAAATAATATGTTTTTCCTTGGGCAATGAACTCCCAAAACTCCATTGCGAAGCAAATACTCTCTATTGGGCTAAGGCACTTCTTACTATGACCTATGACTTCATAGATGGCACAATCACATCAGTAGATTTTCCTCCTCCATTTGAGATTCCTCATCTGCACTTTGTGGAAGCTGGTTTGGCCTTAGCTCACTCCCAATTCATGAAAGGTCCTGTGAGACCCAAGTATGGTGGCATGTTGTGCAGTGTTTACCTACTTGAGGAGAAAATCAAGGGTGGTAGTGCTGCATTTACCAAGTAGATCCATAACATGGACTGTGGGCCCTCATTGACTGCAGACATGGATGGGTTTGACATCGCAGAATTCCTTGCATTTATGCAACATGTCCAGTATTCTAAAACTGGAGGACTTGTAATCATCTTGGACTATCAAGGTATGTCAATCAAATCATGGCTATGTGCTCGCTAATCGCAATCTTGGACAGGAAGTGGTACATAACTCACAGACCCTCAAATTTTGATGGACCTGTTCATCCCCTCCCTCTTGTTCATTATCATTAACCCTAACAGTTTGAAAAGCTCGGTTGGCAATGGGTTAGTTGTTTTCAGCGAGGGGATGTCAAGTCCACTGTGGCTTCATTTGAGAAGTGCCATGAATGTAATCATTTCTGTAAGTGGCCTGGCTTTGGCTTAAAACAATTTGGGGCCATGACCAGAAGCAGCAATGAATCGGTGGTACTGTAAACTCACTCCCATCTCACTATCTCTGTCTGTTTGCACACTCTGTCTGTCCTGTATTCTCTGTACTTCCTGGATGTTTTTTGCTTCAACATGATCACTGCATTATTGCTCTTAGAAATACTTTTGTAAAAAAAAAGGACTACATATGACAACCATGCAATTGCTGTGACTATAAATTGTGGGCCTGCAGTAGCTTGTATGCATGGTGCCATGGACACACTGGCAGCCAAAAGTTCAGAACATTGGGTTGTGATTGGTGGTGACAAGCTGGGCATATTCTGTACATGGTAACTGTGCCTGCCTACTAGTAATAATACCACTCATGCTCACCATCTTACTCACAGCCCCATACTGTGCTGCAGACGCTCCTCCCCACCACTCCCAATTGCTATTCAGTGCTTGTCATTGACCAAGGCCAACATGGTAGAAGATCAGTTACAGCCTATCTTGCAATGGGCACCATGCAATCTGCACACATCTGATCTTTTGCTGTTTCTCAACTGATCAGATGTTGTGCACAACATGTTTTCTGACCAACCCAGAAAGTTTTATGCAGTCATTGTCAGTCAACATGTAGGCATACACCACACAAAGTGTGTCATCCTAATATCTATTCCTTTCTCATTACCGACATGTTTACAGGGGTTCTGCCCTTAGCTCACTTGGTGGTTTCACCTTTCCATGCTGGAAAGAACTGCCAACATTTTGGGATGCACTAGCCTTCATGATTGTCAATGGCATCGAGGAGCTTCTATTGGATATTCCTATTCCAAAGTATAAAGGTAGCCATGTCCATTTGATTGCAGTAGACTTGTCAGATTTGGAATTGGGTGTGGACAACACTGTACTGACTATGCTTCCTGTTGCATCAAGCATGAGTGAGGATACTCCCACTCCTGGAATTCCTATTACATCAACTGCAAATGAGAAGAACATGGTGTTCATGACAGTTTTTTTTTTTTTTTCTTTTTTTTTTCTCACTTGTGAGTTTGCTCATGTACCTCAGGTAGTGACCCAAGCATAACATGGGGGAGCAGTGTCACACCCTCCCCTATCATTTACACCCACATGCACACCCTGCATGGTGTCATCAAGAGTCACTTCTATCACTCAGAATGGGTTTCCCCTCCTGCCACTGCTGCTGATGTTCTGGGTGTCCATGCAATCAAGTATTTGGAAACTCATGGTTACATTCAGACTGCCACTGCAACTATTGTGGAGATCTATTGTACCTCACACAGTGAGCAGGACTTCACACTTGGACTCACATGGCTTGGCCTCCCTCTTGCAGAGGGCTTCTTCTTGTGGTACTTGTTTAATCTGTAGCCTGCAATTCCAAGCTTAGCATACTTTTTGTACAAACATCTCACATGTGTACTGCCAATCTGTGGTACTTTTTTTTTACAAAACTTTCTGAAATACAACTGTTGGATTATACTGCCCAACAGTTGCATGATTGTGTGACTGCATGACCTATGACCAAACAAACTTGAGACTGCATGAGTGTGTGACCATGTGACCTATGACTGAATGAACTGCATGACTGCAGTGTCTGGTGTCCTCCTAACCATTGGTACTCCATTTCTTCGAAAATATGTGCTGCATGTCCACATGACTGCCAGAAAAAGTTTCAGCTTTTGGCCATATGGAAGCATGATTGTCCAGCTTTCCATACATCTGTGAGTTCCCCATTTTCCTCAAAGAGGTCAATTGATATCAAGGGGCCCAACAATAAAAGTCTTGCAAACCTGCACTTTTCCCCAAGTCATCCTAGTTCTCATCATTGGAATTGGTATGGCTACACATACATGCATTCTTTTCCTTCTATATCCTGCTGGCTGAAAGACAAGGCTCACCCCAAGGTTCTCAGCCTCGAGGGTGATGCACTTCTTGAACTAGGCCTTCCCAAGCTTGTAGGCATGGATGTCTGACCAGCAGTACAAATGAACCCACTGGTAGCCCTGTCCCACCCTTCCAATCCAACCCATACAACAGACCACCCCCTGCCTCAGCTCTCAGACCTTTCGCCCAAGTGATCCCCAGTAGTGGAATCCCAGGGCCTTTGACATCCTTTACAGTGGGCCTCCCTACCTTTGAGCCTGAACATGCGCAGTATTTTACTGGATTTCCTGCATCTGGTTACTCCTCTGGACTGCCCACTGAGGTCTCGATTGTGCTATCTCAGGATTCATTGACCCTGGTGGATGACAGGCTGTGAGCCACTTCCACAATGATTGTGGTGAGCCCAATTGGTTGTATATATTCATGCCTACAATTCTCATTCATCCGACAGACCAAAGGAATGGACATTGATGTCCTAGAGAAGCACCAGGGTCACTGAGGTCCAAGAGCTCCATCCCAGGAGCATCTCCAGCTATTTGGTGACTCTTTATATCCTCACACATATACTTCACATCATTCATCTCGCAGTGGCTCCCTCACATTGGTCACTCAGTCAGGTCTTATGTCAGTGTATTCTGACAACAGCAGACCACAAGTTCACCAGAAAGCCAGTGGCCCTCTGAACTGGTGTGAGTTCTCCAACAGAGATCAAGACATACTCAGTCATGCATGGCTACTGATGATATATGAGATGGTCATCAAGATCAGCTGGCCTGTAATGTCTCCAGGCAAGACTGCTTGGAGGCAATGGAAATCAATGATATGTGAAATCCTTTCACAAGCATCGGTGATTGTACCAGGAGGAACAGTATATATCATCTTGTACCTTACAGTACTTAATCCCCCCCCTGCAGAAGTGCTCGTGCCCACAACAGGGACAGAACACTTGGTAATGATTGTTGATGTGAATGTGCTCGAGCTATACTAATTTAATATACTACCAGCTGATGAAATCACTAACACTTTTTAACCTTATGCCAAGATGTTTTTTGTGAATGATGATACAAGACTCTTAATGGACAAGGCCATTATTCAGTGGAAAAACAACATATGTGCACATATCACCAATGGAAGTGCTTTTACCTCTTTTTTCATGCATGAGCATGACACAGATGTAAGTCATACTTATGCTACATACCATTTGGACATTTACAATTATTTCTCAGGGGAAAATTGTCCATTGGTATGGAAACCAACACCTCAAAGACTTCCACATTAACTTCTGGTATACCACTGGGCTGACTCCCATGAAGGTCAGAGCTGCCAAGGATATACACACAACACCATTGCAGATGTATGCCCTAACTGCTGTAGTGGTAAGTACATTTACTAATAACTTTTCAAAAGCTCACAGCCATTTGTTGTTTTATGCTATCAAATGTGAATCTGAGCATGTTGGAGAAACATTGCCATATGCTGCATTCATGGGCACCAAGTATTCACCCATATACAAAGCATACTACCACTCTCTGCTTGCAACTCAGAACCCTGCTATCAGCATGGTGATTAATCACCATCTGCTGTGGCTTCATCAACACAGATTGTGAGTACTCTATGTATATTTCTATGAGCTAATTGACACACTGGACTAGGGAGAAAATGAAACCTGCAAACATCTTACATTCCCAAAAAAAACAACTGAATATGGTTTATATCCCCCCCATGCATGAGATTGCAGCTTATGAAAGCTGCCTCACAAGTACATCACATACTGTCATCCCCCCCATGACAGCCATACCCATCATTCATCAAACTACATTGCATGAGGAGAGTGCATCAGGGAGTGTGTTGCAGGCTGGACCCAGCTCTTCTGCAAGCTGGTCCATGGGTGTTGAAGGATATGAACCATTTTCTTATGATTATACTTATGAGATGTAGCATCCATTTTGTTTCTTTCTGCCTGCCTCCAATTCTTGATTGGTTTGTCAGCATCAATCTGCAAAATGAGTAGATGGATGGCACAAGTGATAATCTTATTATCAAAGAAAATACAGAAGATAATGAGATCTGTGGATCTCATCCTGTCATTGTGTTGTGGATGACAAATATTGGTCGTAGACTGTTTTCTGACTTGTTGTAAGGTTTCAAAACCATTTTTTGTTCACACTTACAAATTATGGTCATGACCAGTTGGTGACAGGTTTAGACCAACTACTGGTTTACTGATGCATGCACACAAGTCAAGCTACACACCCAAAATTTGCATATTTCATTGCACATTTGATTATACATCTGGTATATTTCATTCCTGATACTTTGGATTATGTTTTACCTTTTAGTTTTTACCCTGTGCTGTTTCAGGGGGAGTGTTGGAGTGAAATGACCCCTGTCCTTACTTGGACTTAGGCACATGATCATGTCGCTTACATAAGCTGTTAGAGCGCACACATACACTAGTAAAATTTACCTAGTCCCTCAGTAGCTTGACAGGCTACTGAGGTTCCCTACAGATTCCTCTCTGGGTTTCCCCTCTGCAACCCCACAAACTTCTTCACATTCTCCTTCACAAGATTGAGTTCTGAATTGAGGATTCAGCACTTCTCTCAAGAGCTTGATGTTAGATTCATTTGGTTTATTCAGGTACATGTCAGAGGATGCCTTAGCTTGCAAAGTGGCACTGTTATAGTCATATCACACAGTATCCCTGGCATCCTTGCACTCCAACTTGATGAGAAAGTTAGAAATCATGTGGGAGGTAGCATTGGAAAATTGGTAAGCATCAAATGCCTCCATCCAACAAGAATAATTCCTCAGCAGGTTGGAGGGTTTGTGCCATGTGTGGAAGAGAAGTAACATAGCTTGACAGAAGTCTTCCATGCAAAAATCAGACTTCCAAGGGAATCCCTCAGTAGAACAGGCACTACAAAAATGTTCCAGATACAGAGCTCATGAGTGCTGGACTGGGGATGAGCATGGTCTGTGAACAGTGCATGAAACCTGTGGGAATATGCAGGTCTTTCACTACCAGACCATGCAGTAGCATCTTTGCATGCGGTGCATTGTTCTTGTGAAGAATTCACACTGCTAGACATTCATTTCACTTTTTGTGTCTGTTCCAGAACCTCCCATAAACACATCCCCTCGAATGGAGGTATAGAAGGGTGCATCAAATAGTCCAGCAGTTCTAACACAACAGACAATGAACCATCAGATGTATGTGCTGTACATGTGGAACTGAATAAATTTCCAGGACAATTAGCAAGTCCTTCAACCATACAATCACAATCACCATCTACATGAAGCTCATGCACAATTGCAATATCCACAAATTCATAAAAGGAGATGGTGCAGAATTCATGGCTGGTATAAAAGTCACCACTTCCAATCAAGTATCTCATGACTTGTTGATGAGAGACCTCACACCTCCCCATCATAGCATTAATGGTTTTTGTCAGCAGGTTTCATTCATGCACCAAGGAAGTGGTCTCTATGTCATCAATGAAGTGTTTACAGTGGCTGTCAATAGCAGCCAAAATAGCCTGAAGACCAACATGGACTTGAAGATTGTTCTTGGTGATGTAGTCACTTATATAGTAAGTTGATGCCTTTGCTGCTGCACCAGATCCAAATAAACTCAATGTCCATATTACATTGCAGAAGGAAGGGAACAATGTCATTGTAGTTATTGACCCAGGGGTGAAGGCAATGAAGAAGGATGGATTGTGTCTCTGGGTCAAGGTAGGACTGTGCTCGAACAGAACCATCAATGTGCATATGACAATTCTCATCTTGAGGTTCCTTGCCTGAATGAAGATGTTTAAAATAGGTGGGCATGTGTTTGTGCTGATTACATTCAATTGCAATCCATCTAATGAAATTGTGAAATGCTTCCTCAAACACACATTTGTGCAACTTGGCAATTTGAGGTGGCTCCTCTAAACATGGATCGAGCTCATCCTCAGGCCATGCTAGCTTTGAAGGATTTTCATCAACTGTGTTAAGACAGTTAACAGATGACACTGGAGGTTCACAGCAAATAATATCTTCCAACCACTCAAAAAGTGAGTGTTCAAATCGCTGGTCATCCCTCATAAGTGACTGCAAACATTCAGGGTTTGGATGCCCCTCAATCCACAGCAGCATGTGACAATGAAGTGTCCCTCTTCCCTGTGCTTTGACAGTACCATAGTATCCAGTACAATTTCCAAACAACCTGCTGCCCTTGTTATACTTCACAACAATATCCAAAAAACCATGAATCAGGACATCAAAAGCCTTAGTGGCAGTGGCTGGATGTGAAGTGACAAAAATGGCTTGCTCGTATGCACCCAGTTCACACCAATGAGATGTATCCATACCTCCGAAATGAGCAACAAGAATGTTGGTAGGGTCATGTGGATTTAAGGTCAAAAAAAAGGCAGGGGTGCCTAAAGCTCATGGAAGGGAACTGGATCTCATTACAATGGCACAACTTATAACCATCACTACCAGGCAACAATTGACAGATCACATTCATCTTCCAAAACAATTGCAATGCTCTTTGCTTGCCCAGGGTATTTAACCTTGCCTTTGGGTTGCAATCCAATTTGTCAGCCAAGGCTGTTATGTCTGACTCCACCTCTTGAATATCATTCACAAGACTGTGACATTGAGTGGATGGTATACAGGATGCTGAATTCTGACTTGCTGCTCATTTTTGTAGGATGTTCCAACATATAAAAGGAAAGGTGGTGTCCCCTGCAAAAGGGGAGTCTACTTGCCAAAGCAGATTTCTACATCAGTAAATCACTTTTGCTGGCCAGAGCTGGCCAGAGCTGTCCAGCACTGGACAGATTCCCTAGGACTACCAGCTCACAAAGTGGTCTACTGATGTAAGTTCTCATTGGAAGGAGATCTGTTGGTCAGGCCATCATGCAGGGTGATTAAAGCCACCAATGCCCCATGGATCCAGGTGCAGGAACACTGCTGTTGGAAAGCCAGGCAAGTTCTCATTCATCAACTCTGTTCCTGCATGACTGACCAAAAAACTTTTCTGATTCAATATGTGGGCCAGTGCTGTTGCTTTCATCCAGTGATGTGACTGCTCAGAATGGTCATCATCAACATATGCAACTGTTTCTGTAACCAGGTCAGCTGTCAATACAAACCAATCAACATGATTGCTGCCATCAACTGCATTGCTGTCATTACACTTCAAAAAGGTCTAAATGTGACAATGGGATTGGCACCAGTGATGGGGATCTACCCAGCAGTATTGATGTGGAGCTGAGTGATGCAGGAGTGTCCAAAAGGTCCATAGGTTGCTGAGGACCAGGGAAATTGCCACTGGGCAGTGCAAATGTTGTTGGGCTGGGGACTGGGGTAGGATCACTACAGGCTGGTGACACAGAGGGAGTTAAGGACCAAAATGGGGGTGCATGCAATAAGATGAATGGTTGTGATGATTGGCCAGCTGGCTGGGTTGGGTAGATGTAAGTTGATGATCTTGTGGCAACAGGCAACTGAAGTGCTGGTTCTTGTAAAGGACTGACCAGTGGGGACTGAAATGGTGGGGGGGACCCCCAAGCTGGCTCCTGCAATGGAGTGGCAGTAGCTGGGGCAACAGGTGGTGGTGATCTGTCCCATGCTGGCACAAGTAATGGAGTGCTGTCAGAGAGGCATGTTGATATGGAGTCCCAAGGAGGCTCAACCAATGGGCTACTATAGGAGGGAGACAGTGCCAATGACTCCCATGCTAGCTCTATCAAAGGTGATCTGGGTGAGTCAGGGGGCTGGAAGGATGGTTCAGGTCTGGTTGGGCATGTTGTTTGAGCCTGGGACAGCTTGAAAGGTGGCTCATGTAATGGGGATGATGGTGTGTCTGGTGGGCCATCTTCAGTAAACATTTCCTCATCCTCATCAAGAGATGTGAGCTAGTGCATATCATGGCATGATGGAATTACTGCCCACAGTCATTAGAAGTAATGGTCCTTGGACCAGTTGACTTATGGAGTTTATCTGGACTGCCAGAACTGAACCTAACATTTCTAGGAGCCATATGAAAGTTTCAAAATGTTGTAGGTGCATGGGGATTACACAGATGTTGAGAATGATTTTGGTACTGGTGATAAGATTGTCTTACATAATATTTTTTCACCAGTCATCATGCAGGATGTGCAAGTGCATACATAATGTAAATGGGCACTTAGTGGAATGACTGTCAACTGCCATACACTACTACCACCAAAATATGTTCAATGGTTAAACCCATACATTGAATATTGTAAATCACAGCATCACTGGAGTGAGCAGTTGTATTGTGCTTATGTAAGTGTGTTGAACAGTGTATGTGAGCCAGCAAATTCAACACACTGCTCAAGCACCCACCACTTGCACACTTGGGTTTTAACAGCACTATGTCTACTGCCAACACCAGCACCTTCACCCCAGCACAATCAACCAACAAACATCTGGCTGGCCATCACTGCTGAAAATGCCAAGCAGATGGTTGAGGAAGCTGCCATGGTTACAATGCAGGTGATGAAAGGGCTTCAGGGCCAGGACAGTAAGCACTGGAGGAAAGTGGTTGAGATTGTGTGGGCCCAGCTGGTAAGTGAAATCCCAGCCATGATATCCATTCCTGACATCTATGTAGGGCATGGTCCAAATGGTTGTTGACCATCTCCCCCCAGCATTCAAGTTGCTTCTGCATCTTATTGCCATTGTGTATGCTGATGATTGACCTGGAAATCATCTTTGCAACACAGAAATGGACTCCTTTCAACCAGATGATGACAGTATGAGAGGCAGATGTGAAGGATCATGCATGGTATCAACTTTGCCAGCAGCCCAAGTCTCACCCATATTACAAGGTCATGGAGGAGCTTACCTGGCCATTGTTGAGGGCCAGGCAGCAGGCACAACCTGTGGATAAGGGGAAGGGGAAAGAATTGGGTACAGATGGGGATCAAGGGATTCAGGTTCCAGGTGAGCACATATCCTGAGGATGGCACTTGGGTGGACCACTGATATTGGATCTGACGATGGACCCACAGACCCTACAGCTAGGACCACTGGAGTGGTGATGCAGAGACCAGGAAATGAAGATGATCAGAGCAGGGAGAAGGCATGGGGCCATAGCCAGTCAAGACATGGCTAGCCAGTGGCCAAGCCTGTTGATGCTGGTGATCAGACCAGTAGAGGCCAGAGCCAGTCAAGGCAACCACTGAAGAAGGCAAAATCAGCAGTCAACAAGGATGTGCAGGACTGGCAAGACATCAACAACCCTCCTGAGTTCTGGGAGGTAGTGCCAGAAGCTGAGCAATGTGTTAGATGCCAGGAAAGGAGTTGGCCCTGTACAGTGCTAGCTGGCAGGGTGTGCTGGCAATGCCACTGTACAAAGTACTCATGCAGCCTGCCCAAAAGGAGGGGAGACAAGTCTGAGGTGTGGTAAAAAGCCTCCCATTCAAGGCCTTGCTGGCAACAATCCCCAGAAGACACTGCCAGCCTCCTGACTACTTCAACACTTGCTGTGCCAGCTCCATTGACTAGTTGACAAGCCAAACATCAAAGGGCACCAAGCTGAAATCAATCTGCTGGTCCATCCAAAGTAACAAGCTGTCATTCATCTCCTGGCCCATGGACTGGCCACCCCAGTCAGCTATTCAGTCCTATATTGTGATGAAAGTGACTTTGTTTAAGTCACATGGGGGTAGTCCATTCTCATTAGAGTAAGTCTTATGACTGGCCAAAAGTCTCTGTTTGAGGTAGACTGGGGGGTAAGTACATCAGTAACTATGGTGTATATACATCCAGAGTGTGGCAGGAGACAAACAAGTAACTAAAAAGGGGGGTATAAAGGAAGGGAAAGAAAAGGGGAAACAAAGCAGTATCATTCTGAGGCATTAATGGTCATGTAAGATCATGAATCATTACATTTGCCCTCCTGACCTTCAACAAGAAGGTTAAATTGTTTAGTTCATTACTGTGCTATCCATTGGAGTCACAGCTGCAGAGATCATAAGTATAATCATGGAGAAAATGAAGATGATAGTCCAACCTGTGGATGGACCAGTGGTCTCTGAGCTGGTAGGGATATTCTGAGAGCTGTTGATGGTAGAGTTGATCTCTAGGTTCTGTAACATAGCATCAACATTTGCCAAGTAGTCATTGAATTTGCCAAAAGGGTCGCAAGGGTTATTAGACAGAAAAGACATGTTGGGCTGAGCTGGGGTCTGAGAGAAATTCTCAAAGGGTGGATTGTGGAAGTTGCGAGAGCAGTTCTTAAAGAAAGTAGCCCACCCTCCTTGCTTGGGGTGATTGTGGTTTTCGCACCCTCTGCCTCGACTCCTGGGTGTGTAAGGTTCATGCCAGCAGTGCCTTTGACTACCATGAGCTGTGTTTGCTTGTTCTGTTCTATGGTAAGTGCAGTATGTCTCCCATGAGGGGGCACACTTACAAGTGGCAGTATCTGCTGTGAAGCAATCAAAAATGACCTGGGTTAGGTATCCAGCTTGGTTGTTACTGCATTGAGTAGAGTTCCTTCTGGGCTTTGCCATTTGAGCTTGCCTGAATGCAGGAGGAAGGGGGTATCATAGATATGGATCAGGATTGTCTGTGTGAAGGATGCAGAAGTTAACATAACTGGGTGGAATGACATCTTGTTTGATGTCAAATGAGCCATTGTGGATGGCTTTAGCAGTGACATGGAAATGTTCTAGTTCGAGTGGCATGAAGTGAATGTTTGATCATGGGGTGCTGGTTGACTGGGTATTCATAGTCTGCTTTTTAAATGTTCTTGGGCTCCTCCTGGGGGTGGTCCTTGAGGCTGAGGTGTAATTGGTGGATGGAGCTGGCAGAGTTGCCCAGCTGTTGCTTGTAGTGATGTTGTTGATGATGTCTAGTGTTTCATGACAGGCAGTGCGATCAAGTGCAGATATAGTGAGTAGAGGTAGCTCTTGTGGAGTGTGGTCACTCTGATTCCTGGGTGCAAGGTTATCAGTGCTAGGTATGTTCAGCACTTCTAGGTATTGGGTGAATGCTTTGAGGTGTGAGACCTCATGGAATGGGAGCCAAACCTTGTCACCACTTGAGTATTCCACCTGAAAGAGGGCATCTGTCCCCTTTCCATGGTGATCTGTAATTCACTTGACTGAGAGGTGTTTGGTTTTCCTGAGCCTGATTATTTCAGGGAGTTGTCACCCAGGGAAGTGTTGATTGTCATTAGGGATGTGCAGACATAACAGGCTGGCATGAAAGGCAGGGTGTATGCTGTGCTGTTTGAGGTCATTTGGCAAATCAAGCAGGAATGTGTTGTTCTGGTAGTCATCTAAGATCTTATAGGGGCTGATAAACTTAGGCATGAGTGTTTGAGCATGCCCTTTAGGTAATGCTATGTTGGCTGTAGATAGGTATACTAAGTTGCCTTTAACAAATGGTGCATCCCTACATTTCTGGTTTGCCATAGTAGTTTGTTTTATATGTGCAGAAATAATCAAATCATGGGCTTGCATAATGGCATTTTTCATGTGCTGGGCAAATATTCTTACACCAGGGATTTCTGAGTTGGTTTCCCAGATTGTGGATCTTGGCAACCATGTTGTATATTCTGCCTTTCACATTATGCTTTCATCCACTTAGTATTATGGTACGCATTTAGCCATATTACATAATCATGTTCATTTTCACACTCAAGTAGCATAGTCACACCTCAGTTGGCTACTTAACCCAACTGAGGTGAGCACTTTCCACATCCTGTCTTTACACTCAGCTAATAGTCCTGTAGTATATATTCTACAGACTGCCTATAGTTTAGTATAAATGGGGTAAACCTGGTAGTTTCTGACTGAGCTGAGTTCATTGCAAATTCAATTGCCAGTAGTTTCAAGGCCCAGTCCTTCTGGTTTGGGGATATGCAGGCACATAGCATCTGAGTAAATGTGCAGTTGGCCCACTCAGTGATTCCATCTGTCTGTGGGTGAAAGCTTGATGACATTCTTAGCTCAGTTCCCATTAGTTCATTTAGTTTATTCCAGAAAGTGCTTGTGAATAGCAAGTCTCTGTCACTAATTATATTCTGCAGCATTCCATGATTCTTGTATACTCTATCAAACATTACCTCAGCAATGTCTTTGGCATGGTAAGTCTGTTTCATAGGGATGAGGTGTACCATGACAGTTAGGTAATCAATTATGACAAGTGTCATGTTGAAGGTTCCATTAAGTGTATGTGATTCCAGAAAGGGGCCAACAAAGTCAATTCTAATGGTTTCCCAGGGGTATGTGGGGACATCAAGCATTTCCAATAGTCTGTAGCTGGGATGATTACTGGGCTTAGAGGTCTGACATAGTGTACAGGATTTTCAGAATTCATCTACATCTGAATTGATCCCCTTCCACCATACATTGTCATGTAGGTAGTTGGTAGTTTTCCCAGGGCCTAGGTGTGCTAAGATTAAATGCATGTGCAAGATCAAGATCTTGCATAAGCAGTAGGAACCCAAGTTTATGTCAGGAATACAAAGAATTTGCTGTCCTTTGTCTTTCAGGTAAATCAGACTGTTGTCTACTTCAAAATTTTTGTAGATCTTAGGGTTTTTAACAATGTCAATAAAGAATTTGTCCTTATGGTATTGATGGCATATGTCCTTGCATATGTCTAAGTCTGAATCTGCCATAGTGACTAATTCAGGCAATGAGGTTGGTTCCTGTTCACTGGGTGTGTCAGCCATGATGTCATCATCCAGGCTGTTGTCAACACATGTCATAGGTATTTTTGTCTCAGCAGGTGTCTCAGGTACTGTTGGCACATCAGGTGATGTGTCAGGCTTTGGCATACTCCTGCCCTCCAGTGATCATGTTGGGTCACCAGGTAACTTCAGGATCACTCACTTCGCATTAGGGAAAGCTTCCTGTGTGCTAGACTGACACCTCATTGCTCCCAGGAATATGGGTGAGCCCATGTACAGTGGGGTGGTAATCAAGTTCAGTAGCAGCATTGACAGTGCATGCTCCTCTTCAGCACTGACATATTCCAAGGCCGATCATACCACCCCCTTAGGTTTATCTGAGTATATACAACTCAGTGTGTTGGTGATGACATTCATCTTGCCTGGTATATGTTCAATCTCAAAATCAAAGTCACCCAATGTTTTGAGCCACCTAGCCTGCCATGGGGACAGCTTTCATTGTGTCTGGATTCATTCAAGACCTTTATGGTCCATGAATATGTGGAATTTTGTGCCTTGCAGTAAGTGTTGGAATCTTTTCAATGACTCAACTATAGCTAATAGTTCCTGTTCATGCATGGGGTAATTCTGTTGGGCCAGGTTAAATTTACCAGACCAGAACATGATAATGTTCCCTTTTTCCATAGTTTCTCCCTGCCAAATTACACTGCTTCTGCCCAACAGGCATGTGTCACAAGACAAGTTTATTGGGGCATGTCCAGGTGAGTAGTCTAGCATCATTTGTCATATCTCACAATGCATATGTACTAACTCCTTTACTAAATCACATGCCCTTTGTTCTGTGAATGACCAGTGCCAAGGAGTGTTGGCCACCACTGTCTTGTGCAGGTGCCTGAGGGGTATGTGAATGCCTTCACATCTGGGTGCAAGATACCTGACCGCTCCAATGAAGCCCATGAGTAGGTCTTTGTTAGTGGGTGTTTTCCAATTAATGATTTTATCTACTTTGTCAGGGTCCATTCTAATACCATCTGCATTGATCACATGTCCCAGGATTCGTAATTCATCCATAAACAACTGCAGTTTGTGTTTGCTTAGGTAGAATTTGTGTCTTTGCAGAGTGTCAATGACAATTTTAATGTGCTTTACATGTTCTTTGAGTGAGTCAGAGTAGATCACTATGTCATCTAGGTAGACATCCATGAAGATTCCTATGTACAGTGCAAATACGTGGTTCATTAATGACTGATAAGCCACACCTGCATTGCAGTCACTGATCTACATTACATGACTGATCATGGTCCCATCAGGTGTTGTAAATAGCATTTTGGGAACATCCCCAGGAGTGATGCAGATCTGTTCATAGGCATCCTTGCCATCGAGCAGGGACCTGTAGGGGTGAGACATGATGTTGTGGAGGATTGTCTCCATGTCTGGTAGCAGGGATGCTAGTTTCCTGGTATTTGCATATTGTTCCCTTGTATCTATTACTGTTCATAGTCTTAGCAACCCATCCTTAGTAGCTTTCTTTGACATTAGCATTGGGATGGCATTGGTACTGCTACTGAATTCCCATTGTCTGGTTCATATATAGTCATCATGCTTTGAATGCCATACAGGCTTGAGTGGCTCAGGGCAGTGGGATGGATGCCAGGAATATACTTTATTATCATCTATCAGTGGGATAACATGATTAATTTCATGAAGTGGGGGAAGGGGGGTGTCAATGGCCTCTTTACAAATATCCTTTGCATATGCTCTAAGCTCCTCTTGGCATCTCTCCTTTTCATCCACCAGTAGCTCCACTGCTTGTGACTCCAGTGCAATAGTTTGTGGTCCCCAAATAGGTAGCAAGTTGTCACTGCAAACAGTAATTTGAGATGGGTTGAAACCAAGTAAAATTTTATGTTGGAATAAAAATGGCATACCCAGAATCAAGTCATATGAATCAAGATTCGTGATGTCCAGTATGTGCTTGTCATGAATGTTCTGGTACAAGATCAGAGGTTCAGGGGTTTTTTGAGTAGATCGAGGGGTAGTTGCAATTGATCTACAAGTGTGGTAGAAATAAAGTTGGATGATGAACCAGAATCAAGCAAGGGTTGACAGGGCTTGTCACTGATGCAGACTATGACAACGATGGGCTTGGGTAGGAGGTGAGTGGTGCCTTTGACATGTGCAGCACTTCATTCAAGCATGCAGGTTTCATTTTCATGACCCCCCTTGGGGGAGTGTGTTTGAGCTGCTCTGCACTCCAAGGTTTTGGTGCTGATGGGCTTAAGGCAATTTGGGATTGTGGGAGAGGGCCCATGCCATCTCATTTCGCACTTGTCAAAGGCTAGTTCTTCATAGTGCTCAGTTTTCTTCAGGTGGAGCCAATGGGTGACATTAAAATCTGGATCAGTGAGATCCTCATAGTAGAGAATGTGATTGTTGAGGGTGTATTGGTCTGTCAGTAAGTATGTGTCTGGGCTGCCATAGTCTTCCAAGGTAAAATGGTTGTGCTGGTAAGGGGAGTTGTCTGGGTCAATCTCCTGGTTGAGAGTTAAAGGGACAGCATTGTACAGCATAGCTAGTGTATGTGCCTTCAGGGTCTCTCATTTCAGCTGGAGGAGTTCAGGCATTTCTGAGTGAGTAATTCCTAGTGTGAATAGGCTGAGTTCAGCCCCTTCTTTGATGGCTGCAAGGCAAGCTTCAGTGGGGGACATGTTCACAGTGTTAAGATGGACATGCAGTCCTTTCTGCTTGTCCCTGGTCTACCAATGCTTGGGGAAATTCCATTCCAGGTGGTCTGTGCCTTCACAGTTGAAGCACTTACCTTCTGCATGAAGGCACTTCTTTCTCTCCTTATCAGGGTTCTGATCTGTTCAATAGTGACTGTTCTGATCCTTTGAGTACTGACATGCGATTTTGTCCTTGTTATGGATTGCATTCCCTGTGTCTGTTGTGCTGTTAGTCTTTACAGTGGCTGCACTAAGGTGATCCATGCTTTGCCTGTGTGTGTATCTCTGGTCATGTGGGGACTTGTGATTTCTGTCCTCATCAATAACATGCTTGGCTTTCTCATACCTTACACATTCAGATTCTAGAGCCACAATAGAGACTGTAGTTGCATCATATCCACTCTTGGTAAGTTCTGCTCTCAAGTAAGGTTGGCATCATCTCCAAAATGTGAGAACTACTTCCCAATCACTAATGTCACCCACAGTATCTGCTATTTCCTGTAATTTTCTCAAAAAGTCTAGGACTGAGCATCCTTCTTGATGGCATGCATCGAACTTATCATGATGTTGCATTCAGAAGTCTGCTGTGGAACACAACTTCTGGGAAGCATGTGACTAGAGGAAAGCTGAAGGGAGAATTCCCTAGGATCAACCCAAGGGATGCTGTGTGGAAGGTGAAGTCAAGGATTACCCTAGAAGGGGTGGGGTAATATGTGCAAAGGTTACAGAACTTCATTCCAGAGGGATGTGGACACACAAGGAACAGTGAGATAGGTATACAAAATTCTGAGAAGCTGATTGGTGGTGAGAAGAGTGTATTTGAGGTGAGAGGGATATGGGGTGAGGAGTGCAGGATTGGGAGACACAAGAGACATGAAGTCCACTGGAGATGCTGTAGACAGTGTAGACTCAATATATGAACTCAGACTCTGAGAACTCTTGAACTCATGGAACACACACAGATAGAAACTCTGAAGGTCAGTGGTATATTTCCAACATCATGGCAGAATTATATAGTACAAGGGAAGTAGGTACAAATCAGAGTAAGGTGGGGCAGAAAAACTAAAAGACCAGAAAATAAGGGAGAGGATGACAGATGTCAAAGAAATACAGGTGCATGTGAAACAGGCTGGTGAGTAGTAGATGAGAATAAAATGGGACAATGGTAAGGGGTATCTTCTGACAGAACAAGGTTACATGTACAAGTGAAAGGTGGAGTTGGCAGGAGGGGGAGGCACAAGAGGGCAGAGTGTACTGGCACAAAGTCCAGCTTGTGGAATTTGGGGCAACAGAGGTAACCAGAGTTTTTTGTAAAGGCAACTGACATGGGTGAGTGGTGAGGTGGCTGGGGGTGGCTTGGCTACTGAATTCCAGATGCCTCTGGGTGAATGTGGAATTTCTGGATCAGCTCATTGCTGGCTGGGTGACATGCCAAAGGTCAGGAGAAACTCCACAGGTGACAGGGGTTGGGAGGCAACATGAGGTTACAAGCAGGAAGAACTCTGAAAGCATCCAAAGGCCTAGAGACACAGGGGTTTGTCACAGAGGCCAGCAGAATTTAGTGACAGATTCCTGTTCCAGCCTCAGGGAGTATATGGCTCCCTACACCTCCTGGGGACTTTGAATGCTGACCATCCTTGGTCAGACTGAACCAAGATGCCACAGAGATGAGTGCAGAATATTGGCAGGCATTACATAACAATGATGGCACATGGTCTGAACTCTGCCTTGTGCAGAGGGAAATTCCACATTGTATGAGATGGCCCTGCAGGATTTAAATGTGCTCAGAAGGTGGCTCACTGCTTGTCAAACTTTCACTCCCCAGCCACACCTGTATCCACTACCCAAGCCCATACCCAATCTTCAACATGCAAGCCTACTTGATCCACAATGCATGACTGGTATGCAGCATGAAGGACCAGGCAATCACCTCTCTGTCAGCAGCTCTAAGACACATTAGGGTGCTAATGGACACAGTGCCACAGCCTGAAGAGAGCTTAGAGGTGATATATGAGTGGGTGGAGGACTGGGACCAGACTTGGGTGAGTGCACTAGAGACCCATGCAATGCAACATGCTGACCAATCCCCAGGCTGGCATCTACTCATGGTGGAAGTATGTCAATGAGAACAAGATCTCCATCCTGAAGGTGTGCAATGCCAATCTACACAACATGACCAAAGAATCTGCAATACAGCAGAATGAGGTGATCCCAGTGGCTATAGCAATAGTGGATCTTTGGCAGCCAGAAGGGCAGCATAGATTCAACATTGACAACCTTTTTGAGGACTACCGGGGGTGGGTAGAGGAGAGAGTGCGGTTGGAGGCCAAGAGGTTGGCCAAGGCACCATCCATGCACACCTGGGGCCAAGCAGCAAGAGGTGAGGGTCAAGACTGTGCACCAGAAGACACCAAAGGATACCCATCAAGAGGAGCTGCATGTTTGACAGGGGGGGCTCTGGTAGCACAAGCAAGGGAAAAGGGAAACAGAAGGTGTGTTCTACATCCTTGACAACCCAGAGCATGAATGCTGACTTCAATGAAATCTCCACAGGCCACCAGCAAGGAGGACAAGCTGGCTGACAACATCAATGATGATGAGGGCAATGGCAAAGGCAAAGGAGAGCCAGGTCCTTGTGGCTGGAGACAATGAGCCCTGCAAGACATGTGCCCAGGTGAACCTTGTGTGCATCAGGGAGCCAGAGTTGTCCTGCACATGGTGCAGGAAAGTGAAGTGCTTGTGCTTGTGCTCTTGTGGAGTAGGGAGAAAGGTGAGTACCATACAGGTGAAATTCTGCAAGGGAATGAGTTGACACCACCTTCAGCAAAAGAACTCCAGTACCATTGGGGAGGCAGGGCCATCCCACAAATGAGTCAAATTGATTACAACCTTGAAGGCAGCCCCAGCAGAATCTGTGACTGGACCCACTAAGGAGCTGTTCACCCTCCAAAGTTGAAGTTGAAGTTTTTGACTTCAACTTTGGCAATGTAGTCATGTGATGATTATATAAGACAACAACACAACTTGTAGTTCAATAGATAACATTGTGATAACAGATCAAACAACTCTGCTATGGATCTTGAAGCACAGCAGCTCCAGCACCATCATCATTGCCATCTTGCTGCACTTGTAGTAGCAGTGATGATCCAGGTGCTATGCCTCTATGACCTCCTTTTTCATTCTGACTCAGAACCAATCCCCTACCATACCTCAATCCTGACTGGTGAGGGATGGATGCTAGAGCTCCTGAATGGTCATCCAGACAAGATACAGACTTGCCTTGGTGTCAGCCATGGGGTTTTTGATCACTTGATGCAGGTGCTCACCTGCCATGGTTTTGTGCCTTCTCACAATGGAATTTCTGTGGAGGAACAACTTGGGATATTCCTCTACACCTGTGTTACTGGGTTGTCATCCTGGCATGTTGCTGAGAGGTTCCAACACTCACCAGGGACCATCACTAGGTAGGGAGTTCATTGGACTGTCTGATATTGTTCTCACAATTTTTTTAGATATTTCAAAGCAATGTTGGCTTTCTTTTCTGGGGGACAATTCTATGCATCCCAAGTGCAATTCCCCACCAACAACACTCCCATATCAACTATGATTACTAGTGACCCACACTTCCAATTTTTCCAGGATTGTATTGGTGCAGTTGACGGCACTCATATTTGAGCATTCACTGCTGCTGAGGACCAGCCTTACATGAGGAACCAGAAGGGCTACCTATCTCAAAACTGTCTCTTCATCTGTGATTTTGACTTCTTCTTCACATATGCCCTCACTGGCTTTGATGGGTCAACTGCAGATGCAACCATGTGGCATGATGCACACAGGAATGACTTGCACATGCCACCTGGGAAGTACCTTCTTGCAGATGCAGGGTTTGGGACCTGTGATGCACTTCTGGTTCCCTATTGAGGTGTTCATTACCATCTGAAAGAATGGTGCGAGGCTGGATTAAGGTAAGTTGCTATTCCATCCTGCTCAGTGTACCTGTAACTTCTATTTTATAGACCTCAAAACCAAGAGGAGTCATTCAACCTTTACCATGCTGGACTTAGAAATGCCATTGAATGGATATTTGGTGTTATAAAATGCAGGTGGAGGATTCTTCAAATTCCCCCTGAATATAGCATCCACACCCAAACTCAAGTACCTGCTGCTCTCTGTGCCCTCCACAATTTCATACAGCACTATGATCCAGAAGAGTTCTTTGACCCTGAACTTGCCATGGACACAGGAGAGGATGATGGTATTGGAAGCCTTGGTGGTGGACCAGCAGATGCTGCAGAGAGGAGAAGGGCTGATAATAGGTGTGACAACATTGCAGAGGAGATGTGGACTGACTATCAGCACCAGCTTACAATTAGGGGCCTTCTCTGAGCCTGAACATTCAGATTTCATGGTGTACAAATATATGTTCTTACAATTGTTTCACACTCATGTAGAAAAATAACTTCCATTGTCAAATGGAAGCTAGTCATAGTCATGTACATTTTATTATGTACATATTTGTATAAAGGGGGGGGGGGGGGGGTACATTTGTATATTGTATATAAAAAAACAAAACAAACACCTATCTCTGCCCATCCCAGTACTTCATCAGCCAATGCTGCACCCAAATCTGCTTTGCTGGCTCCTGATGCTTGAGGAAAATATTCACTTCATCCAGGGTCATGCTGAGGAAGTAGTCGCTGATGTCAATCCAATCATCTGCTGAGAGCTGCAGCATGTTGTTGATGTAGTCCATGGCAGTGTCCACAAGGGGATTAGTAATGGGTGGTGGGGGCAATGGGGCAGCAATTGCATGCATGAAGTTATTGAGCCTGGAGGTGATGGCAGCAATGAATGAACTGCAATCTTCTTCAGCATGCACTTTGGCTGATGGGGGCTGAGAGTGCTTCAATCCACCTTCAGACATTGCAATGGACTTGGCTTTCCTTTTTCTGCAACTGATGCTGGTGACAGCTGATGATGACAATGACCTGGCTGATGCATGCAACAAAAAACTGGATGGTGTGGAAGGGGGGATGAAGTTTGGATCCACAGACTGCATGTCTTTGCAACAGTGAGCATTGAGAGTGTGTGTCATGTCAAGGAGGGAGAGGGAGGAAGGGGGGGTAGGAATAGTCGAAGTGGTGGGGGGTGCAGTAGAGGCAGGAGTATTGAAGGCAGAGGTTGTGGTTGTAGAAGGTGCAGTAGTGGCATGTGGCTGGTAGATAAACTGACCTCAGCCATGTGAGGGGAGAAGGAGCTCTACACTGGCAAAGTGGGGGAACCCAGAATTGCAAAATGGCTTCATGTCTTTGTGTGCCTGACTAGATGTTAGTGGATGATCCAACAAGAAAAAAACTACATTACTTTTACATACTGATCCCAAATATTGGCATTGTCCAGCAAGATCATTGCACCATGCTTGTCATCATAAGCAAAGCCAGAGGCCACCAATTTAAGATCAGCAACAGTGTAGTAGGATTTTTTAAGCTGGATAATTGTTAGCAAGGCAAAAAAAAAAAGAATGATATGATGACTTACCACCTTGAACTTCCACTCACACAATTCAACTGTCTTATCACCATTATCCAGACCCAGTGGATAATTATGAGCCATGTGGGCTGCTGTGGCATTCCACATAGCCTTCTTAAAGTTCCCATCACTGGCCTGTGAAAGATGAGGGGCCAAGAAATCCAGTAACACACCTTCCTGCTCTGTTGTCCATACCACAGCTTGCTTGCAAGTCCTGGGGGGAGGCAGGGGGTTCTGTGGGTCTAGAGCATTGATTGTAAGGCCATGTGAGCACAACAAGCAGGTTGATCCTGCAGATGAGCCAGACATTCAATGATTGCAGTAACTGGGTGACAGTGGTTGTGTACCTCAGGTGGATGCATGTGATAGTTCACATCACATGACCCTCTTAACCAAAGCTGGAGTTGAAAACTTGGACTTCGCATTCGCAGGGTGAACAGCACCTAAGACACTCACTCTGAAAATTCTGCCTTGAAAATGACAACCTCATCTGACCCCCACATGTTCACCTACCCCAGAACCAAGTTCCTCCCTTTGCAATCCTTTGCCAACCCCTCATCTCTTTTCTGTGGGGCTACTCCAACACCTGGACCTTGATTCTCACCAGCCCCTGCCAATGAACTGCAAATCGAGTTTGAGCCATTTTCCACAACTGCGACCAGCTTGCTAAATGAACCAGGAGGCATTGAAGAGCCAGTCCAGAGTGCCACTCCTTTGGTTGCCAAGATTCTGGAGGTCAAAAACCCACATGAGCAGTCAACAGTGAGCTTCAGTTGAATGTCTGTGAGTGCTCAAGGCAAGAGCTGAGGATGAGGAATTTGAGCTGGAGCAGGTCTACCAGCTGCTGGAGATGTTGGCAAGGCAGGTAACACATTGGATCGAGACTGTGTGGGCTAGACAGGAGGTAAATCACCACTCACTCTTTGTTGTCTTTGGTGTTGGTTTTGGTTGGTTTCTACCACATTTCCACACTTTGACTTACAGCAGATGCCACAACTTTCTTTAACATTGAGACTTCTGGATTCAACTTTTCTCTCCACAGGTTGCAATGAAGTTCTTTGCATAGGCCAGACCAGAACTCATGTACCTTGATATGTTCATTGTATTGGTCTCTCTGATCATATTCCAGATCTCATTGAGTTCATACAGGTAGTTTTTAATGGTCTTGGAGTTTTGATAGCACAACTGGAGCTTCTCTCACTGTCACATTTGGAAGTCAATGGGGAAGCAGTAGTTATACAACTCCATGAGGAAGTCCAATCACCTCCACTTGTGAGGATCTCCAGATCCCTCACACACATAGAATTCATGTGCCTTTCCCATTAGGTAGTGCAATAAAATGAACATGCATTTCTATGTCTCTACATGCCTGTCCTCAACATACACTGTTCCCTCAGTGATGAAACAATGGAATGCATGAGGGTTGTCTGACCTGTTGTACTTTTTGGGTGGGATCAGTTTCAGCATCATCTTGCAGTGCAATCTGCATCTTTTCTTTGATTTATGCAATGGGCAAGTATGGCTCTTTCACCATGTAGACCTTCCTCATTGTCAGTGCCCTCATGACCTACTAGAGTTGGTTGAGGATTCACTAGAGCTAGAAGAGCTGCCATATGTGCTTGACATGTCATCCAAGCTCAAAGATGATTCATCATCAGTAAATGTGCTAGAGTTTGAGCTCAAAGAACTAGATGAGTCCAAGCTCATGTCATCACTTGAGGAACTGGTCTCAGAGCCATCACTTGATATGGAGTTGGAATTGCTATCATCTGAAGATTCACATTGGCATGATGACTTGTGTTTCTTCTTTGTCCCACTGGTGTGCTTCTTGTCCTTCTCAAGACATTTAAATGCTAGTCCAATATAGCTTTTAGGGTTAATTTGCTTTACAGGCTCCATGGCTCTTGGAGTCTTTTGTCATTCACATCATTTGTGGTCCTGACATACAACCTTATTGACCATGTCTTTCACTGGGTTGGGAAGAGTCTTTGATGGCTTTGGTGTGGATCTTTTATTCTTAGCTTTACACTCTGATTTTTCTTTCTTAGAGGTTCATTTGTTGCTCTCATCAGCCAAATTCTGGGGAGTGCCCTCACTGGCTGGCATGGCATCCTCCTGATTATCTCTCTGCAAGGGTCCAGGCTGGTTATTATTGCCTCCTTTTGCTAACTTATTTCTGACATTCCAGGATACAAGGGCAGTGCATTCTGGGTTCACCTCACCATCACTAAGGTTCAGATTCCCCCAGTTCTTCAGGTCAGGTCCCTTTCCTTTGTGATTTCCCTTGATCAAGGGCTCATCACCTTCAGATATGGAGCTTTTGAGGTTGTCTCTTGTCAGTGACAGTGACCTCCTTTGGATCCTGTCTTGCTCATCTGGGGTCAGTTGTCATTTGGCTTTTTGGATGACATCTCTCTGATCAGATCTCAGCCTACTATGAGTGTGTCACTCATGCAATCATTTGCACATGACTTTTGTCCAGTCACCATGCTCAACATCTACTTCACTTGTAGGGAAAATGGAGTCACATCAGATGTCAATAGGTAAGTTCTCATTTACTTCATGAGTTAGTACCCAGACTCTAACAGTACAAGCCCTTACAGCTTCCAGGGTCTCAGTGTCACTGGGATACACTGGTGAGGTAGCTCTCAAGCCAGGAAACATTGGCAAGATAGTCCTCAAGCCATGGCACATTGGCAAGGTGACTCTCAAGCCTGGCTGAGTGGGCAAGGTATTCCTCAAGCCAAGGTATGTTGGCAAGGTAGCTCTCAAGCCAGGATCTGTTGGCACGCTATATCTTGAGCCAGGGATGATTACAGCAACTCCTTCAGGCACCAGGCTTGGATCCCTCAAGCCAGTTCTAACAACATCACTATAACTCCAGACATTATCAATGACAGGCCTTTCAATGGGGGTGGAGTATTGACTTCCTAGTGGAGTCAGTTTCAGGAGTGGAGACCTGTTGACAATGTCAGTGCCAGGTTGGGAGGTAAAGATGATGCTTGGGCCTTTGTGGCTTGGAAAATGGTTGCATGGGTATTACAGCAGTTCCCAAGTGTAATGAGACTGTGAATTTTTTTGAGTCACACATTGAGTCATTCCAAATTGGGAACAAGGCATGATAAGTCATATTGTACACATTCCCTACACCATTGGCATCTCACCACAATGATGGGAAACCACTGTATCAGCAAAGACATCAATGAAATCACCCTCAAGCTTTGGGATCAAGGCTGTGAGGCAGAGGATATATGTGATACCTTAGGAATACCTCACACAAGCCTCTATCGATGGCAAGTGATTATTGCAGAGCATGGCAGTGTCAACTGTCCCCTGTCACCACTGAAAGGCCAAGGCCTTCATATCCTTACCCACACCCTCATTCAGGCCTGCCAGGCCCTATTCTCTCAAGAACTGGATCTATTTCTCGATGAAGTAAAGACTTGACTAGCCCTTGAACATGACATTGTCACCTCCACATCAATGCTTGCTCAGACTCTCACTGAAATTGGGCTCATTTGCAAAATATTTCACAAAATAGCTGTGGAGAGGGATGAGGAACACCATGGAGACTTCCAGGAACAAATTATTGCCAACTTCCAAGGGGATGGTCATGAATTTGTGTTCATGGATGAAACAAGCAAAGATGAGCATACATGGGCATGTCACCATGGTCATGCAATGTCAGGTGCTTGCATGCCCCTCTCAGATGTCTTTGTTCAAGGTGACCAGTATTCCTTGGTTGCAGCAATGATAGTTGATGGATATATTGCTGCTGAGGTTGTGGAAGGTTCTTACAATTGTGATCTATTTTGTGACTTCATCACACAGCAACTTGTGAAGTCATTTTCCTGTTCCTTTGATTGTCCTAGCTGATATTTCAATGTAGCTGCCCACCATGAATCCCTTCCCCACTGAAAGGTCTGTTATTGTCCTTGACAACTGCTGCATCCATCACAATGAAGACATTGAAGGCTGCAGTCTGGGAAGCTGGTAAGTACAATCTACACTCTGTTTCATCACTCATTTATCCTCCACAGGTTGTATTCTCATGTTCTTGCCTCCATATTCCCCAGATCTCAACCCAATTGAGGAGTTGTTCACCACCTGTGTTTCCTGTCTTTTTTCTTTCCATTTCTTGAACTTGCTCATAATATATCACAGTAAAGGCACATCTCCATCACCATGCTCATCATCTGCATTGGGGAGGAAGATCCCATCAATACACTCCTTGAGGCAACAAGCTACATCACTGCTGGGAAATGTCAGGAGTGGATATGCCATGCTGGTTATATTACAGTGTAGTCACCAGAGATTTACAGGATATTTTCAAGTCTGCTCTGTAGAAGAGTAGAAGAGTCTAGTCATCTTTTTGTTTGAGAAATGCTTGAGAAACTTGACTTGCAATTTTTGAAGCACCAAGGAAAAAAAGGAGCACACATGACATTTGCACACTAGACACAATATTACATGGCATGAATGGCTGACTACTCCCAAGTGCCTGCACAGATTGCCTCACAGAACTTCCAATGTGCTGCTAAAAATGAGTGGGATATAAGAATGGAGAGTCTGCTGCCCTTCCAGTCTGCCTCTGAGAGTGATTCTACAACTTTATTCCCAGGAATATACAGTGGCTCACAAAATTGTCCCAATGTTTGGATGTTTTTTATTAATCATGGTGTAGTGAGTGAACTATCATTATTGAGTCCAAGGTGTTGGTGGATGGATCAAAGCAGCTGGTCATGGCTCTCTGATGACCCATATTACATAATATTTGAATAGAAACTGATGACAGAATACCTAAATGAAAATGAGAGCTCATTGGGACAATTATGTAACTTTGTGATATACTGGGGATGTAGTCCTTGGGAACACATATAAAACATGGTGAGATGCTCACCAATGCTTACATAATGTATCACATGGTCTACTGAATGATTTGTCAACAAACAAACAATGCCAAACAGTGATTTTGCACCACTGAGCCCCCTTGCTTTAACACAAGTCAAGAAATCACCATTCTGGCTCATCAAGGACTTCCTCTCAGGGCAACCTCAGCAAATGCTGGGGTACACTATAGTATAATCAATAGGATATGCTATCAGCACCATTGGTCTCTTCAGAATCCTGCTGGCAGTCATCTCCTGCACTGTTTCCCCACCAATGCCCCATGTGTCCTGGAACTAATCAGTACTGTGAGAGCTGAGAATGATGTGGAGGTCCAATCTGGCATTAATCCCATCATAAACAAACCATTCACCCATTAACTAGTGCATTTCTGTGAAGGGGAAACTGCTATGGAGGTCAGGGTGAAGCTAAACCCTCTCTCACTCCAGCTACCATGGGAAGGATATGCTACTGAGCTGGCAGGTTGCACATTCCTGGCCTTCTATCTGGCACTGGATATTTCCTTTAGTCTTATATGACCAAATAACTCCTTCCCAGTGATCCCAAGTTCAGCTCAGAGTGCAGACTGGCCAACCCTCCCATGATACTGGGAGTGCCCAGGAGGGTTGTGCTTCACTTGAGCCTTCAGGCAGGCTTTTTTTCAGCTATGATGTAGTAGTTAATGGGTGAATGGTTTGTTTATGATGGGATTAATGCCAGATTGGACCTCCACATCATTCTCAGCTCTCACAGTACTGATTAGTTCCAGGACACATGGGGCATTGGTGGGGAAACAGTGCAGGAGATGACTGCCAGCAGGATTCTGAAGAGACCAATGGTGCTGATAGCATATCCTATTGATTATACTATAGTGTACCCCAGCATTTGCTGAGGTTGCCCTGAGAGGAAGTCCTTGATGAGCCAGAATGGTGATTTCTTGACTTGTGTTAAAGCAAGGGGGCTCAGTGGTGCAAAATCACTGTTTGGCATTGTTTGTTTGTTGACAAATCATTCAGTAGACCATGTGATACATTATGTAAGCATTGGTGAGCATCTCACCATGTTTTATATGTGTTCCCAAGGACTACATCCCCAGTATATCACAAAGTTACATAATTGTCCCAATGAGCTCTCATTTTCATTTAGGTATTCTGTCATCAGTTTCTATTCAAATATTATGTAATATGGGTCATCAGAGAGCCATGACCAGCTGCTTTGATCCATCCACCAACACCTTGGACTCAATAATGATAGTTCACTCACTACACCATGATTAATAAAAAACATCCAAACATTGGGACAATTTTGTGAGCCACTGTATGTAGTCCAGTTTCTCCAACTTCTCTTGAGTATGTGCTGACAGCCAATACTTTGTACAAAACTCTGAGAGTGAAACACTGTGCATCATAGTGGAACTGGGTGAAGAGAAGATGGTCATACTTTGACTAGGCAGTGGTGGGGTTGGCACAGGTGGAGATGTCATGTTTGGCATATAGTAGCCATATGAGCCATAGGAAATTGGTGGAGGAGGAAAGTAAGAGCCAAACAGATACATGGGATGGGGGCCAGGCACATGCCAAAGGCCATGAGGCCCAGGCACATTATGGTGGTCTTTGTTCCATGCACCAAGGATCAGATTTGGAATGTCCACTGGCATCTGGCTAGCAGGAATAGCAGATACCTTTGTAAAGTGATTGGACATTGGTGGGGCATCACATGTTGCAGTTAGTGGCTATCAGGGTTGTCAGCAATGTATTTGAATGAATATTCACTTATGACATACCTTTGCAGTGATGGTGTTTGCCCAAATTTGAAGGCAGATGTGGGGTTAGCTCCCAGAAGAGTCCCCCTGATGCATATATGCACTTGTTTGGAAAGCAGGGATGATTCCCAACAGGATATTTGTCTTGTAATTCCTTGAGCTTGTTTGCAGAGCAGTTATGAAGTGAATCAATTTGCAATTTGATAGACAAGTCAGGCAGTGGTTTGTCATCAAGTTCTCTTGCTGCCCCTGAGCTTTTCCCTCTCCCTCCCTTCTTCTCAATCATTGGCTGTAGTAGTTCAGCACTTGCCACTCACAGAAGAAATGAACATTGCTTACAAGCTCATGTGGAATGGGCTTTGGCACATACAGAAAAATAACTTGAGCCTTCTTGTGTGACTTCACAACATTGATCATTGCCTGATATCCTACCTCATTTGTAATGAGTTTGAGCTGGAGATTAGTGGGAGTTTCAAATTGCCAGCACAACTGTTCAGCTGCCAGATGCCATGGCATGGTATCAGCAGTGTCAGCAACAGCATTGATGAAGATATCAAAAGTATCCTTGACTGTGAATATAAAAGGGTTGCACTGGGTAAGTTTGACAGAGGTTGATGATGTCAATTTACCTCATGTTTGGGCCAAGACCTTGACAGACATCTCAAGGTGTAGGTGTGCTGTGATAGATTGTGGTGGGGGTTCAGCAATGCTATCCTCTGAGTTGCTAATATTGAATATGGCTGTCTTCAACATTGATTTCTTTGCTTTCTTCTTCTTTCTTGAGGCAGGGCACTTCAGGGAAGATGGGGAATTGGATTGCTTCTGCTTGTGGCCATGCTTTGCTTTCTTTGTAGGAGTCTTGGCAGAGATTTTCTTGGATCAGGCTCATTGGTGGGGTCCATAGTGGTGAGAATGCTGATGCAGAGGTGTAGGGGATGTGCACAACACAACTTATCACACCTCATTCCCAATTTGGAATGACTCAATGCATGACTCAAAAAAATTCACACAGTCTCATTACACTTGGGAACTGCTGTAACCATTTCTTTTATTGAGTATATGATACTTACTCTTGTCTTCACAGTGGATCAGCTCTGTGAATGATCAAGAAGGTATCAGGTGTGTTTGCTATTGAATTCAAGGTAAGACCCTGTTTTTCAGGGAAAAAATGTGACACTGATATGAAGTAGAACACTTTTAACAACAGCACAAGGGGAAGGATTCTTCACTCTACTCAGGTTTCCCAGACAATAGTGTCTGATGTCAAGATAGGAAACAAGTCCCTGTACAGTACACTACATAGCCACATTTATAGGGTAGAGGTTAGGCATGAAATATGTCAGAGTATCCATACAGGTCAAGATCAAAAGTAAATGAGAAAAACAGTAGACCTGTCATAGAGAAACCAACATCTAATCATATGGTCACCAGCATCAGACCAAATCCTTACACATATACAAGCCACATACACCACTGTCCATGACATGCACACATTCAACCATGTGCTTCCATGTAGTCTACACAACATCACAAACAGTGACAAAAACATAACCAGGGGTACCAGTCAGGCATGATCAATCCCAACAAAGCGTTTACAGACCTGACCTGATGATGTCCAGGAATACACATGCCTAACTATTACACATTAAGAGCCGCACACCCGTCCATGATCTGTTTTACAATGAGACGCAATCGTTCTTCTCCAGCAGGTTCCAAGATGTCATAGTTCCAATGGTCGGCAGGCGCAGTATCGTTCATCTCGGTAGGGTGGCGAGGGATGGCGGCGGGCACAATCTGTGCAGACCTGTTCCGTGTATTGAGACTGTAAAAGCACAACTTCGTGCCCAGCGCGCTGATGGCATGGAGTGTCTCTAAGGGGCAGGCAGCTGTAAGTACATGTTTAGATGATGGGGAACGTTCGAATACAGAGCACTTACAAACCATGCCGTTCATGCGACTTCTGATCTCCTCATCCACCACCTGACGCGTTGACGGAAGATCGAGATAGCTTGGAACCCTCAACTCCAGGATTAAAACCGGTTTGTCCACCAGATAGATTTCGAACACGGCGGTGACAGGAGCCTGCCGGGAATCCCGGAAGAACACGGGCCCGACTGCGAAATCACTGTCAGGAGGAAAGAGTGTATGAAGAAGCTTGTTGTAGGGACCAAAATAATCGCTGTCACATGCATTCTGAGGAATGGCGTTGAACGAGGCGATGACTGCCTTCGACCACATGGTGGATGGTAAATGGATCATGGAGGCCTGAGTTTGAAAAATCTAGCTTGAGTTCGGACATAGCCGAGGGCGTACAGCAAACTTGGGAAATGCCGACTGCGTGAAAAGATGAGTACCAGTCCAAACCCCGGTCCACCCTGGACCACGAGTACAAACTCCGGTGGTCACTATTACCCAGCGATTGTGTGCACGATACCGTATCAAGCTCAAGGCCTGGGGTCGGTTTCCGCTTCGGCCAATCATCGATCGCGGATTTCATACTGACTAATATACGAGTAGCTGACGTCTACCCTAGTACTTGATTGTTATAATAGCGGCACCAACAAAGAATAAAACGTAGGAGCGTAGGAAAAGACACTGGGGGAATCGAACGGGCCCCTCGGAGTTAGGACAACAGAAACATGGACCATGACAATGATGGTACTGATTACAAACAGATGATAGAGAACAGTAGTTCTTCCTCCAAGCAAAAAGCGACAGAAAAGAGCGGGCGGCAATAAGGAAAAGGTGGGTATACGACAGACGGGCAGACTTCTCCACATCCACGAGCAAAATGAGCAACGTGGACAGTAAGCCTTGCAACTCCAATGTTAGCACTCATACGAAAGAAATCAGAAATGGCACCCACGAATTATATGTAGCGTTCACGCACACTGTTTCACACAAAACAAAACTCAAATAGCAGCCCGTATCCCGTGTGGAGTCGCATAATCGCACAACCTCTTTGGTGCAAGGAAGGGAGGCAACTCCTGTCCCATCTCTCTGAAACAGTCCACTGGGATCAAGCCTCGCTGCTGCTGGCTGTGAGTGTTGCCAGCTACGACGGCATTGGCGCTGATCCTCTCCACCAAGGCCCATCCATCATCGAAGACCTGAAAGATCCGTACGACGTCTCGGACTAATACAAGGAGTTCATCCTCCATGTTTGGCATGAATGGACGGCGTATTGTGTCTATGTCAGGGAAAGCCGGCACTGGGTCTTCGAATGGATTCACGACAATCACAGGCACAGATGGAAGGCCGGCTGCAGTGTCGCTAATTGGAGAAGGAGGTGACGCCAGCTCATGGTGGAATGCTAGGGGTGGTGGGCTGAGCTGGACGAGCGTTGCTGTTGACGTGCTAGATGAGCCAACCCCCTGATGAGCCAGTACTGTGGTGGACGACGACGGTACTGGAGGCTTAGGGAAGGAAAAGGTCTCAGAAGGTGTGAACGGACGGACGGACATGGGGGAGAGGGCTCCGGCATCACCACTGTAGTTGGTTGTGGTGATAAGATACTGTCCACTACCGCTATTGCCATTGCTCGCCATACTAACAAAGGACTCCCTCCAAGCGGCTTCGCCGCCCGTGGAAATTCGGACGCGGTTACGATCCTGAACCTCAGCCATGGGCAGAAGCTTGGGCATGTCCAGCTGCATCAGGAAAATAACACTTGACTATTTTTGACTTTTTGTGACTAATGTGACTTTTTGGAAAGGAATCTACTATCATTACCCATGTCCTGCAGGCATGGCTGCACTTTTCTTGGTGATTTTGGTCTTGTTCAAATGACCTAATTCATAGCTTTCAGTAGATACCACATACATTCAAATTGATGGAGGTTCCAAAGAGATATTGTGATTTTTCTCTCAGACAGTGTGCATCACACCAATGGCTCAATATCTCTGAATTTTCAGACATTTTCTAGTCTTCTTGGCTTAGATATATCATCACTTAGTTGTCTTAATAGATTCTGTCCTCTTTTCATTCTTCAAAATGCTGTATATGGTCAAAAAAAAAGTACAGATAGTAGGTTCTTTGCCAAAAAGTCACAAATAGTCACAATAGTCACAAAAAAGTCAAAAAAAGTCACAAAAAGGTCAAAAATAGTAATGTGTTAATTTCCTGATGTGGGTGGTAGGGAATGCAAGTCTATAAAGCAATCCATGGTCAAATTTAGTGGCAAAGGAACTTTGAGCACTAGCCCTGTTACCAGCACTCCATCCTGTGGAATCATCAGACAAATGGCTGCTAACACCAACAAAATGAGGAGCTGTGAGAGTTGGCATTGTTGGCAAGCCACCATTTGAAAATCATCAGGAAATTCACACATTACTATTTTCATACTATTCTCATACTTTTTATGTCTTATTTGTACTATTTGCACTAAAATAGTCATAAAAGACAGAATAGTCATTTTAGTAGGTTCATTTACCATCCACACTATTCTTTGTACTATCTTTTGACCATCTTTCAACTATCTATGCTATTTTCCCCACTATTTCTACTATCCAACTTCTCACCAACATCATTTGTTCAGCACAAAGGTAGGGAATAGAAATCAATGTATTCAGGATAAAGTCCAGCACAAAATCAATTAAATGAGAGTAGCCCTATTGATGAGTTGAGAAAGAGCAGCTACAAAACTTGGGAATATCTCAATGACCACTGGACAGAGTTGGATGAATGAGGCATCCCTAGAGACAGATTAGTCAGGAGAGAAATCCACCCAAAAGGGGAGAGAAACAGTGATGAGACACACAAGATACAATTACAGGACTTCGAGGGTGGACCTTGCCACAGAAATCAGGATATCTCGACAACTGCTGGATGGAATTGAGGCATCCATTGAGACAGACTAGTCAGGAGAGCAAGCCATCCAAAAAGTGAGAAAAGTGGTGGTGAGACACACATGATACAATCACAGGACTTCAAGGGTGGACCTTGTCACAGAAATTGAGATATCTTGACAACCACTGGACAGAATTAGATGAACGAGGCATCCCTTGAGATGGACTAGTCAGGAGAGCAAGCCATCCAAAAAAAGAGAGAAGTGGTGGGGAAATGCACAAGATATGATCACAGGACTTTGAGGGTGGACCTTGCCACAGAAATCAAGATATTTCAACATCTGCTGGATGGAATTAGATGAACAAGGCATCCCTGAAGACAGACTAGTCAGGAGAGCAAACCATCCAAAAAGTGAGAGAAGTGGTGGGGAAATGCATGAGATACAATCACAGGACTTCGATGGTGAACCTTACCCCAGAAATTGAGATATCCTAACAACCACTGGACAAATTGGATGAACAAGGCATCCCTCGAGACAGACTAGTTGGGAGAGCAAGCCATCCAAAAAGCGAGAGAAGTGGTGGGGAAACACATGGGATACAATCACAGGACTTCAAGGGTGGACCTTGCCACAGAAATCAAGATGGTGTTCTCCACTGACAGTGACTGCTGCTGTCATTGTCAGGATGTTGTGGGGGTAAAGAAAGAAAGAAAAAAAAAACTTACTGTTGTCAGGACACTGCAGACAAAAAAAAAAAAACTTGCTGGCATGGATGCTGGGGATGGGGGTGGACATCATGGATGTCAACAGCACTGAGGTTGAGAGTGTTAGCTGAGTCTGTGCAACAGAGGGTGCTCACCTGTTGTGGCCATCATTGTTGATGGCATTGCAACCTGTCCATGCACAGTACTTGGTGGAACTTGGATAATTTTCAAAGTGTTGTGATTACAAATCCAGTGATTTGTAATCACAACAAGTACCTCAAAAAAATTTAGCCCACTGACATGCTGCACACCATTCCCCCAGACCAGCAGCGCCTCATCTTCACTGGTTGAAGCCTCTGTGTGCACACCCACACTCATGTCCACCTATGCATGTGCTACTTGGTATATATATATATATTCATCATCTAATTATTCTGCTTGTACACACCCACCTAGCATACCCTAACAGATAGCACCATGCACCCTTGTAACTTTTTTGATTTTTTGACTTCAATAAATAGTGAGACAAGTAAGAAAAGTGAGAATAGTTGGAAAGAGTTGTAAATAGTATGTCAATAGTAGGATTAGTATTTTGTGGATTTCCTGATGAACATTGAGTGCAACAAGCTATGGCACAATGACAGACAAGTACCAGAGCAAGTGTGAGCAGGAAAAACAAAGATGCAATAAGTGTGCCAGTGGTGGCACTAGAGGACAATGCATTTTGCATTGCCTCTGCACCAGTACCAATGGTTGGAGTGGCAGTCAACTCTAACTTAGGGCCTGAACAGTAACAGAATATCTGCTTCCTTATGCAAAACATATACAAACCAACTCTGTGTGGAGTTCAGTGGACTTCTAAGTTGATAGTTGTGGGCTATCTGCAACTGTGGTATTTACTGATCAGGTGATGAATCACAGCTATCCACATATGCATAGTATGATATGCCACTTCAACAAACTGACCTTTATTGCAGGCTAGACCATTCCATGTCCCTGACCTGCTGCTCACATCAACTTCACAGCAAGATGGAAGGTAGGGGTTCTGGGTCAAAAGGAAAGGCCCCATCAGTCAGTTCAAGCTCTGAGCCTCAGCTGAAGTTGTGAGCTGTATGGCCCCATGCAGATGTTGAGATGCTTCTCAATTTTGCGGAGGAAATTCAACCCAAGGCAGCACAGCAAGCATTTTACAATTTTCTTTGCACAAACATGGGGAAAAAAATTCTTTCAAAAGATACTCTATTTTATCACATGCTCTCTGCTTAAACAAGTGGAAATAATCTTATGTATTGAATGGCTTTTCTGACAGAGAACATGGCACAGTAGATTTCCAATGTTTTACTGGTGAAAAACAATTACTATGACCCACCACCAAAAACCAAAAACAGTCATCAAAAAAGACATTAGTACTGTTTTCTGCATGTTATGTAATGGATTCATCAAATGTTGTACCATGAAATAATTTAAACACACTGGTCATTAGAGAACATGTGATGTTATATAGAACATCACAAGTCAATGATAAATGTTTCCTATGTGATAATACTAATAAACTTTAACCAAATCTTTCAATGTTGACCCACAAAACATCAGATTATGGGCTCAATGTTTACTTAATAAACATGACATTTGAAACAATATTTGTTATGTGCAAAAACATGCTACTGAGATTCCATATTAACATGCTAAATATTTTCAATCATATCACACTGTTTTGTCTCCCAGAGAACATGATAAATAAAGAGTGTATTACATGTTGAAGTGGGCAATTGAGATGAACGAGTGGAATGGTAAAAGAATGTACTAGTGTCAATGACAGGCTGATATAGATAGAGTGATGGAGTGTGCCAAAGGGAGAATTTTAGGTGAGTCTTTACCATGGGGGAAGCAAAGGTTTGATGTGGATTGTGTATCAAGAGAAGAGAAAGGAAAAAGAAAGCAGACTGTGATGGAGGGGAGCAAACCATACATGGACCATGACAAGAGTGTATAGTTGCTGGGCTGTTGCCATCCTGGGTTTCTGACTACCATGGCTGCCCATAATGCTGTTGTGATGATAGTTGGCATGATGTTGATAGGATAAATTTAAGTAAGAGGCATTTTGTCAAATGATTGGCAGGTTCCTGACATGGAATCATGTGGAAAATCAGAAGAGCTGCGGTGATATTCATCACTTTGTGGCATAAGATCATCAAGCCATTTCATAGTATGTCATGGATCAGCAGCATCAGGAAATCCACAAAAGACTAATTCTACTATTGACATACTATTTACAACTCTTTCCAACTATTCTCACTTTTCTTTCTCATCACACTATTTATTGAAGTCAAAAAGTCAAAAAAGTTACAAGGGTGCATGGTGCTATCTGTTAGGGCATGCTAGGTGGGTGTGTACAAGCAGAATAATTAGACAATGAATGTATTTATACCAAGTAGTGCATGCAATCATGCTGTGCAGGTGTAGGTGTACATGAGTGTGAGTGTGCACACAGAGGTCCTGTAACTATAGTTAGTGAGATGAAACAAAAAAGTAACTGAGTATAGGTACTTACTAGCCAGTTCATCCAAAAGCGAGTGTGAGCAGGTGATCTGTGGGCATGTACACAGGGGGTTGGTAATGATAGTTAGTAAACAAAACAAAAAAAGTAAACATAGAAGTCACAGGGGTAGAAGATGTCATTGGTTGGGAGGGATACCCTCCTTGTCCTGGATCTTCGCCTGTCTTCAATCTGTTTGCCAGTGAAGATGAGGTGCTGCTGGTCTGGGGGAATGCTGTGTGGCACATCAGTGGGCAAACTTTTACCTTCATTTTGTTGCTGCAGAGTGTTGGGACTTGAAAAAATTTTACTGGTTGTGATTACAAATCCAGTGATTTGTAATCACAACACTTTGAAAATTGTTGAAGTCCCACCAAGTACTGTACATGGACAGGTGGCAATGCAATTGACAATGACAGCCCTGACAGGTGAGCACCCTCTGTTGCACAGACCCAACTAACACTCTCACCCTCAGTGCTGTTGACATCCATGATGTCCACCCCCATCCCCAGCATCCATGCCAGCAAGTTTTTTTTTTTGTCTGCAGTGTCCTGATGACAGAATGTACCAGCTCAGTATAGGTTTTCTGGCTTGTAGCAGATGTCCAGTGGTAAATTAAGCAAGCCATGGATATGATTCCTGAAGATATGGTTGCCCCATGCTGACACATTCCCTCTGGGTTGAAGAAATTGACATGTAGTGCAAAAGCATAGCAGCCTTCATCTCCCCTGTCAAGAAAGAGTTTACCTGGTTGGGGACCTGTAAACTGGCAGAGGAACTCAGCTTCAAAGGGATTCATGACAAAGTGAGGTGGTGATGAGTGGAGAAACTTTGCAAGGTCATTGCAAACTGTGTCCATCATACTCTTGAGGTTGTGATGGGAAAGGAGGCTGGTGAAGTAGTCTTTGAAGTCATGGTACAGAAAAACTTTCTTGGGATGAAGCTGACCATCAGATTGTTCATCCAGCAGTGGTTCACCACAGACAGTCTTGGGTGTAGGACAATTGGTACAGTGGGGGTAACTTGCAATCTTGGAGTCATCTGCATATTTTGGTGCATATGTGCAATGGCAACTGCAGACAGCATAAGGAATGGTGTTGCCTGTGAGCTTGAATTTGCCAAGGATGCTAGCAATATACAATGGGATTTGTGCAAGGATGTTTTCATGAGAGACACTAAGTTGTCCACTGGTTTCTTTGAGTGTGAGGAACAGTAGAAGCAAAAGGGCATTCATGATAAAGTTGCCTGCCCAAGTACTGACATCCATTACTATACTGCAAATGATGCCAATGACCAGTGTGACTTGTGCAATAGTGTCCATATGATTGACAGGAGAGCAATATTGGTCATCTGCCAGAAGTGTCACCTTGAGTTCAGAGCTAGGGCTAGAATCACTACACACCAGCCATGAAAGGTACAGGCTGAAAGTCTTCAGGGGATGGTGTCACAGGCCTACTTTTGAGTATGGATTCTAGCTCATCCATAGTTTTGATGACCACTCTCTTGCATGCAACTATGCAATTGGCACAGCACTTTATGTTTTTGGTTGCCTGGCAGAGCAGACTAAGTTCTCTGCTGATGGTAGTAAAACTTTGTCCATCCAGCAGAAGGTGGGAACATCTTTGTATTCAGGAGTCAATATTTGATAAAACCTTCATAGCCTTGCTAGTTTGCTGACAAACATTCCTGATCTGAGGGTGGGTATCATGTGGAATGGCTTTGACAGTCAACAATGGTGGCTGAGCATTTGTGGGGGTGCAGGAGGAGCTCAATGTATTCATGAGATGGTGGAGAGATTGGCTGATACTGGAAGTGATAGAAATAGGGTTTCATGGACCAGCCAGGATGTTGGCAGTGGCTCCCATCTGCTGGAACTCCTTGTTCCACATGTTAGAAGCATGGGACATGGAGTTTGGCCCATCATTGGTGATGGTAAGACCCACTAAATGGCTAGCTAGGTCATTTGAAGGAGAGGCTAATTCTGATGATTCAAGTACATGTTCTGGAAGAGTTCTATCTAGAGCACAAAGTAGTGATTCAGTGGTTATGGGCATCTGCTTGATGGGATTCACTTTCGCTGTTTTATGTGTTTCAGGTGCAGCAACAAACAATGGGAGTCCATGAGAACACCCCTGCTGTTTTCCTTGATGCATTCTTCACAGGTGCACCACATCAGGATGGGTGAGGCAGGCATAACAGCAGCCTGTAATGGTATTAGTACAAAATTTACATATGCCACTATGTGGTCATACCTAGAATGATAGACAGTGAGCTCACAAATGAAGCAGTATAGGAATGTCTGTGTCACAGCACAAGAATGAGTATGGGCAATGGCCAAGTAGCAAACAAGACTGGGCAGGCTGCAGTTGCTTTATATCCTAGAATGAGTAGAAGAACAAGATGAATTGCCATTGACCAGTACATACTTGCAATAAAACAAAGTAGACCCTGCCAGGCACTGTTCATCCTCTGCTATGATTCATACATCATGAAAAACAAGACCCTATATAAAGAAAATTTATCAGCATACATGACTTGAGAACAATGCTGCCAACAGGCTGGCACTATGGAGTAGCAAGGGAGGAATAAGAACAACTGCCACTGATTGATAAGCAACTATAAAATGAATGTAACCCTACAATGATCTATTGATGAATTGAATATGGTGGATGTTAGACAATATAGATTGGAGCCACATTTGGATTAAGGTTGGACTCACTCATGCACATCTTGATGACATTGGGTTTCTAGCTTTGTGACCTTGTCAATTGGTCATCAAGCCATTTGGAAACATACATTCAGATTGGAAAACAATAAAAAATTATTGCCACAATGGCTGCTAACCAGGTAGGGAGACCTAGATATGCTTAATTAATTAGATTAAACATGTATGCAGAGTTAGTATGCAACCTACCTGTGTGTGGTGACAGTATGCAACATCATGGGTTACAGGGTCCTGCACAGACATAATGGTCCTGGGGTATGTAGTCAGATTGATAACCAAGTAAGCAGCATACATTATGCTTATCTTTATTGAATGTGCATCATATTGTTGCTTCCTCAGGCATATGCAATCTTATTATATCTTCATCTACACTCATATTATTGAAATTGTACAGTGCTCATCAGTGTTGCATTGATGGTCACATTGCACCATCTTCACAAAGACTACTATCAATATTGATGTAATTCTAATTCTAATACTATGGTGTCTAAAATGATGGGCTGCAAGTGAAGACAGTGAATAGAATGCCAAGTACTAAGAAGCAACAAGTGACTTACCTGTAGGCAGTGGAAAGAGGGAAAGGTGTTTGTGAGAAAAGTCATCATTGATATACTGAATGCAACTCATGATCATGTAGTAGCCACTTAAGCAAGACCTAATGTGACATGAGCATGTGATCATGAGTTGTGTTCAGTATATCAATGACAACTTTTCTCACAAACACCTTTTTCCCTCTTTCCACCACCTACAGGTAAGTTGCTTATCACTCTTAGTACTTGGTATTCTATTCACTGTCTTTGCTCACTGCCCACCACTTTAGTGTTAGACACCATAGTATTGGAATTAGAATTACATCAATATTGATAGTAGTCTTTGTGAAGATGGTGCAATGTGACCATCAACATGAAACTTAAACTTCAAAAGATTGCTATTGACAGTAGTTCATACTGTGGCTGTCATCAATGAGTCAAACAATATATTATACAAGTGTAGATGAAGATATAATAAAATTGCATATGCTTGAGGCAATGGCTTGGAAGCAACAATATGAGGCACATTCCATAAAGATAAGCACAATGTATGCTGCTTACACAGTTATTGATCTGACTACATACCCCTAGACCATTCTTCCATATTTTGTCCTATTGTCCAGGAAAATAGCAGTTCTGCTTGCTGAGATTAGCACCCACCTCCTCAAATAGCAGAAATCATCACCTTATATTGCTTCATTAGTACTTCCCCCTCACTAGTTACTTCCAGCTCTTATGACAACATGCCCCTGCTATCAATGCAGCCAAAGGTTGAAATCACCCCCACTCTCCTCAATGACAAGGCATTTGCCTTTCTTGAGAGGTTTGTGTGAAAAGATGTCACTGACACCACCCTTCTATTTAATGTCAAAATTGAGCTTGCTGCCATGGGCATCACCTTCAAATTGGAGGAATGGTAAGGCCTGACCAATATCCTCATACTGAATCTGAAGGGCATAGGGATAAATGCCATCCAGGCTGCATGGGAGCTCACACAAGCTAAGGTAGTCCCAGTAGTTCCCCTGTTGGAAGATGCTGCCACATGGCAGTTGGTTTTGCATTGGGCAACTGATGATAGCCTCTCCTTCACCAATTTCTTGATGGAGATGGAGAAATTCAGCAGCAGGTACCAGTTTGACAAGTGGAAGTCTACCTTTGACCAAGTATTTGAAGTATCTTGGAAGGGTACTGCTGTTGAGGTTGTTAGGGCAGCCATGGCTGAATGTGGTGTTGTTGAGCCCTCTAGTAAGTAAACCTGTAAATCCTCATGATTTACTGACATCCTCCAGATGCATGCAATGCCCCCCCTGCTCAGGCTTCTTCCTCCTGTAAGTAAACTTCTCAAAGCAACTTTGTAAATCAATTCATTGTGTATCTTGCAGGCGACATCTCTCATGTTGTCCTCTCCCCCCAAGCTTCTTCATTGCAGACTTGTAAGCCAATGTTCACCTTCAGTTTTGGATCCCTCACTAATCACTCAATCAGGCAAAAGCTCATGCAGATCCCACTGCTCTCTGCACCCAGTGAAGTGTCCAAGAATGAGCAAGTCTGCTTCTTGATGTCTGGATATTTCTGCACTGGAGGACAAAGAGGACAAAGGGGAAGACAAACTAGACAATGAAGTGGACCATTGTCCAAGGGTGACCAAGGTAGCTCCACCAGGGCACATGAATTTAACTCAACAGCTCAGAAGTCTTTTCCACTGCTATGGTGGTAAGGGGAGTGCAGAAGGGTGGAGGGTGAAGGCACATCAGCAGGGCCCAGTTTGCAATGTCAAAGATCATATGGAGGTGGATACAAATCAGGCTCAGCCAAGAGTATTCAAGGTCATGCTGCCCTCCAGTATGTCATGTCTCCTCTCCACTCCTTCACTTGGGAACTTGGTCTCCATTAGCTCATTCTGCAGGATTCATCCTCCAGCACTTCAAACTGGAGGGCCTGAAATGCAAGACTTTCCATTCAGTCCCTTGCCACATTTATGTGGAAGCTCCCAGTGTGCAAGGTGTCTGACTCAGGCTTCCCCCTTTCATGCCAATCTTGTCCCACAGATCATGCTGGTACCAATGGAAGCAATGGAACCCTTTGTGCAGCCCTGTGACATACCAATTTGCTCTTGGGGTTGCTTGTTAACAGACAGCCTCAAGAATGAAATCACCCATGTACAGCATGTCAAAGGTGACTCAGTGTACATTCTTGTCATTCCTTGAAATTTGCCCTACATCTCTGGTGGTGAGAACTCTGCAGCCCACTTGGAGCTTTTTGACATGGACCTGGCCTACCAACATGGCCTGGAGGTAATCCTTACCCTGAGTCCAGAGTGGCATACTATTGCCCACTGCCTCTGGTCTCAGTACCACTTCAGCCTTCTTCATGGGTATTTTTAGAGGTGTAATGTTGTGCCAGTGAGCCTGCCTACTCCTGAGCAAATTGGATGGTTTGTTGTGTTGGATGTGGATCCCACTTTGGTCACATGTACCTTAACTCATTTCTCTGCTCAAATGTGGCAGGTAGGAGATCATGGCAAGATTCAGGCTGGGGAGTTTGTCAATGAGGTAGCCTATGTCATGATGGATGTCCAAGCTGAATCAGTGGCTGTTCATTTGGATAATCCTACCCCTCAATTGCCTGAATCTCTGGAGACTTTGAGGGCATGGTACTCAGTGTCAACATGATCAAGGACATGACTCTTTTGTGTGGCAACAGCAGACAACAGGCAAGTCAGAGTATTTGGAGTAAAATCCTTTGCTGATGTTTGCTCATAGATGGATGTCCCTACAATCTTCCTAGCATCATGCAGAGTGCTGCTGAGCTATCCCAACCAAGACCCCCATGATCAACTGCAATGCCATCCCCCAGTCAAAGAGCACTTCATAGAGCCAGGGGATGCAGTATGCATCCTCACCAGACCCTACAGGGACCTCACAGGCCAAGTCCAATACTTCTCCTGCAGCCTCAGACAAATAGGGGTCATGTGGCACATCAAAAAGGCATTCAACACCAAAGATGCCAAGGGGGACAAGGGCAGGTCCAAGGCTCAAGTACCAGAGGTTCTCAGTAAGGACAGTGATGGTGATGGGGCTGATGATGAGGAGTTGATCATTGTCAGCTTGGACAACATCCAAGTGACAGCTTGACCAACACTGCAGTTCTTGAAGGAGAAGGGTGGGACATTTCTAAAGGCAACCTAATATAAGTCATACAGGGTCCTGCTGTAGATGTTGAAGGGTTTGTTCACAGTCTGAAGATGGTCCATGGGTACTTGGTTCTACTTTGCCTGTCATCCCATCTCTCTAATGGCATCATAGCACAACATTCCTATCAACTTCTGCACTAAATTAAGGGAATACTCCCTTCATGATGCAGAATGTCATATTGGATGTGAAGTATGGATTATCTCAGTTCCAAATAAGGGATACAGTGGGACACTGCGATCAGTAGGCTGAACTTTGTGCACAGTTGCAATCCATTCTAGTGCCATGACATTCAAAAATACTGCAGTTGCTTCCAGGTAAGTCACTTCATTGCTAGGGGTCATGTGCTAATATTTCCTTTTTAGATTTGGCATGTTGCTTGATGGGACTCTGCTAGGTTCCTTGTGCTTGGTGGCATTCAACCATATGTGACAGGGGAGTTTCATAACTCAATCTCACCCTTGCAGCACCACTTCCCCTCCACCACTGAGTGAAAATCCCTCAGTGGATCCAGGTCCAAGCAACCCCTGGGTCACCACCCCCAATGATGTCAATCTGCAATGTTGTGGTGAGCAGGAGCAACAAACCATTGACTATGGTACATCAATTCTCTTCCCCCTCTCACTACACATTTTCTTGACTTTGTTGTTTAGGATGCATGTCCTGGCTCTTTGACAATGACTTCTGTAACTTCAGCAAGGGGCATGTCTGCTTGAGAGTCAGGCTTGCCTACAATTGCAGGACCCTGGAGGGGCAGAAAATCGCCTTGTATCTATCAAGAGGAGGGGTCTACCTGAGGCAATACACAGCACACAAACATTAGGAAATGCCAGTGACCCTGAAAAACAGTTAGAGGCAATGAAGTAAGTGCAGAGAAAAACTTACAATTGCATTGAAGACATCTGGAGTACTAAGGATTGGGTGGATTCCCCTCAAAGTGAGGTCTCTCATGGGGATTATGCACTTGTCATTCATTGGGAATGTGACAAATGCTGCAAGCTCATTGGCAGAAGTGATTATGGGTATCGAGATTTTAAGATGGGAAAGATGTGGGAGGTATTCTGCACATGACAAAATGTCAGAAATGACATTTTGATTTCTTTCAGGATGGTAGGGATGAAATGTAATGTATAGGCATTGGAAGTCACTTGGAAGGGCAATTACCTTCAGAAGGGGGAGGATCCTAGTAGCATGTCCTGCAAGCTTTTGAAGGGAGTGAAGGACAGAGCAATGAGTGATATCTTCCACAGACATGGTAGGGATGCCACAATGAGAGATAGTTAGCTTGGAGATAGCCCAATGTGTGATCAGACAGGTAGTGAGGGCACCATATGGGCAAGTTTGGTCCACCTCCAATGCAACAAGGGAAGGTATGTTTAGCTTGCCAAGGAGTACTGCTCACTGTGAAGGACTTAGGCCTGTATTATTAAGCCACAAAATTGCCAGTGGAGCACTTCACAGCACAGAAAGGGTAAATCAGACAGAGTAGGGAAAAAAGAACATAGGCAAGGAGATATTGAGAAATGCCAGGGTGCTTGGAAACAATTGGGTCATGCAAGGATTACAGATCAAGCCACCAGAAGCACTGTAGCTACTTGTGTGAAGTTCAGTACACCCAGAGCCTAGAATGCTTGTTAGCAGAGAACCAAATATGGGGGACATGCCTGTCAGGTCAACATATAAGTGCAAGTGCACTTGACAGACTGCTTGCATATCCTTGAGGGAGTTGAAGAATGCACACATTGCACCTAACTTTCATTTGCTTAATGTTTCATTAAGGAAGAGTGCAAGAACACACCTAATTGTTGCCTGCTTAATGTTTGTGAAGACCTGAACTGCAAAGTCTTCACTGGTTTAAATGCAATGTGCCTCCACACAGGGAGGGCATCACAAACTACTCCAGCCAACCAGCAATCAGCAGCCTGAGCCTACTGAGACAAGATAACAATGACTGGCAATGCATTGTAGTCATTGGGATACTTGGGATAACCTTTGATGTGAATCTCTGTCCAACAGGTCCACACTGTCCAGCAGCAGCTCATCTAGAACTCACAACAGATGGCAATCCCAGGGCACCTCCTAGATGCTATGAGGAAAGGTCAAATCTTGACACTGCTGGCCACTTACATATTTTGCAGGGAGCCCCATGGCATCATCTTCCACTGTGCACTTGAGTTCCTGCCCAAATGACTGCATGAGAGGATTTGCACCAGGATCTGCCTTGCAACCACATGTGGGTGGCTGGCAGAAAGTAACCCTCACCTTTTGGGAAGGTGGTCCCAGGGTATTTCTACTTTGCATTTGGGAACCCACCCACACAAATTCTTCTGTTAGAATACCAGTTAGTGTCAAATCAGAGCGAGAAAATATCTAGTACACACCAGCATGGCTTCATACCTGGTGATGTTGTGCATTGAATTACTGGCACAAAGTGCCAGCTAACCCATTAAATATGCAGAGGATACCAGAGGCTTTATCAGACAACACAGTAGACTACCTAACTTGACACTGCATTTGGTCACCTACTGCAACAAGAATGTTGCCAGAAACAGACTCTCAATATCAACCTTGCCATTGTGGTTGCCCTCATTTTATTGTAATAGTGCTCATCACCATATCTGCCACTTACATCACTACATCTAAATTGCAGTAACAGGTGATGGGCCTTTTGTTTGACATGCAATATTCCAGAAAACTGCAATATTGCATTGGAGGATAACTATTCATGGCAGCTAATGAATGACCTAAAGATGCATAGTTGATTGATTAAACATGTACATGGGGTTAGTACATGACCTGCCAATAGTAATGAGTATGCAGTGTCAGAAATATACCTGAATACATGACAGATTTGAGGGATCTTCCACAGGGGGGAGATTCTTTGATGGAAAATTGGTGCATTTTTTGTGTTTGATGTTTGTTAGTTATTAATTGCAGTCGCAAAAATGAGCAACTTACTTTGTGAAAACCAAAAAAAAGAAAAGAAAAGAACTGATATAAGCACCACTGCTGCAGCAGCAAGATACACATCAGCACACAATGTTGGTAACAATCATGAGGACCTGGATGTATATGGTTAACTGGAGGAACTGAAGGTTGTTCAACTCATGTCAAATGCTTAAATTGATAACACTTGCAGTATAAACTACTGTCAATAGCAATCTTTTCAAGTTTGAGTTTTGTGTTGATGGTCACATCACACTGTCTTCGCAGACTACTATCAATATTGATGTAATTCTAATTCTAATACTACAGTGTCTAATGCTAAAGTGGTGGGCTGTGAGCAAAGATGGTGAATAGAATGCCAAGTACTAAGAGCAATGAGCAACTTACCTGTAGGTGGTGGAAAGAGGGAAAAGGTGTTTGTGAGAAAAGTCATCATTGATATACTGAATGCAACTCATGATCATGTAGTAGCCACTTAAGCAAGACCTAATGTGACATGAGCATGTGATTGTGAGTTGCATTCAGTATATCAATGATGACTTTTCTCACAAACACCTTTTCCCTCTTTCCACCACCTACAGGTAAGTTGCTTGTCACTCTTAGTACTTGGCATTCTATTCACTGTCTTTGCTTGCAGCCCACCACTTTAGCATTAGACACCATAGTATTAGAATTAGAATTACATCAATATTGATAGTAGTCTTTGTGAAGATGGTGTGATGTGAGTGTCAATGCAAAACTTAAACTTCAAAAGATTGCTATCAATGGTAGTTCATACTGTGGCTGTCATCAATGAGTCAAACAATCTATAATATGAGTGTAGATGAAGATATAATAAAATTGCATATGCTTGAGGTGATGGCTTAGAAGCAATGATATGAAGCACATTCCATAAAGATAAGCACAATGTACACTGCTTACTTGGTTATTGATCTGACTACATACCCCTAGACCAGTCTTCCATCCTGTTGTTCACATCAAAAGACACCACTAAAGCTTGTACATGTCAACTAGGTCACTCTATGCCTCTTACTGATGAATTCAATCATTAAATCATTCTCCACAGTGGCCTTCTTATGATCTGCCTTTGGGCAGTTGGTATTAAGTTGATTGGGTAGGCAGTAACTAACCACAACATTGTAGGTGAGCTTCACCACAAAGGCAATGGTGAGTAGTTGCATTAAGAATTGTATTGTGGCACATATAGCCCCAATTCAAGGGCCACAACAAGCTTTCTTTCTGCCCTGGCTGCAACTACAAATCCCTCTTTGGCTGTTTCCAGACTGTTATCATATTGTCTGCATCATTATTGGAGGATGCTGCAATGATTGCCATGTGATCCTCTCCATCATATGTCTGGTATGTGTGGGTGTAGGATGGTTTCTACATTTATGGGGATGCTCACCATAATTGTCTGTGTCCATGCTGTCCTTGAGTGCCATAGCACCTGTCACTTGGCACTTCAGTCACCCCCCAGGGGACCTATTAGGTTCATATATTCTTATAGATGTATCCACCTAATAGGTGTTGACCACCTGGGTATTCCCAGTGACTGCTGGAGATTCACCAGGGCCTGGAGATTCTCCAGAGCAAGGTGTCAGACATGGACTTTCTCCAGGATTATTACATCTATAACAGAGTGCCTGGGGTCCAAATGGGGCTTTCCCCAGTGAGTTAATAGACCTATTTCCTGGGTATCCTGGGGGATTCCCCAGCCTAAATGGACCTGTTCCCAGTGCATCCTAGGGGACTCCCCAGCCTAAATGGACCTGTTCCCTGTACATCCTGGGGGAATCTCCAGCCTAAATGGACCTGTTCTCTGGGAATGCTGGGGGATTCCCCAGCCTAAATGGACCTGTCCTCTGGGCCTCCTGGGGGATTCCCCAGCCTAAATGGACCTGTTCCCAGTGCATCCTGGGAGTTTCCCCAGCCTGAATGGACCAGGTCCCAGGGCATCCAGCCCAAACAGACCTATTCCAAGATGATCATGGGAACCTCCAGTTAAATAGACCACCATCACAGCATGAAGGATCAATCAAAATGATTTGGAGCCTCCATGTTGCTGACAGGAGTGTGTATCATGCCAAGTACCTATTTCCATGGCATCTGATCTGAGCACTCTATACAATATGAATATGTGAAAAAGCATGGCCATAGACCACTAAGGAAAGATTGGTGACATCTGATGGAGGGAGTAGAATATACTTGGTGATGGTGATTGCCCAGGCACAGCAGACATACTTTCACCATGCTTCCCAAGGCTTCAGTGATCTCCACTGTTGGCCATTGCATACAAGTCAAAGATTGTCCAGGTCTTAATGGAATTTTCCCACCCACTCTGGGGATCCACAGGGTATGCAGCAGATCCTCCAGGCAATGCTTGGATTTTCCCAACCAACTCCTGTCTCTAGAGGCTCTCCAAGCAATGCTGGGGATTCTCCCACCCACTCTGCAGATTCTCCAAGCTATGTCCTGGGGATTCTCCAAGCACTGCTAGGGATTCTCCAGGAAATGCTGGGGATTCTCCAACCCACTCTGAGGATTCTCCAAGCACTGCTGGGGATTCTCCAACTGACTCTGTGGATTCTCCAGGCAATGCTGGGGATTCTCCAACCCAATCTGGGGATTCTCCAAGCACTGCTGGGGATTCCCCAACCCACTCTGGAGATTCTCCAAGCACTGCTGGGGATTCTCCATGTTATGTCCAGGGGATTCTCTAACCAACTCTGGCATGTCTATGTTGGTAGCTACTGAGAACTCTTCCCCCTGAAGCCTAGGGCAGAGCCCCATGCCCTTCACATGGACATCATAGCTCTAGTGGATGTCTGGTTCCATGGATTTCACATTCCTATCTCACACATAGCAGTCTGCACCTAAATCCAATCTGTAATCATGATAGGGTATGCTATCAGATTGAATATGCATAGGTGTGAGGAGAAAATGAATGGTCTTGTAAGGGTATTGTAGTTATGATGGTAACAAAAAGACCATGGTGGATAATGGATGAAATGAATGATGGCAGACATTACACAAAGGAAGGATATGCAGGGGGAAGATGATACAGCCACAGGGTATCATAGTTACATGCTAATGATGCAAACATGTTGAACTGGTGTGTGCATGAGCCAGTAGCAAGCAATTGATTGAGATGAAAACATGCCTAGTAGTGGTTGTGTCAATCATGGGTGTGATAGGAATGTCCATCAGAGTCATCAGAGTCATGACAATGATGTCTCTTGTGGGGAGGGCTTTGATAAATGTATTCAACCATACTGTGCATGTTAGTCTCATTGTACATGTAGGCTACCCAGCAACATACCTTTGGTGAGTTCTTCCCTGTTGTGAAGGACCACCATGATCACTCTCATTGTCCTGATATCCTCTATAGTGCTTGTGTGACTCATGCTGAGGGCAGTGGCAAGGACATGGGGTTGGAGAGTAGTTATCAGAAGGGGAGTGACAATGATATGCAGCTGCTGGAGCAAGATATGTGTGATGGTCACCATGCAATGATGGACCTTGTGGAGATGACTGCAGTGGCTCCTCAACAGGGGATGAAGGAGGGAGAGGGGAGTGGTGGGATGCTGGCTGAGTGGAATGAGGTCCATAGGATGGCAATTGCCCTCACCTCAGGTGGTGTGATCCTGCAGGAGAGAGGTGATGTGTGCAGGATGGTGATTGCTGTCATTGGGTGTGGTGGGATGTTGAGGGAGACACATGGTGCTGCACAGATGGCTGGGGTAATCTATAAGCTGGGGATAAAGAAGGCACAGTCATATGGTGGGTGTTGGATGCTGCTGGCAAGGGGTGACATCTGTTGGATGGCACTCATCCTCACACAGGTTGGTCAGGGAAAGATGAAGGGGCACTTCTCTCCTTAAACTTGTCACCTTTAGGGAGGGCCTTAATGAATGCATCTGAATCAGAAAGAACATGGAGGTGCCAGTTCAATGTGTTCACCACAAGTAGGATGTCACACATCCTTGCATCACTGTGGCAAAATAGCTCAATCTGATCTGGATTATTCATGTCAGTGAGGGTGACTATTTCATGTCAACAACTCACCATCAGTCCACTTCTTGAGGTAAAATGATGAATCTGGAAAAGGGACAAGGTATTCAGCTTGGTCTTCTTTGTCATCTAGTGGAGCCTCAGCATGGTAATCTGCACCCATTGACTCTTTCAGGAAAGGAACAGTCAGAGCATGAAGTTCATCAGCATTGAGGCATTTGACATTGAAATCCAGACCAACAGCAGGGACTCCAGCAGGCCAATCAGTGATGGTATACTGGTGAACATACAGCAGATCAAGCAACAACTTCCAAGAAACATTTCTCTGGCCTTGTGTGATACCATTCTCTTCTGTGGCAACACTTCAGAGGATGAATATGAATCAAATAGATTTATTGATGTATGGAATTTATGGAGTATGATTGTAGGTAAAACTCACTGGTTGCAATCACACCTGTATTCTTGAGGTTTTAATCCCAGTGCATGGTCATAATGGGGTTGTGACAGCACATTAAAGTCAGGAAGAGGCACTGAAGCAGCAGAGTTAAGGATTTTATACCTAAAGAGAAGTCAGTGGGCAATTGTACAGGGCATATGTTATACATACTTGATAATTGTGGACAGGTATTCTAATAATTGTGTTATGTTGGTCTGCCTCTCACTCACAAGCTGCATGAGGAGGGAGCATCCAGCAAAAATTCCTTGGGATTGGCATGCAGCTTCATTACTCCCACTATAAATTACATATCCAAAGACATGTATGCCCTCCACATTGCACCAAGTTTGTGCCTGTACAAGAGGTTATTCAAGAAGCAAACAATCACAATGGTATTACCCACCCCTTGTGTAAAGGAGTCACAGCAAGCCATTACACAGCCCACCATCACCTTGGAACTGATGTCTTTGGACCCACTGACACACTAACTCCAATACTTCTGGATCTCAGCCCACAGTTGAGGATGTTTGTCCTCATCTTTATGGTCCTCATAGTGCTTGGTGTGACACCTATAGTAGTCTTTGGTTTCCTCTGCAATTGAATCAACATGGAGTCAAAACTGCAATAAGTTGGGATGTACTGACCTGCAGATGCTTTTGGATTGGTATGTGCATACCAAGCCTGATGCATGTTCCACACAGATTCAGCATGAGTTGCCTTTGTGGTAAGACCAGCAGCAGCCATGATTGACCCAAGAGTCTTGCCATACTCATCTGCAATTGCCTGGGCTTCTTGAGTGGTGTGCATGCCAAGTGCCTGTGCCTTTCATATGGCTTCCCTTGGAAGCCACCCTGGTTTGAAGCATGGTAAGCCTGCTTCTGCACTGGATGCATCCTTGCATTGACTGAGGTCACTGGCTAGGGTAGGCACAGAGGGTGACTACTACCTTGCAGAAGGCATGATGTCATCCTTTGGGTTTCCTATGCATCCCAGTCATCTCCAAGCCATCAGGGAGGTCTCCAGTGTCACTAGGTCCATCCTCATCTTCAGAGGATGTGTTGGCTAGGGCATGAGATTTCCCTTTGGCTTCCCTATGCCTCCTGGTCACAGAGCTGTCAGTGTCACCTTCAGTATCAGCAGCTCCATCTTCTTCTTCTGATGAGGATGGAGAAGGGAGAGGGGGAGTGGAAGGATGGTTATCAGTATCATAATTGCCAGCACAGATTTCTCTCAGGGTTTGTTCACATTTAAGGTCATGCCTCTGGTCAGCTGACCAATCACTGTCTATTCAATGACACATGTAAATTATGTGAATAATGCAGTTTAATCAAATAAACAAACCTGATGCAATTTCATGCTCAACATCATCATGATGAATGGAGTCCATCATATTTTCAACAGCTTGGTGACTGTCATGATGCACCAGGTTCTCTGAGACCAGATCACCTTCAGCTTGCACCATACTCTCAACAGCTTGTTCATCCTCTTCACTGTCATTGGGGGTAACAGCTGGTGGTGACCTTGAGAAGGAATACAGCTACATACATAGATCACACACTTACACTTTTTGTGACCCTGCTCAGCAACTATATCTTCCATAGAAATGATGCCCAATCATAGCTGCTCAAGGGCAACAGCATGGTCAAGCTTCATACTGTTCTGGAGTGTGACCTGTCTCATCTGGAAGGAGTCAAGGTACTGATCCCTGCATTCTTTCTCTGTCAACCCTTGCAAAGAATTGTGACTTGAACATGGTTGGAGAGGGGGACATCGAGCTACAGAGCTGGATTCATGGTTCTGAAAACAGTGGTCAGTAAGCAAAAAAAAAAAAAAAAGGTAGCACTACACACTGGGCACTCCTCACCATCCCCTGACATTGGCTCATGTGTTTCAGAAATTGTATCCTGATTTCTGCCTCACACTGATGGAAAGAGTTGAGACAGTAGTACACAAGACACAGGAAGTAGGTCTGTACTCACATTTGACTACCCAGTGATGGGCCTTTGCACCACATGAAGGTTGGGCTTTGGTGGGCAAAGTGATGGTAGGATTGACTCTCTTTGACCTCTGGGCACCAATGGGGGGACCAACTTTGAAAGTAACAGCAGACAACCTAGTCACAGGCATGATGAATTTGACCCGGTAGACACATTGTCAAACTGTGGGCCAGTGGAACTGTGGAACATGTAGTCACCACACACTCTTTGCTGATGTGAAATTAAGTGAGATGGAAAGGAAAAGACATTCAGGTAAGGAACAACTGGGTAAGGAAAGACTGGGTTCAGGCCAAACATTGGTTACTGGACAATTTATGATTTTGCACAAAGGGTTACACACCCAATTTGAAGTGAGTGAAGAAAAGAAGGCAAGGAAGAAGAGAAAACAGAGGATGAAACATTCACTACTGAGCTATTTATTTGGTCCCAGAAGAAGCCTACACTCCTAATTCACACTAGTGCCCTCACTTCCTTCTGGCTTGCACAATCCTATTGAGAAGGGTTAATTGAATGGAAATCTGGCATTCAGGGCAGAGGAAAAATGCAGCATGTCAACCAATAGAGTAGGACTGTCATTGTCATTGTGAGCAGAAGATATAATAAAAACAAAAAGTTGATGTCAAACCTACAGACAGCAGCTCAAGGGTGATATATTCTTTTGACAAATAACCATGGTAGGTGTCAGTGAACAGTTGATAACAATACAGGTACCTTGGAATATGGATGAGATCACTACAAGAAATTAGGTTCAGGGAGCATTGACATCAAACCTTATTTTGATATCTATTTCATAATGTTCATAGATTCAACAAAGAGATTTAAACATACCTCCTTGGACAACAGTACCAGATGGAGTGGGTAAGGAATGAGACAAGTGCCAATGAACAGGATAATGTATACCTGGTAACTAGAGCAGGTATATTCTGAGATCCAACAAACAGAGACCACTACACATACCTGATGACAATGGTGAACAAAGTTGATGATGATATGGGTACTTTGGACTACATACAGCACAGAGTTGGTGAGGAATGGAAGGAGATCATTACCAGAAACTCAGTTCTGGGAGCATTGACATCAAACTTTATTTCTGCAGTGATTGACAGGTGCTAGCAAATGAGATGGGTACCTAGGGATTATGAGAGGCTGACCACATTTGTAAATTAATGTAAACAGACCACAAGACATACCTGATAACAGCAGTAACTGTAGATCAAGAGTATGTAATGATATCCATAGCTCAGACTAGGATAGCAGTTGGCCAAGTGAAGAATGAGGCAAGCACCAACTAACAAGATGATTTATACCTAGATATTAGAGAGGGTGATCGGATTTGTAAATCTAACAAAAAGAGACTGACACATACCTGATAGTGATGATAAGTCAGCCCAACACCTGATGATGATAGATGTACCTCTGACTGCAATACAACAAGGAGTGGGTGAGTGAGGAATGAGGTGAGCACTGATGGAGATAATTTATACCTAGATATTAAAGAACATGATCAGATTTGTAGGTCCAACAAAATGCAAAGGTAGGACATACCTCATAACAATGATAAGTGAGGATCAACAGTCAATAACTATGTATCTACCACAAACTGCAATTCAACATGGAGTGGGTGGGTGTGGAATGAGGCAAGTGGTCAAGTGGAGATGAATGAGATAACTTATACCTAGATATTAAAGAGCATGATTGGATTTGTAAGTTCAACAAACAGTGACAGTAGCACATACCTTACAATAATGATAAGTGGGGATCAACAGCTGATAACAATACACCTACTGCAGACTGCAATAGAGCACAGAGTGGGTGGGTGAGGGATGCAACAAGTATGAACAAATGAAATGATATAAATCTCATAGCTGATAATGAGAGTTGCAACAAGTACAGATTTGAATGAGATGATTGAAACCTCACACCTGATAATGATAATGAGTCAGGATCAACATCTGCTAACAATAGACATACCTCAGTCAGCAATACTAGGCAGAGTGACAGTGACCCAGGAGAGAAATGAGATCAGCATTAATGAATGAACATAGGTGTTTAGAATCAGCTGGAGGGAATAGTGCTATAAAACATACCCTTGTGAGTGGGAAGGAGAGGATCTGGGGTGAAGGGCAAGATGAACTCCTTGAGGTCTTGAACCCCACTAGCAGCATGGTGGTGCTGGGGTGACCCCAGTGATGCAAAGTCAACAGAGTATGAACTGCAGTGACACAAAGTCAGCTGCAGCTCTGAGTGAATGGCATGGAGCCAGCTCAGGTTCAGCCAACACATCCAAACTTGAAGCATAGAGGCAGCAAGCAGGAAGATGATGATGGGGAGGTGAGAAGATGACAGTCATTCATAACAAAGCACTGAGCTGCTGGGCACTGTGCAGCTGGAACATGGTCCCATGACTTAGGTATTTTTGCCCTGGGAATTCTCCAGGCTATCACATCAAATGTCACTATCAATATATGTGCATAGGCATAATATGTAGATCCCTACAAACAAACAAATACTTATGATTTTCTGACCACAACTACTCTTCATCCTACTACCCTTGCCTTCCTCACTTTGTCACTCAGCACCTCCACCCTCAAGGTCTCAAGTCCCTCCCCACCATGCACATCTTCTCCCATTGGGTTCAAGTTGGCTTTGTGCCACTCATCTTGACCTGAAGTTGACTTCATATCACTTTAGGTCGCACTCTGTTGACTTTGCATCACTGAGGTCACCCCAGCACCACTGCACTGCTAGTGGGGTTTAAGACCTTGAGGAGTTCATCTTGCCCTCTACCCCAGATCCTCTCCTGCTGTCATCCTTCCATTACTTTCTTGTATAAGGTGTGTGTTTTATACATACTATTCACCCCATTGTTCACCCCATCATTCATTTCATTGTTCACCCCACCATCCATTTCGTTGTTCACCCTGCTGTTCACCCCATCATTCACCCTGCCATTCTTCCTGGATCATCTTCTACCACTGTCGTGTTCTTATTGTCTTTCATAAAAGGTGCATGTCAATTACGTGCCATTCACACCATTGTTTACCAAACCCTTCACTCCAGACCTTCTCCTACCACTGTCATACTCTTATATTCTTTTATAAAGGTGTGTGTTGTTTACATGCCATTCACCCCCTCATTCACCCTGCCCTTCATCCTGGACCCTCTCCCACCACTAACATTCATTTGCTTTCTTTCACAAAGGTGAGTATTTAATTACATGCCTTTCACCCTGTCACCAACTAATCTACACATGATCTGTCTGTTATTCCTTGCAGCTCAATTCCAACACAAGTGAAAATGTCCTGGGGGACTGCACTTAGCCACTTCAAAGTGTTCACCTGGCCCAGTGTCACACACCAAAGGTGTTTGGTGAGGTGGACATGGATACAGCTGATGAATGGAGATGAAGACCATAGCCCTCATGTGAAGAAGGACAGCCAGAAATGTCAGCAGTCATCCCTCACACAAGAACAAGTCATCAGTGCCAAAGAAAAAGAAAGGGAGTGAGTTAAGCACTGGTTAAAATTCTTAAGTGCCCATGTATGGCATTCTGGTTTTTGACATATCTCTGCTGTTTCTGCAGATACCAAGACCATTCCAACACTCACTTGTAGTGCTCAGCCATGCAATCCTACCTTCCAAAACTGGAAAGGATTTGTGCACTCCACACCTTTCTACAGCACTCCCTCCACAAGATGCTCATTTTGCTAGTTCTTCTGATATGGCCACCTCCACATCAATCATTTCACTTGTCCCCTTTGCTAGGGACCATGGCCACATATATCTACCAGGAGTTCCTACCAGCTTCTGTCCTGAAGCATCCTGGTACATCCAACCCTGGTCTGTGCCCTCTCAGCCCATCCAGCTTGGACAGCATGTTCTTTTTGTCAGTATGACCTCTAGGAGGACATTCTTTGGTCACCTCAGGTCTGTCATTCACTTGGAAAGGTCTTATGTGGTCATTTCAGTCTCTCCAGTCCAAGAAGCATATGGATCCTTCCTCCCTGCTCCCTGCAATGTCTTCATACCAGTCTCATCTGTTATTCTTCCAAGATTGCAACAGCTACAGTATAATCTACTGTTCTCCACTCTCCCTGATCACATCCATGACAAGTATGATGCACATCTTGCCTCCTTGTTGCAAGATACAGCAGAAGACACTTCCCCTTCATCCTCACTTCCAACAGAGCCTCATTCATGAAGTTTTTATTTGCTTCACTGAGAGGATGGTTTGGGGGGGAAGTTGTGATCCCCTATGCTCCTGTCACCCCACAGACCCCCACAGCTTGATCCCTGTTGACATCTGACTCACCCTGTCCACTTTTGGATGTACTATATTGGCATCGGATCAGCACTGCCTCTCTGTCATCCCACCTTGGCCTAGAAGCAATCTCTTCAAGATGTGACATGCACAGCCTCCCCCTAATGCAATTCCAGTGTGCTTTCCCAGTTCCTGACATTACTTGACTCATACTTTGATGTTGTGACTGTCTTTGACTCACCTATTGCCAATACTTACCAATCTCTTGACTTTGCTTACTGATTCTTTGCCTTTTGGCTTGCTTATCCTTACCAATGCTTACCAATGCTTACAAATGCTTTCCAAGACAATTACCCATTGCTTACATTCCTTACTCATCAGTTACTAATCACTTACCAAGTGTTTGCACCTTGTTTTCCATAGGAAACACCCCTGTACTGTATATAAATCACTGTACTTAGATAGCAAAAGAGAAGAAGACATCAGAGAGCCCTCTGGCACCAAGAGTGCATCCACGAAGTTGGTGGTTTGGGCGATTTTGGGGGACATCATTCAAGCAGCTCATGATGATCCTGTTTGTACATTGGAAGAGATTGAGTGGAGGGGAATGCAGGTTAGTATTTCATCCTATTTAGATCTGTTCTTCATACTTATCTTGTGCAGGTCTGTGCTTCAAGCCTTTCAGACCCACCCCTTCATTTCACACATTCCCATTTATGGGAACTCTATGAACTTGACTTCCACTGTGAGTCAAAGTGTGGTTCAGTGGTGAAAACCAACCAAAACCAACACAAAAGACAAAAAGAGCAAGTGGTGGTGTGCCTATGTGGGGGTGCTCCTGATGAAGAGGGAGCAAGAATGTGATAGAAAGCAATAGGGTAGACTGCTGTCAGCCTACAGAAGGATGGATGGCAACTTAATTTGATTCTCTGAGCTGCACTGAGCTCAGGGAGGGCTTGGAGCAAAGTATATTGATGATAGACAAGGATAAGTGAAGTAGACAATAGTTAGACCCTTAATAAAGTCTCAACTATTGAAGCTGCTGAATGAATTACTGAGTGATGATAAAATATGAGCAAGAGGGGCTCTCTGATGTCTTCTTCTCTTTTGCTATCTAAGTACAGTGATTTATATACAGTACAGGGGTGTTTCCTATGGAAAACAAGGTGCAAACACTTGGTAAGTGATTAGTAACTGATGAGTAAGGAATGTAAGCAATGGGTAATTGTCTTGGAAAGCATTTGTAAGCATTGGTAAGCATTGGTAAGGATAAGCAAGCCAAAAGGCAAAGAATCAGTAAGCAAAGTCAAGAGATTGGTAAGTATTGGCAATAGGTGAGTCAAAGACAGTCACAACATCAAAGTATGAGTCAAGTAATGTCAGGAACTGGGAAAGCACACTGGAATTGCATTAGGGGGAGGCTGTGCATGTCACATCTTGAAGAGATTGCTTCTAGGCCAAGGTGGGATGACAGAGAGGCAGTGCTGATCCGATGCCAATATAGTACATCCAAAAGTGGACAGGGTGAGTCAGATGTCAACAGGGATCAAGCTGTGGGGGTCTGTGGGGTGACAGGAGCATAGGGGATCACAACTTCCCCCCCAAACCATCCTCTCAGTGAAGCAAATAAAAACTTCATGAATGAGGCTCTGTTGGAAGTGAGGATGAAGGGGAAGTGTCTTCTGCTGTATCTTGCAACAAGGAGGCAAGATGTGCATCATACTTGTCATGGATGTGATCAGGGAGAGTGGAGAACAGTAGATTATACTGTAGCTGTTGCAATCTTGGAAGAATAACAGATGAGACTGGTATGAAGACATTGCAGGGAGCAGGGAGGAAGGATCCATATGCTTCTTGGACTGGAGAGACTGAAATGACCACATAAGACCTTTCCAAGTGAATGACAGACCTGAGGTGACCAAAGAATGTCCTCCTAGAGGTCATACTGACAAAAAGAACATGCTGTCCAAGCTGGATGGGCTGAGAGGGCACAGACCAGGGTTGGATGTACCAGGATGCTTCAGGACAGAAGCTGGTAGGAACTCCTGGTAGATATATGTGGCCATGGTCCCTAGCAAAGGGGACAAGTGAAATGATTGATGTGGAGGTGGCCATATCAGAAGAACTAGCAAAATGAGCATCTTGTGGAGGGAGTGCTGTAGAAAGGTGTGGAGTGCACAAATCCTTTCCAAGTTTTGGAAGGTAGGATTGCATGGCTGAGCACTACAAGTGAGTGTTGGAATGGTCTTGGTATCTGCAGAAACAGCAGAGATATGTCAAAAACCAGAATGCCATACATGGGCACTTAAGAATTTTAACCAGTGCTTAACTCACTCCCTTTCTTTTTCTTTGGCACTGATGACTTGTTCTTGTGTGAGGGATGACTGCTGACATTTCTGGCTGTCCTTCTTCACATGAGGGCTATGGTCTTCATCTCCATTCATCAGCTGTATCCATGTCCACCTCACCAAACACCTTTGGTGTGTGACACCACTATGAACTTTGCACACTCAATCAGGCCCTTGTCCCACAGCTTTGGCCCAATAGCCTAGATAAGTATATGCACCAATCACTTCTTTGGTCTATCTTCCCTGGTGGATGTGGTCTTTCAAGTTGGTCAGCACCTCTTCCTTGGGAGCCACATGATTTGGGGTTGACTGCTAGTGAGATGGAGGTGGCATTGCCCTATCTGAACAAGTTCTGTCAGTTGCTATCTGCATGGCCAGGAGCACCCTTTTGTTTGAAGTCCCCAATCAAGCTGGATGGCTCTGGAAACCAAGCAGCATATGAAGCCTTCATCTTGGCTTGCAAATTCTACATCCAAACTGCATTTGATTATCTTGGGCATCAACCATCCCTCCCCTGCATTTTTACCTTTGTCTGACATCCTCCACCACATATACTCTTTTTTTCTGTCCAAATTTGTTTAGTCCGAGTATGTACCATGTCATAAAGCAGGCTGAATCAATTCGATGATTTGGAATGTTGCCTGTGACTGAACCATAATCTCACACTTTGTGCTCACTGCTTTTTTTTTGTTGATAGCAACATGTTATTCACTGACACTCCCACTGCCAGGCAAGGAATGTTCCCATCCCTCTTCACTGCTATTGATGCTTTATCTGCATCAAGGTCTGCACCATTTAATTCTTTGAGACTCATTCTGCTTGGTATGTATGACATCCTGATGATGGGGTTCCTGCTCACTGTGATGTTGATAGCAACTTTTGTTTTTAACTGCTCAAGACTTGTGCTCTGGTAAGTAGGATCCTACTTGGCTGTATGTGGTGATTTGATGAATTTTCTGTGTAGTTTGTCCCTTCCAGAGGTTCATCATTTGGTCAACATCCCCTTGGACTGACACCCCCTGCTGACTTCATGTTGTGCTTTCCACCACCTGTTGACTTTGAGTCCCAGGTGTACTGCCATGGCTTTGTGTCATGGTTTCCAGAATGATCTGAGATGGCTGTTCACTGTCCAAAGCCTTGGAGGCATTGCAATGCTTTGCCTTCTATGAGTAATTCTAATATTGTGAGTTTTCCCTGTCTTCAAGCCTCATGTTGTGCTCATCATTTCTCTACAGGCCTCCTCCACTTCATCTGTCCAAGCTGGTCTGGTACCCAGTGTACTCACTGACCATCCTTCAT